GACGTCATGGCCGCCGTTTCATCTTCCAGGATGACAACGCAAGATGTCACAGGGCCAGGATCGTTACAGGTTACCTCCAACAACAGAACATCACCACATTACCTTGGCCAGCACTGAGTCCCGACCTCTTCCCCATCGAGCATGTCTGGGACATGCTTGGACAGAGGTTACGTCAACGTCAACAACGTCCTGCCAATGTCCAAGAACTTGCTGCTGCGTTGCAACAGGAATGGGACAATCTGGACCAAAATGACCTTAGACGTCTCATTAGGAGTATGCCACGTCGGATCAATGCTTGTTTGGCAAACAGAGGAGGATTTACCCGTTACTGACTTGGTTGTGATGCTGTGGTAACTTTGCTGTTTGACCCCGGGTATCATTTTACCCTTATAATGGTCAGTCTGTGCCTTACTTAGTCTAACGATCATTTGGAATAAATCGATTAATGTGAACTTCATTTCATTTTGTCATTTGTTTCTTCGTCAGTTTCATTAGGTGACTTTAATAACACTTAAAAATCAAATATCCCCTACTTTTTTTGAATAGTATATATTTTGGGAGGACAAAACGTGTCTGTAAGGATAATTTTATGTTTTATTATATTCCTAAAAAATGCTTAATCCATATATGTAGCTATAACTATGAATATGTTTGTTTTACACATGTAAAATTGTACACAAACTCTGTCAAGATTTCCACGTGATGATTGAATACTTGTTGTACGTCAGTTTAATACCAGTATTAAGAATATGTTATATTTGTATATTTCAGAAATCACACACACACACACAGATATATCTCAACTATACAACCACTACGTCTAAAGTTGTTACAGTATATATAACCATGTTGATGTTAATGATTGTTTGCTGATTAAAGTTAACTATATCGTATGGAATTGGATCTATAGTAGTTTGATCGTTTGTGCATTTGGATGTTTTACCCCCTTATAGCTTTCCGTTCACGTGGTATTTAAAGGATTGGCAGTTATAACAATAAACCAGTTTATTTACAAGCTTTATTGTATGAAAATACTCTTAACCGGACAAAATTTTACACAAAGGCACGCTATCTACCAGGGCTCTATAAAAGTTGAGTGTGCCTGCGCACACACTTGAAAATGTGCCTGCAGGGTCATACTGAAACACAGGGATGTAGCCAGGATTTGGTGAGTGGTGTAAAAATATATTTGGCGAGCTGAGCGAGTCCCAAAAAATTTTGGGAGGGGGGCGTGGTCTTTTATGAAAATTATACCCTTCTTGGTGTATTTTCAGAGCATCTGCTGCCTTTTGTATTTGGTTCAGTGCAAATCAAATTTCCATTTATATATTTATATATTGGCAGTTATAACAATAAACCAGTTTATTTACAAGCTTTATTGTATGAAAATACTCTTAACCGGACAAAATTTTACACAAAGGCACGCTATCTACCAGGGCTCTATAAAAGTTGAGTGTGCCGTGGTAAATTTCGAGCGCCAAGTTTGTGTACAGAGAAGGACGAAGGGGTTTAAATACGACTGGGCGGCTTTCTTCGATTTTTTCTTTGTGCTGGGCGGCAAAAAATAGTGTCGGGCGCAGGCACCGCCCGGCCTGGCTACATCTTTAAAAATGTGACTGCAAAAAAGTTTTTTTTAAGCAAATGTGCCTGCGTGCGCATGTGCGCGGAAATATCGATGCCTGCTATCTACATTTCACCGTCAGATAGATCAGGAAACGACAAAACTTTCACATACACGTCATTGCCTTTGGTTCAGGGTCGCCATGATTTTAACGTCAAGGAAAGTTATATGCTCAAGACTACTCAGGCTTTATTTTCCAGCCACCTATCTCAGGAAAGCCTGGAGCTGGAGGGGTAGATCTATTTCTTAAGGACCCCTCCCCGACACTTACCCAAAACCTAACCCTAACCCACAATCTCGTCAACAATCACATTCACGCGCCATAACCTTATTACACATTGTAGCGACCATGACGAAATCTGGAGGTGGCCTTAAGAAATAGATCTCCAGATAATTCGTCAACGGTCACGAGATGTAAACAGAGCTAACCCTAACCCCGGACCTGACCCTTACCCAAAACCTAACCCTAACCCACAATCTCGTCAACAATCACATTCACGCGCCATAACCTTATTACACATCGTAGCGACCATGACGAAATCTGGAGGTGGCCTTAAGAAATAGATCTAGATAGGGCTGAAGGGTTCATTTGACATTCAGGAGGGGTCAATTTTGTATCACTTTCCCCAAGCATATATAGCCGTTTAGATGATACAAAAAACCGAGGCCCCTTATGTGGACGTGCACCAAAGAGCCAACTGCCCATGCAATAATTGGTGCAGAAAAGTTGGACGTTAGACTAAGCCTCACTAATTCATTCAGATTGTTCGGTCAGACGGGTATGTGGGACTGGAGCCAGTACGCTGCGTTATGCGACAGTTATCGGGCCTCGATCATTATTTTTCCATCAAATTCGAATTGACTAATGGGTAATACTTTAAAACATTTATAGTCATTGTAATAAACAGTGTCTGTCCAGAGTATTGTCACTCTGTTTTATGCGGGACATTTTTCTCGGCCAAAACGTTTTGTTTAATCAATTTTTTTCGGGAAGTAAAATTTCTGGTGTCCGGTGAATGAAACTATAACAGTCTTGGTTGATTGGAGTTCAGATCTCCATATTGGAGATTGAGGTTTTGATAGTGGTTGTAGTGCCAAAGCATATGATGAGGGGGGGGGGGGTAGTAAGCCCCCATCCCTCAAATGGAACGCCGTGATACCATTTGGGCCCCTGCACCCCCATCCGCCAGGACAATGGATTCGTGTCTTAGGTGTAACGAGTATATCATTGTGTTCCAGAAAGTGAATTAATTTTTGGGCAATCTGACTTTTCGGACAGACGGGTAAAAGTGGAGAAAAATAATTATTGTATAATCTAGTTGGCAAAATAAAGAGCCCAATATGATTAAAATACAGATCTATATTTCGTTTCGTTTTTTGATACTTTCGATGGCCTAGGTACACTACATGCAGATCTGACCGGTTGTACTGGAAGATCGCGTCAGGGGTCGTACGAGCGGCTTTTGACACTATGACTCTTTCCCTATGTCCCTTATCTATCAAATAATTCAATGCTGTCAGTTCCGACCAGTTAAAACAAGCGGTTGCCATGCAAAATACGCACACATTTTTCAAGAATTGTATGGGGAATAGGCAAAATCAATAGGGCTCATCCAAGAATTTTTGATCCTTAACACAGTTTAAGTTTCATCTATGAAAGTTGTCGCCTCTGGTATTCATATTTCACATTTTGCGTAAAGGGAAGGGGGCCAACGTGCACCAAAATTAAACTCATCCAAAACCTAGTGATACCCGGTTTAAGTTTCATCTAAATCAGATAAAAATTGTGACCTCCACAACATGGTCCACAACATGGGCATTACATGCTTTTATTTGCGTAAAGGAGATCGCGGCCATTCGCCTGAAAATTTCGGTCTGACTCAACAATAATTATAAAGGTGATATATTTGAACGGTTTTGAAAATAAGATAAAAATGGTGACCTCTAGTGGGACCACAAGCTTAAAACATGATATTTCGTACAATCAGGGGTCATAATCCAGAAATTTACGGTCCAATACGCGCCAATGTCGAAAGGAACCCAGACCTTTGGGATATATCAGATTGGATGAAAATTCGAACCTCTGGGTGGTCCACACCCTGGGTATTACATGCTTTTAAGGAGCGGCCATTTTGTCGGCCAGTTTCGGTCCGATTTTCACGAAATTTGCACTCAACGGTGATATATTTGAACGGTTTTTACAATGAAATAAAAGCTGTGAGCTCTAAAGGGTCCACAGGCTAAAAATGTAAATAGTACATTATAGGATCTTATATGCGCCAATATCGAAACATACCGAGATACGGTTATAAACATACATTGTCAGTTTCATCAAAATGGTATAAAACTTGTGACCTCTATTTAGAGTCACTGTGTCCACAACCTTGGTATTATTATGCATATATTTGTCAAATTCAGTATCGCAGGAAACCAGCATCGACTGGGTTTGTATATGGTAAGGGATTGAGAAAAGGAATAAAATTTCACTTCGTTGCTGAGTGATTTTATTAGCCGGAAATCGCTCCGAAAGCGTCTTGGACGATCTGGACCCCCAGGAGCTTCCGGGGCTTAGGCGGCCCCTCGACCTTTGCCTAAAGCCCTAGGGTGGTTGTCACCCTCCCCAAATCAAGAATTGCTTCCACCGACCCGGCAACGTATACCAATTTATTCATCTGGGGCGTAAGAGTGATTTGTATTGATTTGGTTATTTGTTAGGACGGGTGGAGGGGGTGAGCCCGAAGGGGTGGAAGTTCGGCTCCGAACGTAGGCCTAAGTCTCATTGTCTCATTAAATTTGTAAATTTTATTGGGTAGGCCTAAGTGTTTAATGATCGCGTGTCAATCCCTTTTTTCTGTACAATGTATACACGAACATTTTAGTGGAAAAATAAGACCTTGTTTATCTCGCAAGACCCGGTAATTTGCCGGGACAGTGGCACCACTTACGAGGGGGAACCACCCTGGAAAATGAGACAAATGATTTAGCAAAATAGGTTTGTAGTGTGCACATTTAATTGAAAAGTGAAATTCGGTTTTAGCTTTATTGTCAGGGAACAATTGGTGGGGGGGGGGGGGCATTCTTTTATAGGCTTATGACATCTCTCTATTCATAATTTAGCTTTCCGATGGTCCTGCTTTGTACTTTACTACTTAGATCTAATTTAAATATTAAACTCCGCTAAATGAAACCATTTATTATTGGGGGTTTTTATTATTTGTTCGGGTTAGATAAATCTAACGGCGGTTACGTAGTTCTGTTGTTTAAGAAAGGGTTGGCTATCCTGTAATGTGAAATGTTGGCAGATTTCTGTAGTGTGTTTTTCACGCACTGTACGTGTAGTCTCGGTTACATAGGCTCTTTGTTAGTGAGTTGAGCACCGGGTTGGAAGACGGAGGTTACACTATTTTTCGGTTGACTGTTGAAATGTAATGGGGAAATTGGCGAGTTTTGAGATTTTTCTACAAAATCATGATCCTATATTTTATGCTGGACAAACGGTGCAAGGCCATGTTTCCATTCAGTTGAACGAACCTATGAAAATCAGAGGTAAGTGGTCAAGTGCACATAGGCCTATGTGTAGTTAGTACATCATGGCATAGTTCTAAAAAAAGATGATGCCATTATTGATGAATTGGGTTGTGTATGGAGAGAAAACCTAGTAAAAAATGTGAAAGAATGATAAATTGTCAACGTCAAATTTTTGGCTAGTTTGGCTACCACTCACATCATCTTTGAAATTCAGACCGGTAGCTTGGAAATGTCATGTTATTAGTTCCTTATAGTTCCCAACAAGCAGTAGCAGAGCGAGCCGCTGGTGGTTGGAGGGACAAATCTGGGGCAAAGTCCAAAGTTAAGGGTGCAAAGACACAAGCTTCAATTCAACTAAGGGTAGTGGCCTCCCCAAAAAACTTTTGAAAAACAGGCTGCCGGAAATGCATTCTGAACATCTGAGACACGCTACCTGCGGAGAAGTATCTAAGACACAGTCAATAGCCATGATATCCATATCACGTGATCTACACATCACAGGTCAATGGGTCATGAGGTCAACAACACTTTACATTGTAAACAATAGGTTTATCTTCAGCATTGTTTCCTTTACACTCATAAAAAGACTATATAATTCGTCCAGTCCCAACATGTTCTCTCTTCTTTCAATGATTTTTCACAAAAATAACATCTACAACTCATAGAATTGACGTCGTCTTCAATGACAGCATCTGCGAATGGTTGTTCATAGAGGTTGCCATCTTGGTACTATTTTGTGCGTCGGTCGTGTCTATTTCAGATATACACAATCAATTCTGTTGATGTTTTTAGCATTGGGATTGACTAATAGTTAATTTATTTCAGTTCTAAAACAAATATTATGAACTTTAACGCAAATTTAGAAAATAGCCAAATTCTGGCTGGGATTACTGAGCAAAATGGCCATTCACTGTATACATGCGAAAAAAAAGCTAGCCACCAATTAATTTTCGTACGTTAGTAACGTACGCCGGAAATGCAGTCTGGCAGTATTTCAGGCACAGATCTTTGAGATAAAGTGTCAAACGAACGGACTTGCGAACCTCGACGAAACCATGCACTCACGAGTGCCAAAGTAGGGATTAAGGGAGTTCTTACGGAGGGGAGGGTAAGAGGGAACTGCCCCCCAAAATTTTGAAAAACAGATACTGCCGGAAATGCTATCTAATAATATTCAGTCAAGTACCGATCCTTGAGATACATAGAGCTGACCACGTACCGTCCTTTACCTCATCACTAGTTTATCCAGCCATAGGGGAAAGTGTCAAATGAACGGACTTGCGAACCTCAACGAAGCCCCTTCATGAGCGCCAGTAGTGAGTCCTTGAGGAGGGAAATGCAGTCTAACAGTATTTCAAACACTACATGGTCGTCGAGATAAATAGAGCTGACCAGATACTGTTCGCCGCCCAATCACCAGCTTATCCGAACAGAGAAGAAAGGGAGGTGTCAAACGATCAGAATGAGTGTATCAAAGTGAATGAATATTCTCGCCGCATTGAACCTATACCCAAAAACTTGGGAAAATCGTAAAAAGTACTTCTCAAGTGGTTCACGTGTTATTGTTTATAGTGGTAAGAAAGAATTAAAACTTCCCTGCTGGGTAATTTCATTAGCCAGAAATCGCTCAGAAAGCATTTCTGATGATCTAGAACCCCAGGAGCTTCAGGGGACCATCTTCACCTTAAGCCCTAGGATAATAGCCCCTCCCCCCCCCCCCCCAGCCAATCATGAATTATATTTAAAGATACATTATGGGAGATTTTAATAGAGAGTTGGCAATTCTTGCTATAACAGTTCAAAAATAGATGATGAAAGAAGAATATATTGAAAATTTCAGTCAAATTATTTTATTCTGAACAAAGTTATCACCATTGTAATTTTTGACTAAAAATAGGAGTCAACTCTCTCTTCACCGTCTCCGAAAATGGCCGATCATTTGATTGACAGGCGTTAACTCCACCTACATAATCTCGATTATCAAGTAGCGTTTTCAATGGCTGTGGTACCGTTAGCATATTCGGTTTGAGACGGGGTTGCAATTCAATTTGTATCACATTTATTTTTACTACAAATTAAAAATAAGACTTTTAATATATAGATAGGAAGCGAAAGTTTGAAAGGAATGGACCAAATCAATGCGGCATAATTATAGCCGACTTCTTGTTAGCCTGCATGTACTCTTGTAATGTAACTGGTAGGCCTACATAACTCCTGAAGCAGCCAAATATATTAAACAGTGATCCTATGGGGCTGCAATTCAACTGGGGTGATGTTAGCTGCGATGTTTATCAATTTCCATAATTTTTCTGTAAACGCAAGTGACAAAAGAGCGTATAATACCAACATCCAAACTGTCATTTTAACCACAACTAAACATAATATCGAGGCCGTATATATCGAACTTTCAATCAAATTGATTGACATGCGGCCTCGCTCAACAGCAGCCTCGCTTCGTACACTCTATCATTTAGCCTCGATCTCAAATTTCCAGGAGTATGATGTCAACGTAACAGTTAATCTCCGCTTACGATGCCATTTAAAAATTTAATCAATGAAATCCTGTTTAAAGCCAAGCCATCCGTGGGTCTACAGAGTTGATTTTGTGCTTGTTGTGTAAATAAAGATCTAATTTATAATTTCTATGACATATGAAGCCTAAATAAAGACTTGCAATAGTCAGATTTAGCTCTTGCATAATGTATGTTGAATTAAATCATCCTCTTTTTAAATGTTGGTTAGATCTTATTAGCCATATTAATTCTTCAAATCCCATGATATCACTAGAATGTTAGGCTAACATTAAGAATCGAGAAAAGCTAAACGATAATTATTTTTGTTAAGATATACACCGCTATAATGTCTGGAGCTGGACATCATGTCTGTATAGTATGTGTTCGGGAATATGCAGCTGTCCACCTAACTTTCAGGCAATCAGACTTTTCGGGCAGATGGGTAAAGTGAAAAAAAATATTTTATCTAGCTGGCAGAAAAAGTGCCCAAATTCTAATAAAACACTAGTTTTACTTTTCTTTGTCAGAAGCTACTCTACTTCAACTTGAACTTTTTTATTTGCATATTACATACATTAAGGACATACATAAATATACACGCGTACAAAAATATATTTGACATGGAAAAATATATTGGGATAATGTGATATAACAAAATGAAAATATAATGAGATAAACATGTACCTCTTGATACAATGAAAATATAACAATGAAATGAAAATATGAAATATACCATTGAGAATAGCATTTACGATGGATAAATTTTTAGCAGGAAAATGAGTTTGCAGCTGTCAAATTTAACATTTTTTCTCAGTGGGGGATAAAGTGCCACCATCAGTAAACCCAATTTTTTTCAGGCGTTTCAGGTTCTGCCCCCCAACCCCCACCCTAACACAGCAAACCCGTATGCCTATGCCAACAGGAACTTAGAGGCCTTCTCTCTGTCTGTTTACATTTAAACATGAGGTGTTTGATTGAAGTTTCTATTCTGCTGGTGTTAACGTCAGAGTCCACCGATGGCGATATCACAGACAAGTTGTCTTATTTTTATTTTATTATGCTTAGAGCACTCGCACGGGTCTTTCCTGTGGAAGGAAACCCGAGTACCAAGAGTAAACCCACAAGGCTGAGAAGTGAGAACCCACATATGCTCACACCAGGGATAGAAACCAAGACCACAAGCCAGAGGTGACCACTAGACCATCTCTACCCCCCGTTTGATTGAAGGTTGGCACACTGCTATATATAGCAGAGTTACAGGTCAAGTTTCGTGGGGTTTTGTTAATTTCTTGCTGACCCTGTATTGACTTAAAGATACATTACTACAAAAGTATTTATCGGGTAGTTTTTTCCTATAAAAGTATAGCAATTTTGGTATATATGGAAAGTAGAGAACCAATCTTACTCAAAAATACTAGATTCCCTCAAAAACACACATGGGAAGCGCACAAGACAAAATATATATTGATATCCCTGAACAACTGGCTGTCAGTTTATCTGTGTGCTTGAGTAACAATAGGGGGCACTTCTTATGTGTTAATCTAATGGCTAACGTGCAGTTGTAAAAATTCTGTTTTCCTGAAATATTTTGAGATATTTACACTGCTAAAAGTAATACAGATCGGATTCTGTATTTCCTTGCTGGCTCTATATATTGACTTGAGATCAATGAAAGTTCAGTTTTCTAGGAATATTTTTAGGTATGCTGCATATAGCGGAGCTACAGATCAATCCAGTGAAATTTCAATTTCACAGAATTTATTTCATCTATACGTATTTGGATTGTATATTTTCAAACAAATGTGTTCGCAGTGTTAGACTCTTATAGATGTATGCATTGTAAAATTTTGTAGTGTCCGATAAGGGGTATACAATTCCATGACGTGCATAAACATTAAAAAAAAAAAAATTTGTATGGCATCTGTATTCGTATTTTATTCCCCAAGAGTTCAGATATTTTAGAATATTTCAACTATTTGTAATTGATCTCCATGACAGGTTGGATATTTTGGACTATTTTTATTTGATCACCATGAGAATTTGAATATTTTAGACTATACATTTCCATAAGGGTTAAGAGTTAAGGACCATAGCTGAGAATTTTATTTGTGTTTTATCACTAGGATTACTTGCACTGTCCAGCATATACAAAAAGAAATTAAAAATTTAGCTAGATAGTTTTTGGGGCATCTTTAGGGTTTTTGTCCAGTAGACAAATAGATATTTCCATACACATATAATTTGTGAGGTTTATTTAGATAAATCTATTTTAAGACTAATAAGATTGTGGTGAAATAAGTAGTCCAGAACATGTCTTTTGATCTAATGATTTATAGAAGTGGAAATTTATTGAATCTTTCCACAAAGTAACCTACTGTATAACTATTGCCTTTTTTTTTTAAAGAAAGAATGCTTCTAGATCTCCTTAAATTGGTAACTTTTTGAGTAACTATTACTGTACTTCTGGTATATCTTAATTGTCCCCCACCTTTCGAAGAAAGTATGGAACTATTAAAATGGGTTCATCTGTCCATCCATATCCGTCTGTCCGTTTGTTGGGACACAATAACTTTCCTTCTAATTGAGCTAGAATGTTCAAACTTGGTGTAGGTGTTTATTAGATCAATGCCTTGATGGAGTTTGAAAATGAGCATTTTCTGCTTAGGGTAAATAGAGATAAGCAATTTGATTGGTTGATGATTTGGGACACGATAACTTTAGTTCTAATGAAGTGAGAGTGATCAAACTTGGTGTATAGTTTCATTACATCAATACCTTGACTAAATTTGATAATGAACATTTTCTGCACAGGGTAAGCAGAGTGATAAGCTATTTGATTGGTCGAAACTTTGGAACACAATTACTCTCCTTCTAATTGAGCCACAATGTTCACACTTGGTGTAGGTGAATGCCTTGATGGAGTTCGAAGATGAGAATTTTCTGCTACGGGTAAGCTGAGATTGGTACGTCGTTGATGCTTTGGGACACGGTAACTTTAGTTCTAATTAAGTGAGAGTGATGAAACTTGGTGCAATCTGATTGAAACACAGATTGTATTTCGTTTTGTTTTTTATAGTTCAAAATTTTGTTTTATTTGTCTGTACTACACTAGAATCTGGAAGAGTTGTTTTATAACAGGTGTTCTGGATGGCGTGAGGGATTAGCCAATGAAACCATCTGTTACGGCGACTTATTGGCGTGCCATGCACAGAACTGTGGGTATACCACTAGAAACGTAAACGCTGATTGATTAATCAAGGTCTGACGTCATTAGGTCAAAAGCCGCTCGTACGACCTGACGCGACCTGTTACTACAACTGGTCAGATCTGAATGTAGTAGAGGCCATCGAGAGTATAAAAAAACGACATGAAATATGGATCTGTATTTTAATTAGATTGAAACTTGGTGTATAGTTCGACAATGAACATTTTCTGCTGAGGGTAAGCAGAGCGATAACCAATTTGATTGGTCGAGAATTTTGAACAGAATAACTCTCCTTCCAATAGAGGTAGAATGTTCAAACTTGGTGTAGGTGTTCATTAGGTGAATGCCTTGAGGGAGTTCGATGATGAAACAATTTGATTAGTTGAAGCTTTTGGGCACGATAACTTTGTTTATAATTAAGTGAGAACAATGAAACTCCGCAAAAAGATTCATTATATCATTACCTTGACTAAAGTCGATGATTAAAATTTTCTGCTTAGGCTAAGGAGTGATAAGCAATTTGATTGGTCAAGACTTTAGAACATAACATCTCTGCTTTTGATTGAGATAGAATGTTTAAACTTTATTTTGATGTTCATTAGGTGAATGTCTTGACTGAGTTCAATGATTAACATTTCCCACTAAAGCTAAGCAGAGCATAGTGTTGACTTGTTTGTTTAGTCTCTTTTTGTAAAATTTAATACATTAGGAGCAGGTAGGATTAAATTTAATTATTTCATCTTCCATAACTTGTTTACATTTGATGATTTGAACTGATTAATAGTTTCTGAGCTAATTACATACTGGGTGGAGAATTCCAATTGTTATTAACTCTTTATCAAGAAACTATTTTTTCTGATTTGGTCTTTGTCTAGTTTCATAGTGTGACCTCAGGTTCTCCTGTTTTTGTTGATATTTATCATCCCATGGTTAGCTATTTGATCTTTTCCCATGAGGATATAGTATACTTGAATCCTGTTGTAAGGTTCATGTCTGTACTGAAGGGTTTGTAGACCACGAAGTCAGAGAAGTCCTTTGTAGTTTAGGCTTCGTACATTTCTTAGCCTTGTAAAATGTTCAAAAATAACATTTTTAAAATTGATAAGCTAACTTTTGATATTTCACTTTAATCTGGAATCATTTTTGATATTGCATTGCATTTGTGTTCATATTGAATGATAGATTTTTTTCAATAGTTGTATATTGTTGGTCTCATTTTATTACCCCAAAACATATTATTGTTGAAAATAAGGTTATAATAGAACATATATAGAGGTTTCATTAAATGGGTTTAATAGCTATACTTGATGTTACATGTAATGTTCCAATTATGTATGACAGAAGAGCAATACTCTAGCAGACTGAAATTTGAAGTTTTGAAACAAGAGAAACAAATCATCAGAAAACATTAATTAAATAATATACATTCATGCACATTTTGAAAATCAGGAGAAAATTTGTGAAGAACCTGTCTTCTGTACGTAAAATGTTAAAGAGATAAAATGGATTAAATAATGCACCCTACAAATTTGTAAAAATAAATAATACATTTTCTTGAGGATTGTTCCATTTGGAAGTATAAATGGTGATTTTCTTCTTCAGGTATTTGTCTTAAGTTTTATGGACAGGCAAAAGTTCACTTTACTGAAAGGGTATCAAGAGGATCTGGAAATAACAGACATCATGAAACAGTTCACTATAGAGCGGAAGAAGAATATTTTAATCAAAAAGTCCTTTTATTTGGACAAGGTAAAACAAAAGGAATGCCTTCAAGAACCGATTCTACAAATGTCTCAGATTTTTGCATAGCTGATGTCAGAAAATGGTTAGACTGCCATAGTCAAACATTCAGTTTTAGATTATGATTCTTATTTCCCATACTGAACTAGGTATCTTCATAAAATGGACAAGAGACAATATTTTAGGAAAACTCATTTTGATTTAAATGGCAGTCCAAGATCTAAGAGGGTACACTACCCGGTTGGTAAAAGTTCAAAGAAATAGCCCAAATGTTGAAGCTCAAAATATTAAGTTGTTTATAAGTTACTGTCTGGATTTGCTTTACAGAATTCCTAAAGTCATTTAAGGAACTCAATAGTTCAGTTGTGGCGCTATGATTCCTTTATAACTCAGGCCAGTATGTATCGGTAGTCCTAGACATTCAGGATAGGGGAATTTGGGAACTTAATATCAACCACATAGAAAGTGACCGTTAATATAATGTTCAGAACCACAGAGATTCAGATAATTATACATAACTAGGATAAAGGTTTTTAAGTATCTTCCACACAGGATTAATCCATTATTTTCAATAAAATATATCTGGGATGGTTCCTTCAAAGAAAATTTAGATGATACCAGTACAACCAGTTCTGTTAATTTTACAGGAAAGGATTCAGTAATGGCACCAGCTGGACAGAGTGTTTACCCTTTTCAGTTTACCTTACCACCTGGTTTGCCATCATCATTTGAAAGTATGTATGGTTATGTGAGGTATTGGTTAAAAGCTACCATCGATCGACCATGGAAATTTGATCACACAACAAAAACAGCTTTTACTGTTATTTGTCTGTTAGATTTGAACAGAGAACCGACAGCAACAGTGAGTAGACCTAAATAGTTCCCAGAAATAAACAAAAATATCAGTAACAGTTTATAATTAGCCTTACATGAAGTGCAGCTGTGTAAGTGTCTGTTTATGATCATCATAATTTCAATTTCAGTTCCCCAAATTTAGAACTGATTTAATTAAGACATGAATTGATGTAATTTATTAATAATTCTTAATACAGACAGGTGATTTGAAATGATGAGATTATTATTTTCAATTTCAGAAAATAAAAACTAGAACTTAAACTATTTTATTATTTATTTATTTTGCACCATCAAATTTACTGATTTTGAGGCATATTATGTGTGATACCAAGGAAATAAGGAAGATATTTTAGTTGCTTATTAATGTGCATGTACAGTAGTTGGCATGGTTTTCTCATTGAGTAAGTTTTTTGTTGATCATTATGTTATATACCTGTTAATAGTCTAACACTAACAACTTGTAAACATATCTTACATCATGCTATCTGTGCTTTCCTTCAATTTGCCAGCCAAAGCCAAACTCAAAATAAACAAGATTGAAATATTTATTAAACATTTTAAACATTTACAATGAATGTAAAAATCAAAAATAAATTTTAAACCTTTGAGATCATCAACCAAAGGGTTTTATGATGAAACTTGGATCTGCTTTCTAATTGTTATACATAAACAGTTTACATTTGATCTTAAGACACCCATATCTATTTCAATCAAATGGGCTGTATTGGAATTTTGTCATCTATATTTAATTTGAAACTGGCAGAAATAAGATGCATATACACACACACCATTCCCTTAAGGTTGTCATGTAATTTACCTTACCAGTAATCACAAATTTCTTGTTAAAAAATTGACTGTTAAAATTAAAAGCATTCACTTTAAAGTTGTACTTTAATGATTCTGAATTTGTTTGTTTGTTGATACTGATGTATGAGGAAAAATATTGACATTTGGTATTTATATTGATATAATTGTAAGGTATTTCTTTTCATTCTGCTGTGTACAACTTTATTATAGCTATAGATATATTATATAAACCTAATCGAAGACAACATCATTACTAAGATAAAAACAAATAAGATATCGACCATATGCTAGTCCCAGTTTTGTAAGCCAACAAGATGTAAATTGACTCCTCATTCTTTCATTTCATTCATGTTTATTTATATTTCATGGTGAAGGCATATTATATTTCTATAACTTGTTAGTTGTTCTCAAGGTTAAAAATAAATGATTTTATTTATAGCAATAGAACAACTTACTTGGAAGATTATGATAATATCACTTTGTTTACACAATAAACAGTCTATAGTTTTTTTTTTGTATTATAATTTGTAATATTGTTAAGCATAGTTTGAAGACTAACTAGCAAGAATTTTAAGAAAACCAGATTTAAATGATATCAAACTTTGGTTAATGGTGCCAGCTTATCTTTTATGTTTAAAACAGTCCAACTATTTATTTGCAGACAGCATTACAAGGCCATGATGAAAAAACTTTATGTTGTTTGTGCTGTAAATCAGGACCAATTTCTGCAGTCTTCAGAATAGATCGAGGAGGTTTTGTTCCTGGAGAAGCAATACCCATTAATGTAGAAATTACTAACCACTCAAGCAGAACAATAAATGGTTCTAAAGTTGTATTCAGAATGGTAAAATAATTATTCTACTTCTATTACTTAAATAGACATTTCTGCAATTACAGCATTAAAGGAGAATTACCTATATATATTACGGTGAATAAAACTGATTAATTTTGTGTTAAAGGCTTTTAGAACCCTTTATTTTAATCTAAAGAAATGATCCGAATCTCTGCAATATGCTCTTTTAGAAAAAGAAATACCAATATCCATTTGTCATGTGGAGTCAGAGACGAGCCTCTTGACATGCAATGACTTTGTGACCAGAACATCGTGACTGGGTGGTATTTCATATATGAAATGTAATTCCTATTTTAAGAAATTCAATTTCTTTACATGTAAATTGGGCAAAAATCAGTGTATATAACAACACAAATCGAAGTTTGGATTTTATTCTGGCGTTACTCTGCGACAACGAAAGGGTTGAAATTTCTGCTGAGGTCATTTAGAAATAGTTTTTATACGCCCATATTGAAATATCACCTGTGGGAGCTGTAGAGGCTAAGGTCATCATCCAATTGACTTAAAATTCATACACAGTGTTTATGATAATTCCTGTCAAGAGTTAAGACCCTTGATCACCTAGAAAAATCTTTTGGATGCTCCAGAGACTAAAGTAATATTCAATTGACTTGACATTTGACTTGCATCATATATAGTAATTACCTTATCATCTCCATTTAAGAAGTTGCCAGTGGGCATTTTGTCATTGCCAGGCAACACTATGTATAAATAATCTATTTGTATTTTACTTCAGTATTTGAATTTGTTGGTGTTCCAATTGACTGATAGATTTCTCTACCAAACGTGTTCGATCCTAGCAGAAAATGCCAGAATTATAGTATTTTAGATTTTTATGCATATCTACCATAATCACATGATCAACTTTTGCAAAGTGTACAGTGTAACCTGTGTTAGGCACAATTATTGCAAAATAAATGATTAAAATTTGTAAGCTATTTATTGTCTTAATTTACAGGAAACACTTTTTAAAGCTCGGGGTAAAATGAAAGTTGAAAGTAGACAGTTGGCAAAAATAAAACATGATGGATTTAAAAAAGGAGAGAGTGATATTTGGAGTGGGGAAGCCATCATTATACCACCAGTCCCTCCATCTTTTCTAGCGGGTTGCCATATTATTGATATACACTACTATTTAGAGGTAAAGTTCTATACATAGTAGCTTCATCTATGAGAGCGAACGACCGAGAAAATACTTGCGTTTATTCATACACTGCCTTTAAATTAAATAATATGGTCGTGACAACATCATTCTATGTGATCTTTCAATATATTACTAATAGTATTTAATTAAGTTATTTTGTATTGCATGATATTCAATCAACTAAAAGCTCTATGGTGCCCCCAAGCTTAAAATTGCAGATAAGTTTAGCAAATCAATGAGATTTGTTTATTTTTGTGCTGAAATCAACTGATATACCGGTATGTTTCTATCCATTACAATTGACAGTTGCTAGTTCTGATTCCACCAGTGGCTTCATAATCCCAATTTCTAGTGTGACCTATGGAGAGTTTATAAAAGGTGATTCGTATCTATCTATTGTTAGAATGTAGACATACAAACCCATCTTACCAATTTATTTATTATTACAGTTAATAGTAAATCCATCCGGATTATCTTTTGAAATGACTATACCATTAGAGATAATAATAGGAACAATACCATTAAATCATATTGTACTACAATTTCCTCCAATGCCACCTTCTCAACCAGCTATTTATCCACCTGTGTTAGATGATCCTGATGGAGCTAAACCAAGTACACCATCGTCACGTAAGTTTCAGATGTACAGTTTTTAATACACTCTTACTTAAAATGAATCGTATATTGCCTTCTCCACAATTCTTATAAAAACTTTAAACACTACATTAATCTTCTGATCTTTTAAAAGATATTTATTGTTTTTACATTAGTGAGGGAAAGATGCCTATTAAATTTCATAAATTTCTTTGCTTAATAAACACGAGAGAACCTTCGTCGAAATGTTGCCATATATATACCATATAATTGTGTTAGCTTCCAGGGTTATTGGCCTTTTTTACTTATTGGAATTTTGTGAACAAAAAAAGAGCATGAATTGAAGAAAACATATATCGGACATTTAAAGAACAATAGGTTATTTTATATATTTCAGCGCCACCTTCTTATGCTGATTGTGTATTTGGTAAAGTGAATATAAAAGAAGAGGAAGATAATGAATATACTGGTGGTAATCTGGACTTTACTCCAAAATATACTTACTATAACTGGGGTCATCAACCTTCTGCCCCACCCCTTGATGATGATTAACAAATTTAATTTGATTTGATGACTTAAAGTCCTATTGGTTGTTTTGATCAACCATAATATAGGTGTATGAGAGTTTTACATTGAATGGAAACATTTAGATTGTTGTAAAGCAGGGCATTTTGTAGTCTAGTAAGTCAGGGGTTGGGGGCAACACAGATGATGTTGTCAACTGAAAACCACACCCTTTTTGGTACTATTTGAGAGAGGAAAAATAGCATACATGTATATGCCAGATCTTGTCTAAGGTATGCTAAAATACTACTATTTTCTCGCGCCCATGGGAGATACCCTACCAAACTCCCTATGCTTCAGATTCCTTAAAAAAATGTCCTGGCTTAAAGATTTTAAAAGTAAGCTGAAACTTTTGCTGGCATTTGTCAATGACGATGGTTAATACTTAATGGTACCTGAATGCTGAATTTGTAAGAACATGGACTCTCAAGAGATGTTGTTAGTTATGTTTTGTTGAACTGGTCCAATGACTGTTTTTATACGCCCACTTTTTCATGTGGACGTATTATGCCGTCGCCCCTCTCGGTTCATCCGTCCATCCACAATTTGTTTGTGGACACTCTACAGTTTTTTATGCACCTATTTCTTCATGTGGACGTATTATGCCATTTGTCCGTCCATCCACAATTTGTTTGTGGACACTCTACAGGTCACAATTATTGCCCCTGATTGTATGGAAAATCGCATTTTAGTTAGTGGTCCCTCTACAACTTACAAGTCACAATTATAGTATAGTCCGATTTAATGTTTAAATATATCACCATTACACCCTAATGAAGGTTGAGTTTGAATTTCATGTAAATCAGACCAAAACTGATGGACAAATTGGCCGCCAACGTAATCAAATAGTGTAAAAATATGGTATATCAAGGTTGTGAACACTCTAGAGGCCGCAATTTTGATCGGATTTTGATGAAACTTTAAATTTATGTTTATATCACAAACATCTTGGTTCCTTTCGATAATCGTGCATATCTGAACGCAACTTCCTGGATTATGGCCCCTGATTTTTCGAAAAATCGCATTTTTAGCTTGTGGACCCGCTAGAAGTCACAATTTGTATTCAGTTTTAAAAAACATTTTAATATATCACCATTACACATCCATGAAGGTTGAATTCGAATTTTCGTAAAAATCTGATCAAAGCTGCCGGACAAAATGGCCGCTCCTTGTACGTAAATAGTGTAAAGGTATGTAATACCAAGGTTGTGGACATTCTAGAATTCACAATTTTTAATCCGATTTTGATGAAACTTGAAATGAATGTTTATAAGTCAAAGATTTTGGTTCAGTTCGATATTTGTGCATATTAGACTGTAACTGGATTATGTTCTCTGATTGTACGAAAAATCACATTTTTAGCTTGCGGCCACAATTTTTATCCGATTTTTAAAAAAATGTTTAAATGTATCACCGTTACACCCTAATGACGGTTGAGTTTGAATTTCATGAAAATCGGACCGAAATTGCCTGACAAAATGGTCGCTCCTTGTACACAATTAGTATAAAAGTATGTAATACCAAGGTTGTGGACCCTCTAGAAGTTAAAATTTTTATCAGATTTTGATGAAACCTAAAATATATGTTTATGTCCCAAAGATCTCAGTTCCTTTTGCTATTTGCGCATATCAGACTGAAACTTCCTCCTGGATTATGGCCCCTGATTGTATGAAAAATCACGTTTTAAGCTTGTTTAGCCTACCCTCAAGAGGTCACAATTTTTATCTTATTTTAAAAACCATTTAAATATATCAACATTACACCATAATGATGGTTGAGTTCCAATTTCTTAAAAATCGGATCAAAACTGCTGGACAAAATGGCCACTCCTTGTATGCAAATAGTGTAAAAGTCTGTAATACCAAGGTTTTGGACCTTCTAGAGGTCACAATTTTTATCTGATTTTGATGAAACTTAAAATATGTTTACATCCCAAAGATCTAGGTTCCTGTAGATATTCATGCATATCTTGCAAAATGTGGGCGTATCTTGTATGGCAACCACTTGTTTGTATTGATTTGATATTGTGACATTGAACAATAATTGGTGAATTTAATTGTAAATATATAAACCATTTATCAAATATTACTATTTGAGATGAATTAAACTTCAACAGGACAACTGTGTGTGTGTTTTTCCAAGTCTAGATTTACATATAATTTGTGAATATATTTTAATAGCTTTGTTTTTTTACCTATATTACCTTTCATCGTAAATCTTATGGTTACATTCTTTTTGGAAAATACTGAGATAATATGATTCTTTTTTATACTGTATCTAATTTATTGCTATATTTACAAGTTACAATGGATCTTTTTTAAGCGATTTAATTGTGGACATATTGTCCTCCATAGACAATGGTTTTGTGAACACTTTTAAAGGCCAAAGTTTTATATGTTTTTATATTCAAATTCAGAACAAATTATATTGTTTATATATCTGATATGCATTCTTTTGAATGCAATACAAGACAGAGTTCAGGATGGAATTTTTTAATACTTCATGTTATTATTTATTAGAGCACAGGAATAAAATTATTTTGACATAAAAAACATGTAGACACAGGAAAGAGTTTTAGAAAACTGCTAGACAGGACTTTTTGGCATCGATTTACTATGCTGATGGTGAACCTTACGACATTATCATCATTATAATTAACACGGCAAAGAAATAGTTATTTAATATGAACTAAAAGTACAAATATTCCTACTAATGTATCTACCTCAAGGTCATTGTAATTATATCTTTCTGCATAATTAGATAAGTTGTTGGATCTACGGGAGGTGTCTAGTTTATGGATCTATGTATATTTTCTTTTGTTATAGCTTGTGTCAGTCATCTGGTTGTCTGATGTAAACAAGGAGGCACTTTTTACTTCTTCTCCTGAACTGATTGATTGATTTCAACAAATTTTTTTAAATGTCTTGCCACAGCAGCATTTATTCTGATTTGTTCATATGAGGTTGCTTGCACTATAGGGGCAAATTTAGATAATCTTAAAAATATATCTTCTTCCTAAAGTGAACTATGTGTTAGTCCCAAAATGACCTAGTTTGTGTGTCAAGTGGATGTTAAACTCCATTTCTCTCTCTCTCTCTTTCTCTCTCTCTCTCTGTCTCTAAACCACTTGATTGATTTCAACCAAATTGGTTGATTGGTCAATGCTTGTCAAAATCGTTTCAAATAAAGCTACTAACTTCAAAGGGGCAGAGTTAGATTACAACTAAAATTGATAGATATGTTTCGTGCATGGTGCTTCAAATTGTTGAAACGATTGAACTTTAATTACCGGTGTATCAAAAAAGAAAGTTTGTTCATATGATATTTGATTTAATCATGGAAACAACAATGATAAAATGTCTTATATTCTCACTAGCCGAAATCTTCAGTGGGTGATTAAGGCCCTTGTGCCTCTTGTTTGAATTTAAGCATTTGATTTGTTATGTAAGTGGGTATTTTTATTATCTATATCCCGAACTATTTTTTTCTGAATATGCAGAGATGAATTTTTTACACTTTTAGAAATTAATTAAATTATGTCTACCTATAGGGGAAATCTAATAAGTATTTGGTTTGAGAATAAATTACTTCAAATCCATATAACTACAGTGGATTAAAACTGCAGTTTTTGATGAAATTTAATACATAAAAAGTCATAGAAACATTGCCACATTTGTTCATTTATACGATCATGTTCTCATACAACTTGACAAGAAAAATTTGGCAAAGTATATATGGCATATATTTTCATTATTATTATGGTGGATTTGCCATAGAAAAATACTTCATGTAAAGTTACCTTAAAAGTTGAATCAAGTCCACCAATGACAAGATGATTGTTAAATATTGATTAAAGTTTAAACTCCTCTAACTCATCAAGTAATTTCATGCAGAAAGTGAGTACTTATTGTACTGTTTTAAGTGTTCAAAACACAGCATTCAGCACACAGAGCAAATTTTTAATACTTAGCATACATTGTTAGAATGAATATCTGACAACAATTTCTCAAATTCATGACCTTTCATTTTAAGCAGTCATATAAATTTTAACCCAAACATTATTTGGCAATAATTTGTAGTGTACCAGTTTCTGTATTTCCCAATTTTTTCAAGTGTAAAATGTATGAAAATGCAATGTTAAGTGTAGAATTATTGTAGATCTATTTCAGTTTAAGAAATATAAGTAAATTGTACATGTTATATTATTATATATATGTAATATATAATGGTTAGAATTTGTGACTGTGTGATTCGTTTGGTTTTTTTGTTAGCTATGTGATGTGATATATTTGGAAAAATCTCAGAATATGTTTTTTAATGCACAGAGCTTCCTGTATGTACGACTGTTTAACTTATTTTCTACCTGTATTAATTTAATATGCAGTATATATTTGAAGAATAATTCTCCAAAAGCATTATTATTATGCTCATATTTAAATGGTTGTTTAATAAATAGTTTTCAGATTACAATATATATTTTGATATTAAAAGGAATCTGGTCTTTCCTCCATTTGAATTGACCTCCCATTTGTGAAATTACTAATACTGATTGTTATTTTTCACATAAGTTAACATGACTTCCAACATTTATAGTTTTTATCTGTCAAGTGATTTTTGTTGGAAGCTGAATAATATTATCCTATTTGCACTTGAACTGCCTGAAACTAGTGCTCATTAGACCCTCCAATGTCACATGCATGCAAGAATTAATATATGCTTCTGTCTGTCATGCAATACTGAGAGTAGCTATTCACAGTACTCAAGTGGTTTGCAGCAATCTAGCTAGGGAACAGTAGTTTTGAATGGTTTAAGGCTGTCCAGTGATAAATCGGTATAAATTCTCAAATAACCAGGGTAGTCAATATTAAAATGTACCAAGTGCTATGTATGTTTTTAAGTTACTTTTTATGCTAATTTTAATCCACTAAATAAATGTTTATATTTTACAGTTTTACTTGTGCAACATAACTAATGTCTCGGCTTTTGATATTTTGTTTTTGTCTTGTTGAAATTACTTATGTATGTACATGTACATATTGTTATGCAATAATAAACCACATTAGTTTTACCTTTTAAATGTATTCTCTTTATAGCCATAATCAAGTGTGTCTGCTCATTTCTACACAAATGTATAAGCCTCATAAAGCCAAGAACTCCAGATTCTTCATACTCCTCGCAGCGTTTCGTTTGATTATACCTAATCTCATTTAACACTGCTGTAAAGGAAACAAATTTCTGTTCCAAATTATGACTGGTCAATAGTCCGATTAACAACCAATAGCTAACTGCTGTAACAATATCATTACGCTTTAAACAGAGCTCCAAATTGGACCAAATATGTTTACATAACCTTACGTCATTACTCGCGATTTTATTATGCCAAATTAACCAGTGCATAGCAGAATATTGCAGAAAAACTAATTACGTGACAAATGAGGCTATCAAAACGAATACAATATGAAGTAATACTGTTTGGAGATGAACAATTCTTTCACCGTTTATAATACCTTAAATCACTGTCCAAAGTTTTAGGAAAGACCCCAGATTAAACAAGGGCTGTCATGTTGCTGTACTTGGGATAGATTTGATTGAATGGGAAGAATAGACACACTCCCTCAAAAGCTCAAGTATCAGAAGCCAATCCAGCAATGGCCAGAGAGGGATTTCTTGAGCCATTGCTTCAGGAATATGCAAATTTTTAGAACCAGAATTTTTATCATCCCAAGACCTTAGTTTGTACATTTTGGCATTGGTGGATCTTGGCATAATTACAAGATCTCAACATATGGAAAACCCTGCTGCTTAAAACGTTGTTTTCTTGAGATTTCTATTTATGTATGTCAATAATAGATTGTTACTTAATTATTTTAATATATTTGGAATTGGTTTGTGGCTTCTGTGCATAGCTGTCACATCAACACATGGTGGATGATAGAGTGGTCTACATCTACTACCTTCTTATAGTGTCTCTTTTGTCAAATGGGTTTGTAATTTATTGCATTTTGAGATCACATTAGTATGTGGTCGTATACTGCTGTCACCCTCGGTGTCTGTCAGTCAGTTGGTCCGTTAGCTTTCTTGTAATCACTGTACTTAAGTCATAGTTTGTGTTTCTTTCTGAACTTACTGAGCTACTTCAACTTGTCAAATTTTCTGAAGTTGTGCAACTAGCTTTTTTTTTTAGAACTTGCTGGAATTTTTCAGTAAGCTAATAGAGATGAAACTTGAAATTCATGAGTCAAAACCAGATCAAAATTCAGTATGTCATTAAAATCCTGTAAAAGTAAACACTCATCAAGTCACAGATTTGATTAACGCTCTTTAGAAATACATATCAAAACTTTGAAGAGTTCAACTGCTTGGGTATCAAAGATGATGGGTGGGGTATGTATGGTATGTATCCGAGTTCTGTTTAAATTATTCCTTATATTTTTAATCATCTCAAATCAGACTTATTGAACGATATGATAGGGGAAATAACTCCAAATAATCACAACAAGTTGACTTATAGATGTAGGTAAATTCTTTCTTTGGAAAAAATGTCTTGAGGTAAAAAAAAATATACAAAAAAATTGTTTAATTGTAAATACTCTCACTTTAAAATTATCATCTTGGTCTGACTAAGATATGGTGGTAAATACCCAGGGCAGTGGAAATGGTTAATTTGAGTTAAGTTCATTTGCTTCATTTGAAGATGTTCATTTCATTTCTACTATGATTGTTCATGTGTTTTGTTAAACCATTACTGTCCATATATGATTTTCCACATTGGGAACAGACAAATGATGTGCCATCATGCTTTTTTATGTGACGGTTCAAATGACCTGCATGACCAAAGGATTTTCCACACTTATTACACAAAAATGGTTTTTCTCCACTGTGCATTCGATGATGGGCTTTAAGTTGATTGTTGTCTCCAAAACATTTGTTACAAATTTGACATTTATAGTTCTTGATACCTTTATGTCTACGAATATGTTTTGCAAGAGAACTTTTATTTGCATACACCTTACCGCATAGTTCACATTGTAGTCTATTCACATCAATAACAAGAAATGGATTAGATTTTTTTTTGTTTTCGGACTCAAATTTGTATATTTCACAAGCTTGTTTTCGTCTATGTTTTACAAATCCATTTTGGGTCACAAATCCCCGATCACATTTGGGACATGTGTAGTTGGTAACTTTAAAAGCACTGCAAGAATTGTTGATATGATAAGTCAGAAGTTCCTCTGACATTAATTTTTTGTTACAAAATTTGCAAATAAAATCAGGGGATAAACATAAACGTTTATGATTGATCAGTTGAACAGATGATGAATACTTTTTGTGACAAGTATTGCATGCATAATTTCCCTTGTCTATTTCAAAAGAATGTGTTGCTTTATGAAGCAAATAAGAAAGTTGACGTTGAAAGGTCTTATTACAATGTTCACATTTAAGTTTAGTAAATCTATGAAACGGCTTTCTTGCTTTTATTGTTGAATGATTTCTTTTTCTTTTCATCAATTTCGAGTCTGCAATTCCTAATTTTCTTTTAACGTGGCCAACTTTAACATTTCTTATCATAACTGGAACAGCCTTCGCATCATCCTGGACCATTTCATTTCCAGTATTAGCTAATGGGATGTAATCCAATGATTTAGGATCAACATGTTCATTAATAAAAGTTTCCCTTGGCATAGGTGTATTGTCTAAATCTACATCTCCATTTCCCAAGTCTGGTATTTCCGGATCAACCCTTGTAAGAAATCGTAATTCTAATATATTATTGCTTGACAATTTAAAGATTTCATTTTCTGAAGACAATTTAATAGCTTTATCAAACTCAAAGTAATCCAAGAGTTTATCATCTGCTGTGTTTGCATCATCTACCTCGGAATTCACATTAACAGAACCAATATCATAGACTACATTTTGACCTTTGACCTGAAATAACAATAACAATATATTTAATAAATCAATCTCACCTCAAAGGTCTCATAATGAGGCAGAGGACTCTTAAAATTGGCATTAATTCAACTCTGGAAGTCTTCAATTATTTAATGTGATCTGATTATGCAGTTACATATAGGGCATGTTTAAATGTGAAACCAGTCTCCCCAGCCTTCATTGAGATATACATGTTTTATCTTTAAATTTTACAAGTCATAAATTTGTTTCAGTGGTTCTCAAAATAATTGAATAGATCAATATTAAGGTGAATCAAAGGTTATTTGAATAATGCGGTTTGAAATTAATTACATTTTTAGGTGAGTGTGACAATGCTTTAAAACTTAATCTTTTTTAATATCCCTAAATATTCATCAAGTGCAATTTTTAGCTTGCATTATATAAGCAAGGCACTAATGGATGTGTGATTGTTTTGATTGTGATTACATTCCCAGAAACTGTATCTTTGGCATGGGTAGACTTACTATACCTTGAGAACATTGACTGAGAAGTCAGGCAAGGTCTCTGCTTATAATATAAAATACTGTACCCATTTTACTACAACTTGTCTATTAGGATAATGTATCTTTATACGTTTACAGTTGAAAACTACTATAAAATCTTCTACAGCTGAAGTGATATTCTTACTGCAATGGCTTTTTGAATAACCTTGTTTCATATCAGACATAATCAGGTAGATATCCATTAATTGGAAGTCTTCAAGATTCTGAAAAACATTCATTCAAGAAGTATTACACACTTTTGACAATAAAATAAACATAATTAATTTTATGTATCATCATAATATGATGCAGTCGTTGTTGTTTGTATTTTAGTAGAACAGAGCCGAAAAAAGGTCCTCGTAATGAAAAAATAGCTCCCCTAAAATAGCTCTCCCCATTTCAATAAGAAGGGTGATTTAAAAATATGTAGGGCCTATGTCCATGATTTACAAATAAGGAGAGCGATTTTCAGTTTTAAGACGAGGGAGAAAAACCTCCCCTTGGTCGATATTCAGGTGCGTGACTGCATGGCACTAGTGCGCCTCAAAAAACAATGACTGATGATGATACATGTACATAAAATTAATTATGTATATTTTTCGATAATCATGTGAGTAAGGTTATCTCAAATCTGTACAATGAAATGGCATGCAGCCATGTCCAATTTTGCATTAAATATAATTACCAGTACCGGTACTCAAATATAACTTAGCCTCATTGAATAGTGAGTCTGTTGGCGAGAATGTTATCAAGATCCTTAATTCAAGTAGGTAATAAAACCATATTAATTTGCTAACAAAGTTTTTTCAATATTTTGGGAAATGATTTCTTTTTTATATCAAAATGACACCAACTGTGTTTAAAATATCAGTAGGCCTATGTGATTCAATTTTCAAGCATACATTCTTAAGGACAAATTATCTTTGTTACAATGCTTGCTCATAACAAAAGTAGGCTACCATTTGTTCTAGCAGAGTATGTACATGCATACTCTGTCTACACTGAACTGTAGCTCATTCCGGAGTAGAAATCTAACCGTACTGTACTATAACTGCGTACTGTTTATGTGTAAGCCAGCAGGCTGCATTTGGAGTACAACCAGTCCCTTTGGCTTATGATCGGCGGAGTGGAAATGTGTTGTGTATGCTCTTGCGGCACAAAGTTCGGCGATAAGATATAGACAACATAACCACAAAAGATTCAAGAGTTTTAGGGTTCCTGAAACGTAATCTCAAACATTGCCCAAAAAACGTGAAAGAACGTGCCTACCAAACATTAGTACGACCGAATCTTGAGTATAGTTAACCAATTTGGAACCCGCAGCAGAAAACACAAGTGTAACAAATAGAACAGATCCAACAGAATGCAGCTAGATTCGTACTTAGCAAGCCATATAATTATCAGAACCCTAGTAGCGTTACACTCATGATAACCAGCTGAAGTGGCCATCGCTGGAACAACGCAGACAACATTCGGACTTAGTACTTATGTACAAAGTTATGCATAAGCTGGTAGCAGTACCAACATCTATACTACCAGATCCATCAGTTCGACACAGCAGAAAGTTCATACTATACCACTGTAAAATTAACGCATATCAACACTCATTCTTCCCACGCGTAATCGCTCATTGGAACCGCTTATCGGACCAAGTTCTACAGCTGAACTCACTGGAGAGCTTTAAGGAAGCATTACAATCAACCGTGGGTGTCTAACCCGAGTCATTAAATGTATAGTGTTCATACAAGTTGAACTTCTTAACCTTTCACGCTATGGGGGAAGATCCGACCTCGCGCATGTACAGTTCACCCAGCACCTTCACGTCATGGAAATATCAAAACAAACAGAAACAAACGAATCAAACAGTCGCTATGGATTTAGACATCTAGACCATGAAATAAATATTAAGAAGTGTCTACGACAACAACTGGATGCGACTTACAGACAAGACTACAGTTTTAAACAGACGGGCGGTGGACTGCGTCTGTATTTAAGCACCGGCTTCTACCAAGAATTCAAGAGAATCTCCCACCTGTTCTACAAAAGCATGAAGAAGCAGGGTATATTAGATAGGAGTGTGTCTGAAATGAAAGACAGGAACAAAGTAAGTGAGTACTCCACAATTCGAATTTGGTCCAATAAGCCGAAATGCAGTTTTAGATATACTCTAAATATGTATCACACTAAATGCAGTGCCCTCATCAATGGGTCTCATGAAGAAATCTTTGTCAATGAGCATCTCCCAGACTTGTTATGCATGATAAATGATAAACGGGCAGCGAGCATAAACAGGGCGGTAAAAGAAACCCTGTCCAACTCACATGATCTAGATACATGTACCTCTCAAAGTTCGACCCCAGTACAGTTAAGTCTGGATGCAAATACATGTGTAAGTACTACTACCAAAACTCGTAACTTATACTTAGTATCACCGCCATCTACAGATGAGGTTTGTTCAAAAAAGAGGTAGAGACACGGAATCCCAGGCTGTTATGACAACAATAAACTTTGACGAAACCCCTTCAAAAAGTGAAGAAGCAACTCTGACTCCTACACACCTAATAAACTTGGATGAAACGTTTCCAAAAAGTGCAATAATCAATAACGATGACGAAACAACTCCAGTTCCAGCCTCCTCAATAAACGTGGACAAAATCTCTCCAAAAAGTGTGGCGAACCATGGCGAAACAACCCCAAAAATTATCTGCCAAAATCGACCCGATACCACTAAAGGGAGACGACTTGCTCTTTCCATGTCAAACTCAAGAACTATCTCCTCCAAAATTAGGCCTCGATGGCAATCTTCAAGTAAAACAACCAAAACGGTGAGCAGCACTAGTAACTCAAATGGCCTTGAAGTAACAAACTTGCATCTCACCATAAAAAACTTGGAGGCCACTATTCTGAAACAGAATGAGACTATCCGTAAGCAAAACGAAACAATGCACCTAGACAAGGTTGCGCTAACAGCCATGGCAAATGAGAAATTCCAAGCCTTAGAACAAATATCAATAATAAGCGAAGAAAATAATACATTTGTGATTGCGGTTAACAAACTAACAATACAAATTGACAGTCTAAATGAACTAAATCAGAATCTTCATGATGACAATGAAAAGCTCAAAGTTGAAAACGCAAAACTACAAATCAAAGACAGTTCAGCTGGAAAAAACTACTTAGATAATAATAGACTTCCTGTTAACAACTCAGAGTTGCAGAAAAACCATCACCTACCACAGCCAAGTAATAGCAATCTATACAACATAAACCTGGGTTCTGTAAATCAGAACATGCAACAATCTCCACAAAATTCTGGTACTGGTAAACTAAATCAAAGTACCCATAATAATGCTAGACCAAGCAGTGAAAATGTACCTCTACATTCCAAGTTTGAGACTGTAAGACCAATTGAAATTAAAAAAAACATAGTTTTGGGATCATCAATTCTCAAATATATAAAACCCTCAAGACTTGATTTTAACTGGAATACTTCTGTAAGGACATTACGGGGAGCTAAAATTCATGACTTGGATAATTACATAAGAAAGTATCCACTCCCACCTAACAACTTTTCTCCTCCTCTTATCCAAAGGAGCATTATGTTATATATCTATAGGTCTTATGGTATTTATTACATTTGTCATATATTATTTACAGTTACAGTGTGTGTATTTTCTTTTAATTTTTGACTTTTATTTTCTTTCTTTTTTCTTGTATATATATTGTACTTAAACATGTACAATGTAACATTTTTTATTATTGATATTGAACGTAAAACTGTTTATTATCGATATTGAACGTAAAACTTAATAGTTTGCAATGTCGATTTCACTTGGTTTTTGGAACATAAATGGCCTATCTTCTAAGGTAAATGATCCTAAAATTTGCACTGACCTCTATAACGCCATCAAACATTTAGACATTATTTGCTTCCTAGAATCTTGGACAACTGTAGAGCAAGAAGAATCCGATCACTTAAAAGATATATTTGAAGGTTTTAAAGGTTTCATATTTAGTCGAAAGAGTGACAATGTCTCCCAAGCTGGGTTTTCTCGTGGGGGATGTTCTATTTATATTAAATCCAAACTATGCGATAGTGTCCAAATTATTGATAAAAAAGATGGTGATACCATTTGGCTGAAACTGTGTAAAACCGACTTAAATCTGAAATCAGATATCTTTATTGCCGCGGTATATATCCCACCACAAAACTCCCCAATATGGAACAAAAGACAGTATGATCCTTTTGACGAATTGGAGAATGACATATTACGTTTCAAAAGCCAAGGTAAAATTATTTTAGGGGGTGATTTCAATTCCAGAACTCATGTTTTAAGTGATGTTTATTTTCCTGATTCTGATACTTGTAGTATAACTAAGCCATATCCACAGTTGCTTAATGACATACCTGATAATGAATTTTTAAAAGTTAGGAACAACCAAGACCCTAAAATCAATACCTGGGATAGAGAGCTTATTCAGATTTGTAACAACACAGATATCTGTATTCTTAATGGCAGGTGTATTGGAGATATACTTGGTTCGTACACTTGCATAAACTCCAATGGTCAGAGTACTGTGGACTACATTCTTACCAGCCTCTCTCTATTTGATGATGTCCAATTATTTAAGGTGTCTCCGTTAAACTACATGTCTGACCACTGCTTAATTGAGTGCAATATTGTTGGTACATGTACTCCATATCATAATACATGTAAGATCCCCCAGAGTCCTAAACCGTCCTTATCCCAACCTGACCTTATCTCTTATAAAACGGGTAGTACTACTAGAAATAAAATTAAAGTAAGGAAATTTATTTGGAAACCAGACTCGGATATTTCTTTTCTAAAAGAACTACAAAAACTCTCAACAAAAGCTAAGCTGAATAATTTTCTAATGACCCCTTATACAAGTAATCAAAATAGTATCCAAGAAGCGACTACAGACTTATCCAATATCTTAATAGATAATACTAGAGCCTGTGTTAGATTTGTGGTGGTCAAGAAAAAGAAAAAGAAACATAAATGGTTTGATAAGGACTGTCAGAAGTTAAAAAGAGAAATGATAGAAGCCCAGCATAAATTTAATAATAATGTACATAATAGGCATTTCAGGGAAATTTATTTTAACAGAAAGAAATTATACAAAAATGTTACTAAATACAAAAAACGTCAAGAAAAAAATGTTATCCTCAAAAAACTCGCTGAACTTGAATCTAATAATCCAAGGGAATATTGGGATCTTTTGAACTCTCTTATTCAAAATAAGCAAACAGAAGATAGTAATATTAAACTGGATGACTGGCAAAATCATTTCACAAGTCTTTTTCAAAACAACTCCCCAACCACTAATGATGATAAAACGGAAACCTTAATTAAAACTTTGCTAGATTCTAATGCAGAAAATACATCCCTAAACAACCCAGTCTCTGCCGATGAAGTGAGAACAGCCTTTTCGAGCCTTAAAAGAAACAAATCTGGTGGGCCTGACCTCATACTAAATGAAATGCTACTCATGTCACAGGAAATCATGTTAGATCACTACTTGAAATTATTTAATCTAATTCTTTCAACGGGGATCTTGCCCCAATCTTGGAAAAATTCCTTTATTGTTCCCATTCATAAAAAAGGAGATAAGAATGACCCCAACAATTATAGAGGGATAGCTCTAGCTAGCTGTCTAAGCAAATGCTTTTTGTCAATCATAAATCAGAGACTTACAAACTTCCTTGAGGATAATAATGTCATAGATGATGCACAGTGCGGATTTCGTAAAAATCATAGAACTGTTGATAACGTCTTTATTTTAAAAACCTTGATTAATAAATGTAAGAAGGAAAAAACTGATTTGTTCTTATGCTTCGTCGACTTCTCTAAAGCCTTTGATTCAGTTTGGAGAAAGGGCTTGTTGCTAAAATTACTTCAGCATAATATCAATGGGAAAGTTTTCAGTCTAATTAGATCTCTGTATAACTATACTTCTTATACAGTGAAAACCTTAGATGGTCTGTCAAAAAATATAGAATCGTCCTTGGGTGTGAAACAAGGATGTGTCCTAAGCCCGACTTTATTCAATATATATCTAAACGACCTGCAAACTTGTTTAAATACATTTAATTTAAATTTTGACAGCCCAGATCTTGACTCGCATGAAATATCTCATATTCTTTTTGCAGATGATCTTGTTCTGTTATCAACATCATCTGTCGGTCTTCAAAATTGTCTTGTATGTCTCAACTCTTTTTGCACTGATTGGAAACTTAATATTAACTCTGCAAAAACGAAAGTGATGCTTTTTAATAACAATAAGATAAGTCTGAAAAACAAATCCCAATTGAAATTCTTTTTTAACAATCAACTGCTCCAAACTACTGATGAATATCTATATTTGGGAGTCTATATAACGAATAACGCATCCTTCAAAAGTGCGATAAATGAATTAAGTAAAAAGGCTAGGAGGTCATGGTTTGGTATCCGTCAGAAAGTGTGCACCGATGATCACCTGCCAACCGAAGTACTCATAAGACTGTATGAAGCAGTAGTGAAACAAATAGCTCTGTATGCCTGTGATGTATGGGGGTCGCAAATAGTACATAGCAGAAATGTGAATTTACACAAATGGAACTATGTGGAGCATAATAAAATCACAATAAAAACTTGCAAATCCATTTTACTCCAACCCAAAAAATCATCAAACATAGGATCATTGGCTGAACTAGGTATCTTCCCAATTCAAATTGATATTTACCAACGAATGTTGCTATTTTATAAAAGATTAAATACACCCGACATAAAACGTACAAATCCTTTACTATCCGCCGCATATGTGGAAGATGTAGAAATAGGCAAATCAAATCCCAAATTATCATGGTCAGCAGCAATATCCTCCCTCATGGACCAGTTCAACTTATCTCCCTTGCAACTTTCAAAATCTAACATTCAAACGGCCATAAGGTCCCAATTCAATACTATTTATAAAACCGAATATATTTCTGGCAATTCAAAACTTAGAACTTACGGCACTGTAAAACCTGCTATAGACTATCCAGCTAATTATTTGCTTCATGTACACAATAAAAACTTCAAGTCTGCTATGACCGCACTACGATTGAGTTCCCATAAACTAGAAATAGAGAGGGGCCGGTACAAGAACGTCCCCCCTGATATGAGACTATGTGCACTCTGTTCCCTCTCTAAAGCAGAAACCGAATTTCACTTCTTAATTGAATGTCCACACTATCAATCTCTTGGGCTAAATATTCTTTCTGCTACATTCAGTAACAACAATTTGGCCATAACGTTTGAAAATCTATTTGACCCTCCCCCTTCAGTTTCTGTGAGTGTATGCCATTATATATATAAAGCATTTCAACGTAGAAATCAAGCCTCGACCTAATAAGGTATTACAAGGCAAAACTTCACATTTTATTTTTTTATCCTTTTGACATCTATACATTTTTGAAGTAATGTTTCTGATAGATATTTTCACTTTTAACATGAACCTATGTATTTTATGTTTAGTATTCTTATAAATATATATATGTATATTGCTATTTATTTTTTGTCATGTTACTTATGTCATGTATATGAATTGTATGCGGCCTGAAATGGGTGTTATGATACAATAAAATCTTATCTTATCTTATCTTATCTTATCTTATCAGAGGATTTTGTGAAGTATCTCATTGAATATTGAATATTGAATAGTCATAGACTCACTTATCATATCATGTCCGTAGTAGCTAGGGGAATAGCAAAATATGTTTTATCTTCTTGTCACTTCCTACCGACTGGTATTGGTAACATACATTACAAAGACAAAGGCCTCAAAATTGCCCCCTTCCTTTTAATTCATAGGCCTACATGTAACATCATACACAACCACCTTAGTTTATTGGTCAGATTTCTTAAATTTATGTATGACTTTTATCAATAACAAATAGGCCTACTATTTTGAACTCTAATTTGAAACCTTGCAAATAAGGGGGGTAAGTCCCAATTCTGAGATAGTATGGTTTTAGACCACTGATATTTTCTACATCTACTATAGAATTTCAAGTTTTATCTTGAAAACGTTGAGAGAATACTCTTCGAAATGTCGCCTAAATTAATCAGTACCGGTAATTGTTCTTCCATAAGTAGGCCTATGTGTTATAGTTTATTGCTCTATCCAGTTACTAAATGCCTCTAAAAGATCATTATATCATACTTGGGAAATTCCTGGTGGGCTTCTGGTGAAGGATGCCTAGGTTTTAAGACTCAGTCCAGGCTAATGAATGTGTCTTTGAATCAAATCTATATGACATCTGATCTCAACCTTGAATAGCTACGAGAACGTAGCTAAAAACGTTGAGATGTACTGATGTGCTTGTTTTTAGCTACGATTTGGTGCCTTTAGTTCCATGTGGCAAACTCAATTCCTTTATTAATGCATGTAACATCTTACAAATAAGATAATTTTATACTATTATGACTAATTCAACTTTCAGAGGCCAATGTAGTGGCATAACTATCGTCTAACTCCAAATATTCGTGTTTAAATTAATGAAGCATTGTTTTTATCAGACATACACCTCCAGTTTAAAAATGGCGTTCTTCGATTTTAAATACAATGATTTATACCTGTTTGAGGTAGGAAATGAAATGAAATGAAATGGGGTTTAACGTCCTACTGTTCTGCTCCTAACCTGGGCTAATGAAGACGGGCATACGACATACAGTGTGCTATGAGAGAAAATTTGCCCGGGCAGCGGCACTATCGCCTACTCTTATATCGAATTCCAACTGCCAAGGGATCTTTTACGTGCATGCCAATGTGTACACAGGACCTCGGTTTTTCATCCCATCCGAACAACTAGACAGCTGTCCTTGTCAGGCCCTCCATCCTGCATCACTGACAAGGGGGAACCATGCCGGAAAATCTGGATGAACTTTCTCTGCCAATGCAGGGATCGAACACCTGACCTCCAGGCTAGCAAGCCAGCGTCTTACCCACTTAGCCACGTGATCCTGGTTTGAGGTAGGACTATATGCTTAATTGTAGTTGGATGTGGCAGAAATATTATAAATAACAATAATCAATCGTTGTTTTGATGAAAAATATTGTCAATTTTGCTTACTAAGGCCCGATGTGATTTGCGTTGGGATTTGCTACGTGGAACTATATAGCACCATCTCTTATCCCGAAACACGGAGAGTTGAGAGATGAGGTTTGTTATGAAGGCAGTTAACTGGCGGGTAGACTAATCACCGGAATTCACTTACAATCACCGGAATTCACTTTGAATATATCAGAATTCGTCTGTAAAATCTTAATATTTACTTATATTCATGATGCATATTTGAAATTAATTCCAGTAGTCTTTCAAATAAATACACCTACAGCGCCTTAATCAGGTCTGTGGAGAGATCAAAATAGTTATTCGTTATATTAAAATGAATTGTCTATTTAAAATAAATTAGTTTTGTGGGAGGAATCGGTTGCTTTCAGAGTGAATTCTGGTCAATTCCGGTGATTGTAAGTGAATTCCAGTGATTGTAAGTGAATTCCGGTGATTAGTCGGGCCGTCAAATCATATTAATGGCAAATAATATTGCCATGGATAAACACTGATTTTAAAAACAATGTATTCAATCTATTTCAGTGATCAATACAAAGCTTTATTATATGATATTGTTTTATGTTTATTTCTGTAAATGAAAATAATATTACTATACATTTATACACACTAAATATAAATATAATACTGAATATAATATCTTTAAAAAACATTACTACAAATTTAGCTCTAATTGATGGTAAGTCGGGTCCTGCATGGGCCATTACAAAAAGTAATACTACAGCATCTAAATGCACCTCTATTCGGTCGTTCTATAACAAATTTAGCCTATGATTCTATAAATGATACTATACCTATACATGTATATAATACATATAAAAAATGATATATTCTATTTATTAATATATAGGTATCTTTCAGCAAAATTAGGCCCACCAAAGATATTTTCATCTGAAAGTATGATAAGTAATATAAAATAGTAGACCCAAATTGCATAATAAGCCAAAAATAAAGTAAATCGGGTAATTATACATATGATCAACCACAATTTGGCCATTTGATTACGAATGTGAGCTACCGCTTGTTGCCAAGCTATAATAATGTATTTAGAATCTCAATTGTTTGTTATAATATATCTTTAAAAAATGGCATATAATAAATCTATACTAGTATTTCAGTACTATTATATAGTAATCAAACAATTTCAAGACGTCTGAATCACAGGTTTTACTCTAGGTACTACCTGGTCTACACAGACAGCATCATCTTAACACATGGCCATGCTGGGCACTTGCCCGGGGGCCTCAGAAGCATAAGGGCCCCATGCTACTCTATTTATGTTGTGACTTTGCTGTACAGCATATTTTTTAATGTTTAAACTAAACATTGATTTTCTTGGAAGTACCAATACAGTTAATATTTTTCAGTCTTATCCACAATTTACATTTTCATTCCTGTCAGTGGTTGTGTAGGTAAGGTTCTATAATTCTGTTACGATGGCCCTGCACACAGAATACAATTTTATGGAAAAAATTTATTGTTTAACCTTTCAAAAGGATTCTTTAGTCTTATCAAGCAAATGGCATCAATTTCGCCCAAGAAAAAAATGTAATATGTTATAGGTATATTCTACAACCAGGTACTAGAATGTCTTCAAAAACCTGTGGTCCAAAATGGAGTGCTGAACTTGGTGTTTGCAGTGACCTTACAATACAGAATATATAATATACTATGTTTAATTCACATAAATACATCCTTAATACTTTTAAATAAATTAGAATATGAAAATAATATCCATCTATATATAGTTTGTGTTCAACTGTTTATTGTCACACTAAATGTTTGATGATCACACTATGTCTATTCTGCTCCTGATCTATCCTCTTTTTGCATGTTTTAAACAGGTTAAACAACACATTTTTTGGAAATATTCACGATTACAGAATCTAAACTTTAGCACCAATGGACAATAAGCTACTTTATATTTGTCTACACACTCTGAAATGAAAAATGAATATTTTGTTATCAATGATAACAATATAACATCTATAATATACCCTTCTTCTGAGAGTGGTGGACAAAATGATTCATTAACAGCAACAGAGCAATTTTAAGGAAGCCTGCATTGAGAATGATTTGTAGGTTTCAGATTCTATATTATGATTGGTCATATCAAAATCAATGATATCCCTAGAACTTACCATCATCATCATCCTCATCTTCACACTTCGTTTCACAGGTTGTTATGGTTATGGGTTTCTTTCTCCTATCACAGTTCTTACTAGGTTGACCCTCTGGTGATCGACATTGTACATTTCTTCTCTGATGACCTGTACCACATTCTGATGAACACTGTACAAAAAAGATATATTAAACCATAGGTTACCAGGCAGAAAAACACCCACACACAAGAAGCTTTCATCTAAGCTACTTGTTTTTGATAAACATAAAATCAAATTTCTGACTTGTTGAGTATTTACCTTTACATGATTTTAATGACATAGTAAAATTCAAAATGGTTCTGTGTGAGTAATAATGGAATAATTGCAAAAAGAAATGAAAGAAACTGGTTTATGAGAGCTCTATATTTCAACTTCTACTTATCGGATCGAACAATCACATCTCTTTTGAAAATAAAATCTAAATCACAACTAATTTATCCTGCCAAATCAAAATTTTAGTAGGTTTCAATAATGCTTATCCAATATCAGGAGTGACTACAGGATTTTGATGAAGCAATAACTCAGCTAATAATTATGTGCAAATCTGGTTTTCAGTAAAGTCCATCCTTATGGAATTGTTTTATTGACAGATGCAAACAATTATTTGTGAATCTATATGTAAACCATAATTTACATCCTAAAACTAAAATCTCAAATTTACCTCTCCCCATTCTCCTTTTACCCATTCCGGTGGTGGACAATTTTCATTCCTACAAACTTTGGTGGTAACTGGCTTCTCTTTTAAACTACATTTTTTTTCTTCTAAATATGTTTTGCCATCACTGGTCATACAAAAAGCTCTTCTTGTTTTAGACCCTGCTCCGCAACTTGGTCGACACTGTATTTCAAAAGATACTGAATTAATTTTTAAATTAAATAAGAATGAACCATGAAATAATTTTTTAGTATTTATTGTACAACCAGACATCTGCCCACATGAATAAATAATTATGGTCTGCAGTAAATTAATACACCCCAAAAGATTGTCCACAACATTTTTCTTCAATTATAATGTGCACTATTGGCAGACCAATCTGATTAAAACACAGATCCTATTTCGTTTCATTTTTTATAGTTCAAAATTTCGTTTTACTTGTCTTTACTACACTAGGATCTGGAAGAGTTGTTATATAACCCGCATTCTGGATAATGTGAGGGATTAGCTAATGAATCGGCCTGTTACAGCAAGTTTTTGGCATGAGATGCACGAAACTGTGGGTAACCCACTAGAAACATCAAATAAATGTCTGACGTCATAGGGTCAAAAGCCGCTTGTATAACCTCTGACGCAACCTTCCACTAAAACCTTTCAGATCTTCATGTAGTGTAGGCCATTGAAAGTATAAAAAAAGCGAAACAAAATATAGATCTGTATTTTAATCAGATTGTTGGCAGACAATCCACTGCTGAAAACCATATAACATACAATCATTGTATAAGTTTTGTTTAAACCAATCAGTGTTAGTGTGAATACTTAAATAACCATAAAGGTGATGAAGAATTCTCATGGATATCAGTGACAAGAAATTGGAGACACTAAATTGTCATGGTGTGCAGCACTGTGCAGTGAGTGTTTTACAGATGCAGAGAAAGATGATAGTGAACAGGCCTCAAGGAAAGCAACAGAAAAAATACTCTTCACTGGTGCCGATGCACTTTGGATTTTGCGGATAATTGAAAGGTTTTTGTTTACTTATTCCAGATTGTTGTTGAAAAAGCAAATATTGAAGCCCCAAGAAATTCTACTTTCAAAATTACAACAAACAGTTTTAGCTGTATGAACTCTTGAAAGGTTTTCCAACTGTCGAGTGTTGCTTTATGTGCACCCCAACAAGTACACATGACAACCTTGCTTTTCTGTCACATCCGAATGACTGAACGACACTTTACCAGGCTTAAAAATCCTTTCAGCTCATGTCAGGATTAGAAACTGTCCCCTTCCCCCTCAATAAATAAGAAGTGTTGTAATGTGTACCTAATGTCACATCTTTTTATTACCTTTATCCTCATACAGACGTATCTTACCTTGGACCACTCATCAGTAAACCAAACGGAAGGACATTCTATTTCTCCACAAGTTTTATCGACTGATGGTTTATTATCTAGACACTCGGTATCATCTAATACTTCTTTAGGTTCATCTTCACCTACTAATCTATCACATACAACTGATCTACTCTGTAAACCTCCACCACATGACTGACTACATTCACCCCAATTACTAAATGTCCATCTGTATAAAATATTCATATATCTATTAAATTTTATCAGTTGATTGAAGTGACAAAACTCAAAATCGACCAGACCTCAAATTCTGCAATATTACAAAGTAACTAAAATATTTAAGGTTGTTGTCTTTTCATTGGCCCACATCTAATATCTGTATTAGGATCTAAATGACAAAAGCTGCAACCTTGAAATATTTTGCTTGTACAAAATGTCCCAGGTTTCTAATTAAGTGAGTGCAATGACTGGGTGTGACTGCCTTGTAATTTTATTGATGTTAGTCTTATTCCAGTTCCATAAAAATTCATTTTTTTTTCCTTTTTCATAAAAATTTGCATTTTCAGATAGAAAAAAGATTTTTGGATAACAACAAAAAAAAAAAAAATATAAAGCATAGCATGCAGTAAAATAATCTTACGTTGGTGGACATGGTTGATGATTACAGACTTTTTTATGATCACTAGGACGAGGTTGTGGATGACAATATCTATCACTGACAATATTAAGATTAATTTTATGAGTACATCTAGGAGTAGAAATATGGAGTCCTGAAAATATAACAAAAAATATAAATAGGATATTTTGAGAAAATAATATTTAACACAAAAAATCACAGTGATCAATAAGTAGAGACCAGTAATGGTGAGGGCTTGTGGCATGGTATATTGCGATTTGAAACTCAGATGTGTCTTGGAATATTTTAAAATATATCTTAGAGGATGCTAAGTGTGTATTTTTAGATAGACTCCTAGATATTAGTGTCTTGTGTATATGACATTGCCCTAACATTATCCTCTGTAATTGTCTTAGGAATATGACATTGTACATCCTGGCATTATACTCTTTTGTAATTCTTTTGGGAATATGGCAATATCCTGGCATTATACACTGTAAGACTCACTATTAAAATTATACTTATTAAATAGTTGTATTTTAGAAAGAATGAATTATAAATTACCTTTAGCACATGATCTAGAGCAAGCTGACCATGGTGAATGATCCCAGGTATATAATGATATATCATGATTGGTATAAGATTTATTAAATGGTAAATTATATTCATATTTCACTCCTTTATTCTCTTCTTGCATCAACATCTACAAACAAATACATAGTATATATACAGAAAATAAGATATATTCATTGGGATAACCATACGTCTATTCCCTGTCTGTTTTATTGAATTCAAATCACTATGGTCATTCCTTTTATAGATTTCATAGAATCTTGTTGAAACCTTCATATTCTTTTTTTATAAGTTTTAATATTTATTTAGATTGATAATTTGGTATTGTATAATAATTATGTAGGATTGAATCTTCTTTAACTAGAGTAGTTTTGAGTAATTAACAACAATATCTACACGATAGATTGCCCCCCACCCCCCAACACCCACACCCACAAATAACATTACCATGACAATAAGAGCTTCTCCTGTTGGACCAATGGCTTCTAATATTTCAGATTTGTCATCCTCCCTTTGATAATGAAATACTGTTCCTGCCAATGGAAATTTACGTGGCCAGTCGATTGTCCAGTCACCATTAATATAATACCGATCACCTTCATTCTTGATGGCTGAAAGAGAGAGAAATGGGGTTTAATATCTACTCAACACAAACCAGGTTATTTTGGGACTAACATATTGTACAATATTTTTTAAATAATTCACATGTGTGTAGTAGCATCTTAACCCTTTCAATGCTAGACATAAATCCACTGCCTGTGCTAGACCCTTTTTTGAGGAAAAAAGGGAGGTTGGAACTGAATGCCAAGCAGTACTTATGGAAGCTTTTATGAAAAATCTTTTTGTCTGTTGGGATGGGCATGAGGTTGGGCTAAGAGGAAAAAATAGAATTTTGGAAATTTGCATAATAATGTAGTCACGTGACGTCATGGCGGCCATTTTGGATTTCTCATTTCACACTAAAGCTAACACGAAAACGAATTTTTCTCCATGAAATACTTAAAAGATATTGTTTTTTTTACTGGATTTTGATAAAGATATATAAAATGAACAAAAATATCAATAGCAGCCATGAGCAATGCCGCCGCGAACACGCGCATCACGTCTCCCGCTGCCATGACCACGTGCGGATTGCAATACCTTGTTTTTACTTTCACTTTCACTTTCATCCCCAAGTCCCATATCATTATCAATATAGTCAGTCAATAGATCTACACGTTCGGGAATCAGGAATTACCTACGTATTTTACGATCCAGCAGGCCAGCATTATTATCAACATCAGAATTATTGTCAGAATCTACTGCAGACACAGGGCTATCGTGTTCACATTGGGCTTGTTCATCATGCACGGGAGACATAGCTAGCCATGGGCGGAACGTCGTGCAACAAATCACACACTTCATAATACCAATCACTGTCCTGACTACTATCATTATCAAGTAACTGGAAACGAATTATGTGTATCACCCGCCTCGAAATTGTCCACATGTTGGTCAGCAAGACGTCATTCACGACTTCGTCGAGAGTGCATCGTCTACGTTGTCACAATGCACTCCGCCATTTTACGGTTTGCCGCTTTGAAACACGTGGAAATATGTTCTAGTGTATAGAAAATACAATAGATGGCACTTGCAGTTACGGTACTAATTTTAGCGAGGGCTTTACTGATTACACGGTAATACCGGGTACGGGCATTTTACCGACATTTTATAATACCCGGTACTACCGGGTATACGCAGTGAAAGGGTTAAGCAGTGGGAGGAAACTGGGGCCATCGGAAGACTCAGAGAAAACCCATGAGATTGAGCAATGACCCTTCTCCTTGACCATGTTACCGTCAAATCCAGTTTTACGACTGTAGAATAAGACAGTTTTACAAAAAGTATTATCCATGCACTGTATTTTCCATATACGTGAAAATTGTTATTTGATTTATAATATGTTCTGTGACCAAAAGACAATGATCAATATTTTAGACTAATATACAGACAATTTCCAACAAATTGAATATGGAGTTCAAATTCCAATCGAATCTTTACTAATATTGCGTCTTTACTAATTATTACCTAGGTAGTTACGTGAAAAGACTGCTTCAGTAATCTTTACATTCATGGCACCAATTGGTATTTTCACTATTTCATGGTATGCTGTAAATAATTTGAATTTATGATGAAAATTAAAAAATTCTAAAATATTTTGATCTGGGTTACATTTGAGACATCTCACATGGCGTGGTCAATGCAAAATCCTGTTGGTATCGTTGGCTTCAAAACCATACATGTTCATTGTGGTTTATGTGAAGAAGCAAACTTGTAGTGAATAAAAATAACAACAAAGGTCTAAAAGCAGGCTTAGATAAATATATTACCAAAGATCATATATACTTTGTTTATTAGGCTTCAATTTCATGAAAATTTTATAAGGAATTTTAACCCGAAGTGAAGGTGTCATATATACTTGAATAACAAAAAATCAGATTAACTTACTTCCTTTAGGTAATGGTTTATCAAATAAACCTGATATGGTTTTACAAGTTGTACCATCACCACCACAAACACGACATTTATCCTCTCTTAAACTAGACCCTAAATACCCATCACATCCTACTTTCTGTAAGAAAAATATTTATATTTCAGTCTGTACATCAACGAGAAATGCTATCATGGTTTCTGTGTACCATGCCTAAGCTCCTCCAGTTTCATCAAATACAGTTAAATACAAGATAACACAGATGGATGCAATATTCAAGTCAGTATATATTGGAGGCCAGTTAACCACACTACTGAATGAAAAATACCCTCCCCAGCCTTTCCTAATGTCCTTCTAAAGCATCTAAGAAATTTGTGAAATAATTAATTGGACTTACATGGCAATCACCACTAATGCATACATCTCGTTTATCTGGATAACATGGTGTACCATCTAATACTTTAGGATTTCTCTCCGTGTAAAAATTATAACCATCAGCCATACAGATCAATGCACAAGGTTTTACCTGAACTTAATACAAATTAAATCATATTAATATAAAATAATAAACTAACAGATACTAGTAGTATATTTAATGTTATCCTAAGACATAATATGTGACACAGAGGGGTGGGGCATTTCATGTTTATGTTGACTTTACTTTCAGTTGATATTTCAAAAAAGTATTAACCTCCTGTGTATGGTTTCCATATGTAATGTCTGCCTCGGAACATTTCATTGTTCGAATTGTTGCATTGTAGTTCCCTAAAATCAATGGCATCTTCTGGACAGTCCTGTATGCAAAGAAGAAAAAAAACAACTTTAACTCTTCTTCAAAACCATATGACATAGGACACAAAAAAAAATCTTACGGTACATCTGTTTACCCACAAATGTAATTCCCCTTCTAATTATACTCTTTCTTGCATGGGTATTTTTGTTGACTTTTTGTGTAGAATTGAAGAAAAGGGTTTGAATTTACATTTTCTACCAGGTTTTGGTGCATATTCATGATTTTCAGGTGAAAGGATAACAGACTTTAGTTACACTGAAATGTAGTTCAGATAGTTGCATGTTTATTAGTATGGTACTTTCAGTTGGTGTATCTCAAGATTTCCATGGTGAATCTCAAACATACTTTTGAGCAAGACGTTGCAACATGTTTCTGTATCTGTGGTAGAAAGCGTTCAAAGTTCAACCCAAAGAAAATTTGGGGAAGAGTTAGAGCTTCTCAAAGAGATGAGAATTAACATTAGAGTCAATGGGGGAAATTGATGGTGTAGTGTGGCAATATACTTCAAAAAGGGAGACAAATTCGTAAGGACAAAAGCATAACCTTCTTCTACTTTTACCTCTTCAAAGATCAATATACATTAACCGAATTTCCATAATAATATATTACTGATAGAATATAAAAAACTGTGAAAAGATATAAAAATATTATACCACAATATTACATGATCTGTATCTCTTCCTTTCTCCTGTACAATATTTTCCACCATGACGAGCTCTAGAACATATCATAAAGGCGTAGATTAGAAATCACTACCATATTTCGCCTGAAGTGGGTACTATATCCAATCTCCATAGATGCGGAACTGGGTTTGGGTAAGCATAGGCTCTGGGAAGAATAATCTTTAGACATGATAATCCTGATTTTGTCAGAGTAATGTCTGCAGGCCCAGATATTATCTGGTATTTCAAACATAATGATAGGTTTAAAAGGTTCTGATGTATAGTTTAGTATATCAAAATTGTCACTATCTGAACTGCATACCTAACCCTGCTAGTATATCAACATAACTACAAAGAAAAATTCTGCCAGAATGAGTTAAAACATTGGATCTTCGATTGACAAGTCAACGAATCCCTGACTTATCTATCAGCTTATTAAAATCCATATAACCAATACAGCAAAGTAGAGAATAACACACAAACAAATTTGAAAAATGTAAGTATGGCAATAAGAGTATTATACATTCAAGCACATTTTATGTCTTATTCATTATATATTGCTACAGTTTTGGTCAGTACTATTTTGTTATCTATGACAAATATTAATTCTTATTATCATAACATTCAGGCAAACCTTAGAAATGACAAGAAATCCAGATAACATAAGAAATGACAATTCTGTAATTGTTATCTTACTCTGGATTGCTACAGTTTCTATGACTAGCTGATACTCCTCCCCCACACGTTCTGGAACATTCTCCCCATTCTGACCATCCTCCCCAATTACCGTCAACTGGTCTTGGTGTGAAATATGGTGGTCTACACTGTCCACGGTAACACCACTGCAATAAATTCATAACAACACATATTGAATTACTAACAAAAATATAACATGCCAACAAAACTGTCAAAAATGAATATTCGTAACCCAACTTCACGATAGTCCCACGAAGATGTCTGTCATCGCTTAACCTTGTAGAGCTTGTGAAGAAATCTTGGCCAAACAATGACACTGATACTCGATATTATTAGAGTAATGCAATTGTTTAACCCTTCAACTTTCAGATCACCTGTAAAAGTAGTTTCCAGTCCTGCATGGTGGCAACGACATGTATTAAATATAAATATACATACTCCTCGTTTTTTAGATGTTAATGGACATGTTGTTCCTTCTGCTGCTGGTATACTGTTAGTTACACATTCTCCTTTTTTATCAATACATGACAGCTCAGTACATACATTCTGTTATAATATAATACATGAAATTTAGTACATAATATATTCTGTTATAATACATGACAGTTAAAAACATAATAATATATTCTGTTATAATGTTGTAATACATGATAGTTCAGTCAGTCACTGTCCACCTATCCATGACAGGTGGGCCTAAGCTCATTAAAAAAAAGTGGGCCTAAGCCTATAAAGAAAAAAGAAAAAAAGAAAAAAAAAGAGAAGAAAGGAGAGGGGGAGGACAAAAAAGAAAGAAGGAAGGAGAGGACAGGATACTTGTGTGGGCCTTGGTCAATGACCTGGCAGGTCGGCCTTCGGCACACCAGTCCAGCACTGAGTTCAGTATACATATCTTTTATAATGTAATACATGATAGTTCAGTACATATATTATGTTGTAATATAGTACATGATAGTTCAGTACATACATTCTTATACATGATAGTTCAGTACATATATTCTATACTAATGTCCAAAAGAAAGTATACACTGTGCATTTCGTCCTGCTTCAAACAAAGTCGTTTTTTCATTGTATGCGGTATTTGGGTACAATGTCCATTTGTTTTGCCGTTTATTTGCTTAGAAATATTGAGTTTGGACGCACGAGACATGTTCAGTGTAGTTTTATCACATTTTTTTTGATTTAAACAAAACTTAGTCATATTTTTACTGCGTATACTTTCTTTTGGACATTAGCATATTATAATATAATAATATTATTAAAGATGTATTGTGGAAGTACTAACTCTGTCTATTGCAGGTCTTTTTTCTGGCTTCAAAGTCTGTGTTATATAAATCATTATTTAGACATTAATTCACATGACAAATTAAGCCCATAAGCAACTGTCAGATGGTTGAGATTTTAAGTGGATTAGACGCAATGTGTACCAATCTTCGCAAAAATGGAAAATTGAGGTATTATTGCAATCTGTGATTTATAGGTTTTAAGTTTAAAACATAAATTATGGAACCTACCTTCAGATTACAAGCTTTTGATTTTGAGCCAAACTGCAATTTACACTGTTGATTAGAACCATGACGTTGTCCTGCTAGTTGTTCTGGAAATTTGAACTCTCTTTGAGGTGGAACATTCTTCAGACAATGCCCACGGCCTGAACTACCAAGAAAAGCAAGTATATAATAAATTGGCTCCAGTCAAATAATCGTATGTATTCTGTCTAGGTAATTACTCAATGAAGAGATAAAAAGACCATCTGCAATATCATAATTAAATTGGCTTATCGGACAAAATATGAGCAATAATCCTGTCTGATATCTAAAAACAAATGTATTAATAGAAAATATAAAATACATTTAGAATCAAATGGTCCAGTAATAGACAATCAGTAGTTTGAAATTTATGATCACTTGAGCTTTCCATAGATATAAAGGGAGAAGTATTTTATGTATAATTAGCAGTATATCCAGCAGTGCCCTGGGGCCAAAATTTGTTAGGGCCCCAAATTCACCCAGGGAGAGCGGCAATGAAATTTTATGGCCTAAAACATTCACAGGGTCATATTGGTTAATCTGATACCACATATGTAGGGGGTGGATCATGACGACAAAGTGTGATGGGCGAACATACGCACATACACCCATACACACATCTTTGATTTTATTTATATAGATACTTACTCAAGAAAACTAGTAATGTATTCCTTACTGCAACTGGACCAGAGAAAAGGTTTTGTATCTTTTGTGAGTTGAGCTGCCATAATGCGAGCTCTCTCATAACCTGGTGTACCACATGGATTGCCAGCTCCATCATGATGCATCCCAAAACTAGGATAACAGAGATATTGTACATCTATTTATTCAACTATTTTTTTTAAAAAAAGAGCTACACAGTATTTTAGGGAAAGTGAATCAATAGACTAACATATGAGAATGGGTTAATACACAGGTACATCATGAACCAGTTGTAAATACATGAATTGACATAAAGGTAGAACTTTAGGAAGTACCTCAAGACACCCGAACTGCAATTGATTTTTTGTTTATTAAAAAATAATTAAAAATCTTGGGTTAGTCCCAAAATGACCTAGTTGCTAGTAGCCCTGATTTTGTGTTGAACCTCCATGTCCTTTCTAATTTACATAGTCTAACAGTATTAATGCACTGTAAGTTATAATAATACTTTTCTAGTTGGGCAATTTTTCTGTTTTGTTTGTCCTGTGTGAAGAATCTTATGGCAAGAAAAATGTATTTGACACCTACTTATGTCCAATTTCATGTGCTATTGTAAACGCTGATGCTAGTCCAATGTCTTCATTTATACTACAACTTCTATCTTCTTCACACATACCAGCTACTGGTGCTAAACCTACAACATAAAAAATACACCTCATTTATACCACAACTGGTGCTACCTACAACATAAAAACACATCTCATTCCGATGGATACAATTCATTTTTACATGATCCGTCAAGAGAACTGCAAGATTAACAAGGGGATATGATTTTTCTGATAAAAGGCCATAATTAGCCTTCCTAATGATTTTGCGTGTCCTGTTTTCCTGTGGGATTTAAAAAGCACTCGGTTGGAGAGTAACAGTATTTTGTAAGTAGTACAAAGTAGTCTCTTGTCAACCAACCCAATAATTAGGTACACTAATTTTGGTTTAGACTCCATAATTCCCTTTAATTAGCCTTAAAAAATCAAACTTTTAGTAAATAGAAACTTGAATTACATTAATAATTAATTAATACATACTTCTGTGTCATTCAATCAAGTTTGGTTGAACTAGGTCAAAAAATACTATAATTTCTTTTGTGTCTCCCTCTTGGGAAGGGGGATCACGTGGCTAAGTGGGTAAGACACTGGCTCGCTAGCCTGGAGGTCGGGTGTTCGATCCCTGCATTGGCTGAGAAAGTTCATCCCGATTTTCCGGCGTGGTTTCCCCTTGTTAGTGATGCAGGACGGAGGGCCTGACAAGGACAGCTGTCTAGTATTTCGGATGGGACGGATAACCGAGGTCCCGTGTACACATTGGCGTGCACGTAAAAAATCCCTTGGCAGTTGGAATTTGATATAAGAGTAGGCCGTAGCGCCGCTGCCCGGGCAAAATTTTTTTCATAGCACACTGTATATCGTATGCCTGTCTTTATTAGCCCAGGTTAGGAGCAGAACAGTAGGACGTTAAACCCCATTTCATTCACCCTCTTGGGAAATTCTATGTAGACAATTTCAATTTTAGTTCTTCTGAGAAAATCTAATTTTTTACATAATTTGTTGTGGAGTCTGCTAAATATAGACAAACATAAAACTAAAGCTGTGGTTTCAAATATCACAAACTACCCAACTTTATCTTACCTAATGTTCCACATGGTTTATTTTTGTAAGTACAAATGTCGAATCTGAAAAGAAATCCATCAAAATTTAAATAAATGATAGGATAAAAACTATCAAGAACTATTTATGTTTGTCTAATAGGAAAAACATTGGTGATTTATTTCAGTGAGTGATAATGCCATGTCAAATTTCTTGTTAAAGAAAAGTTAATAGGTAATTACGAATGTTGGCGTACATAAAAAAAACCTATATTAAAACAGTAAAAGACAATAATATTAGGCAGCTGCAATAACCCAGTAGATGCATATATACAGAAATATTGTTTGCTACATGAACTATTGGCATAATCTTCGCTGTGAACCACTATCAACATGTTTACCAAATGCACTTGTAATGAAGCCAGTAATACTTTACGAGCACTTTTTCCCCCTAGTCTGAAATGTCTAAGTCTTTCCCCGGCCCTAGGCCTAGCCTTTTTCAATGGGTAATTTTAGGGCTAGCAGCCAAGTGAGTGCCAAGATGATGAGGCTTTGATTTAGTAAACTCTTGATATTTTGTCCTCTGTGAACACCAGAACCTTAAGAGGTGACAAATATATCTATAGAAACAGTTCCTTATCTTTCTGGTTATATCAATAATAGCTGTGGTGGGAAACGGATACTTTGGAATAATCTTCCTTAGAATATCATGGGGGGTATGATTTTGCGATAGAAGGTTCCAAAACACCCTGTGTTGAACTCATACCTAGTTATCAATACAGCATTATCATGATGAGCAATGCCCTTTCTATTACCACTCTCTCTGTCTTCTGGTCCATTTATCGTCTGTTGCCATTTACAGAAACTATCCAACGAACGATCAGCATGATGACTTATTTCTAATCCAGACTGAAAATGTATGTGATTCTTAAAATTGCTGTTATAAGCACCTGATGAGACGAGTGGGGTATTTTCGACAAAAAAAAGGTAAAGGCTTTATTAACTTTGGCTCTTACTCATAAAAGAAAACCTGGAAATTGGAAATTAAATGCACAAGTACCAGTAATTAAAAATTTAACTTAAAGAGCACATACGATGAGAAAACTAAATTGTGTGTACTTGTAGCCAGTGGTTACTATATGCACTTTACGGCAAGTTAACATCAAGCTCATTAAAATTAATTCAGCTATCTTCATTCAAAGTCGCAAATATAGACCTCCTGTAAAAGCGTCTTTGCCAATTATCGAAATCACACTTAATCCCATCAGGCGATAGTGACGTCACACTGACCAAATGCATATTAGGAATGTTTATTTCTTAATTATCTATATACAGCCATCGTGTGTATTCATTAACGTGTAACTGATTCCTTAATCAACTAATCAAATAAAATAATTGACTACGTAATAATTTGTTTCGTAATTTATTTTAATTTAAGATCTCCCCCCCCCCCAACTAATCAGCATTGAACTATTTCACCGATTAAGAGATGTAATTTTTGTAATGATTATTGTTAAAATAGCTTATTCATTATATAATTATTTTGACAAATATTTGTAATATCTGGAGATTACATTGAGTGACTATATAAGATGAATGTTTCAAATTTTGTACATTCACTCTTCGAATTAACTATCATTCAGTTAAAAAATTTTGTTATCTCATTTGAATTCCTTGATAACAAAATTTTTGTGTTTATTTTTAAATTTGGGACTTTGGAAGTAGAAATATTTCTTTACTTATTCCATAACAATGTTCTGTGTGTACATGGCGGACACAGGACTAATAACAACCTAGAAGGTTTAACTCAAGATTGAATAAAACCATATCACACAGTCATCCTAGCCTCTATAGATTTATTGACACAATTCGAAATATTGCGAAGTGTAACGATCTAAATATGCTCAATTGACCTTGGAAGTGAAAAAGGGTGTTTAAGGAAATAGGTTACAAAAACTGCAGACCCAACTTACTAATGACGGAAGACAACAATTGAGTATTTGGATGCCGTAGGACATTTGTTAAAATTAGGATGAACTACTGTGTTTCTATCTTCATGTAAATTACTTTGACCTTTATCTATATTACTTTTTAAGAAAAAAATTGTTTTCCATCTTGATGTGCTACTTATTTTATACGATTTCTATATCAATTACATTTTCATTCTTTTTTGTTTTGTTTGTTTTGATATTGTTTGTATGAAAGAATCTGGACTGTATAATTTCTTATACGCTGTAGTCGAAATGGCATGTTTTTATGGAAGAATCTATTTTATAGCTTATGAGACGGTATATAAGTAGGGATAATAAAACCAGCAGATTGTATAATCTGTTTGTTATAAGCTGTAGTCAAAATGGGACGTAGTCGAAATGGGAGGGTACCCTATACCACTGGCTATTAGTACATAAAATCTAGTTTTATCATCTTATGTGCTCGGGGGAGCTGGATAACTGAATGGTTAGCTTGTGCACGCTGCATCATAAGGTCTGTCATTGAGTCAGCTGGCGTGGTTTCGATTTCCCAGTTGTATGTGACAAGGGGTAGGGTTACATGTCCAACTTCGTGGGTTTTCTCCGGGTCCTCCGGTTTCCTCCCACTGCTAAAGACCCCTACGCGCAAGCAAATTATTGAAATAAAATTAAAACATGTTAGTCCCGAAATGACCTAGTTTATGTTGAGTGGATGTTAAACCCCATTTCTCTCTCTCTCATCTTATGTGCTCTTTAAGGAGTTGAACTAAAGTATTGAATTAAAAAAATTAAATTCTATAACTTCTATAAAGTAATGAATTGATCTGATTGATTATTTTGATTGGTGATAAGACAAGATCTATGTTAAGTTTTCTGTGCCAAAACCAGTACAATGTTTCAAATTTTAATACTGGCTTTATCTGTGAACATGAAATTTTCAATGAAGATATGTGTATATGGTCATTCAAGAAAACAAATCAACATGTAAAATCCCCACACTGAAATCAACACTGAGCACAATATTTGAGAGGACCCATCAGATCTGTGTGATTGGTCACAAATTTCTGGTATTCTGCCCTTGCACCCTAGTATTCTAACATTTATAACATGGTATTTAATAAATAATGGGAAAGCTGCTATATTACCTGATCTTCTGACAACAATACTAATCTTGTGATGATAATATTAATTGAATTACCAATACTGGCATCATGGAAAAGCTTGGCAACCTGACCTCAAAAATATCAAACATATTTCTATAATGATTATAAATTAAATATATCAAATTGCAAATCAGTTGATAATAATAGGATAACGTAGGGGGGTTACTATTTATATTCTTGTAGCTGATTTAGATAATGTTGGGAAGTTCCTACTCATACACTTGATTTAGATAATTCTGGGGAGCTCCTATTCATACACTTGATTCATAAAAGGAGAGTGCAGGGTGGCATGGTCTAATCCCACCTCCCCTGACAAAATTTTATATCCACACAATACTTACAATATTCATAACAGTTAAAACATAGGGAGCTATTTCCTTTGATTTATGATAATCAACCATTCGTTTATCAGCTACAACCAACATCTCCACATTTCTTTTTCTGCTTACAGAACGGGGTCGGCGTCGCTTGCTTTTATTTTTACTAGTGAATCTGTTACGATTTCTCCCCTTTGGTTTGATGACTTCATTAAATATGTGAGGTGATTTGTTGTATAACCATTGTCTTTTTTCAAAATTATGATCTGTAAATGGGAGATAGAACTTGATTAAAAGAAATCATGTTAAAATGGAATTTTAATGATATAAATGACACTTTTACTTATTATATGGATGATTAGCAATGATACTTTTACTTATTATATGGATGATTAGTAATGATACATTTACTTCTAATAGGGATGATTAGCAATGATACTTTTACATGTAATACAGATGATTAGCAATGATACTTTTATTTATAATACATATGATTAGTAATGATACTTTTACTTACAATATGGATGATTGGCAAATGATACTTTTACTTATAAGATGGACTTGTTATGTAATGATTCTTTTACTTATAATATGGATGATTAGCAATGATACTTTTACTTATTATATGGATGATTATAAATGATACTTTTACTTATAACATGGACTTATTATAAATGATACAGGTGGTATTGTACTTGGCATATTTAACATTGGAAACTTACCTTTAACCCCACAGTGTAGAAATTTATCTTTAAACTTTAATGATGATCGTGAATAAACAATATGGGGGTAGCCCTGTTCTTCCACAGTATTGGTGGTATTCCATAATGGCTCCACAAAATAGTCTTCATCATCCGTACTAAACACGCCATGCTGAAAATACACATATATTGATATGTATAGAAATGATAACACCTGGCAAACTCGTTGTTGGATTCAGGGATTGGCTACCGGAGGCGACTGGTTCCGAAGGACTCCAGTGACGGGGGTTCGGGGATCATCACCCATATAATTTTTAAAATTACATCGTTGTATATGAGATTTACAATACTTTCCTGTCGGTTGAGATACAAACCGAAACCAAATCTGTCGAAAAACAAATGAAATTAGGTTTAATGCCTTGCTCTTCTGGACTAATGAGGAAAATTTTGCCTGGTAAAGATGGAGGGTTCTTATTGGAGAGTGGTGTTGCCATGGTAATTACCTAACAATAATGATGTGTAAAATAGTGCACCGCTAATTATGAGGGAATGAACATGCAACATATATTTCATACAACTTGTGAAAATGTTGATGACTGTCTCAAGATAAATATCCAAAATTAAAAACTATGCACAGCAAGGCAAGCACTCCTGATCCATAGTGCATCGGGCTGGATTAAGGCACTTATTTTAGGGGCTACAGCAGGGGCCTTCATCAGCTGGAGGGCCTCCAGAGATTAAGTGAAAAGCTATTTCAATTGTTGGATAAATTGTTAAGAAATTAAGCAGAGCAATTAACCTTAGATGTAAATACGTTTTGAATACTATAATACTTAAGTGGAGCTTTGTGGAAAACTTGTGCTTGATTCATTCTGAAAATTCAGGTGACTAACAAAATTTCTGGGCAAATAGCCTCAGCCCCCACAACTGAGATTGGCCCCCTACGCTTATGGGCAGACACAATCTTAATCTGACTCTGTTAGTGGACAATGGGTCATTGTCATTCACACCAGAGCAGGAAGACAGCACTCCCCTCTACAGTTAGTCACTGCGATAGATAGTATGTGCATGGGGATCGCACCACACATAAACAAACACCCATAAGATAAAACCACAGACATACAATATACACTGCAGGTAATAAATAAAAAAACGTATACCATCAACTAAATGGATCGGGGGGGGGGGGGGCAACTAGATCCTGATAGCACAGGATATCAGCAGGCACCCACCATAATAAACTCCAACAAATATCCAGACACGAAATAAAGATAAGAAAACAAAAACTGATGTCAACAGGGCTTATTTCTTGGACTCGGGTCATTGCACTGAATTCAAAAGCACTCTTTTCTCCGATTCCAGATTCCTTTTCTTGGGCCAGTGAACTGAAGTCATAGGGGACTTTTCTCCGATTCAAGGATCCTTTTCTTAGATTGCAGGCCCCTCCATCGGGCTGTGTGCCCTAGCAACAGCGGGTTCATATCCAGATTTCTTCCTGAATTCAGCGTTTTCTTTCAATGTTTTTTTTTCCCCTTCTGGCGAACTAAATGTCATATTTCCATAATATTTGCCATCCAACTTTTGATTATAAAGAGCGGGACTCAAATGGGAAATACTTGTTTGATGATTGCAGTTGTGACCTATTAAGCAATAGTTCTGGCCATACTAGAATGATTCTATGTTACATACATTTCACATAACGGGTGACACAGATTTCAATGTGGAATAGCAACACAAATTTCAATGATTTACAAACAATACAAAAATGTTGATTTTATCAATTTAAAAAAAAAATGTGTTTATTTTTCCATTTTATAAATTGATGGGCTAAAATTCAGTAAAAGTTTGCAGAATTTTATAACATCTTTATTATTGGTACATTCACCTGTACCTCAACTGAACTATTTTAAATTTGAAGATATTGGATTTCATCCAAACTTGTAAACAGTTTAATCTTTTTCCACCTGAAAATTTATCAATATCTAGTCAACTTATCTTAAACATTCTTTGAAAAAAAGAAATTCCTCTAATTTCTAATATAAACTTTGAAAACGCCCTGCATCATCAACTCTTAAATCTTGGTTGCCTCCTTAACGACTTGCGCTTAAAAACCAGCTGTGCTTCAGACAGACGAAACAGCTGATAGACTGTTCAACACTTTAAGTTAGAAGGCGAAAATAATTTTGTTGATAAGAACATGTGTTCATCTGACAGAATTCCACTTAAACATCGATATTCATCTTTATATTATCTCGGTTAAAACTTTTTTCTTGGCACTCCAGAGATTAACTGAACTATTAAACACACTAGACATTCCTGTGTAGTAAATTTAATGACTCGAGCATGAATTATTGAAATAGAAACAAATTATTTGTGGTTATTGTCCTTCATAATCATTCATATTAAAATAAAAATTCTACAGGAAAGTAATTTGTTATGATCCTAATAATGAATGATGAAAAGGTTATAAAAATGCCTAAGCTAATTAATACAAGAATATAAATAGATCATATATTATATATCAGCTGTCAAAACTTGACAGGTAGTTCTTTAACTAATACTATATTGGAGGAACTGCATGATTGGGTGGATTATTGATAGTGTGGACCAGCTCAATCAGTAGATATTACCATGTCTATTTCCATGGTTTCAAATCCTAGTAAAAAAACGCTTCAGAATTTTTAACAAGGTTCTGTGAGAGTCTGAAATAGTCTAGAAATCAGACATTTTTAGTCCATTTGTTCCTTGCTCCCAATCATCTATCGGGATAGGCCCAGGCATCTAAGTTCTCTGAGAGACTACAGTATTCCTAACTCCGGTCTTAAATCCTTTGAGGCACAGCTTTGGAGGTTTAAGTCATATTTGCCTTGCTAGGGATTTTCAGTGCATGGTTATGAAAGACTGCAGTAATTTTATTTCAAGTCTTGCTGTAATAAGAATGGGAATTTTTCAGCCGAACAATGGAAACAATCACAAAAAACACCCAATGGTAACCCTGCTATTCCAGCAGTCAGCAGAAGATGTCACCTTATTGAAGCTGACAAATACAGGCACAAGGCACTTTTTTTAATAAGTAACAAATCTTTTCAAGGTTTGTAAAAATTCGGTTAAAAATTTTATTCACAAGTTTAATCAACATCTGAAGCAAGAGTTTTAACCCAAGAAATAAAAATATCTTCAAATTTTGATGTTTGGTTTCCTTAAACTTTACTGTTCAGTTTTACCTCTATATTTGTTAAACAAGTACTCAAACTCTTCATGCAATATGTAAATTTAGATAAAGAGCTGACCATTATTTCTATAACAGTTCAAAAATAGATAATGAAAAATGAATATATTGAAAATATCATTCATATTACTTTATTCTGAGAGAAGTTATGAGTGTTTGGAGTTTTGGCAAGAAACAGCTGATTGCCATGATAATAAACAATCTTGATTGTCAGTCTTTTCATTTAGTGACATCCATTTTAATGATAACTAATTAGATGGCTCGGTTGGTCTAATCAATCCATTCAATATCTCAGCCATCTGATTATCTAAAGAGTTGAAGATGGACTTAGCATATTAATAAATGTCTAATTAATAATTTATTTAACATTTGAAATTTGAAGCCTTATAAAAGACATGTAATAGGCAGATTTAGCTCTTACATAATGCTTTTTTAATTTGCATTTCTCCAAATATTGGGGGGGTTGGATGGTCGAATGGTTAGCACGTGCGTGCTGTATCATAAGGCCTGTCATTGAGTCAACTGGCGTGGTTTCGAATCCCCGGTTGTACGTGACAAGGAGTAGGGTCGACTGTCCAACCTCCTGGGTTTTCTCCAGGTCCTCCGGTTTCCCTCCCACTGCTAAAGACCCCTACGCGCAAGCGAATTATTGAAATAAAATTAAACCATATGTTAGTCCCAAAATGACCTAGTTTGTGTGAGTGGACATTAAACCGCATACCTCTCTCTCTCTCTCTCTCTCTCTCTCTCTCTCTCTCTCTCTCTCTGAAATAAAATTAAACCATATGTTAGTCCCAAAATGACCTAGTTTGTGTCGAGTGGACATTAAACCCTCTCTCTCTCTCTCTCTCCAAATATTGATCTCAATAACAAAATATCAAACTAGTTGTTATTTATATTATTGTATGTTGATACTTACCAGACCCATACAATTACTTATAGCAGCACGTGATCTGTACGGTCCTGAACTATACCCGGTATAATGACAATCATACAAAGTGTCTAAATGTTTTTCTGCACCTTTTTTATACCAATTTTCCACCACAAAGTTCTTTGATAAAAGTTTCAAGTTAAGGGTTAAATTAAAGTTGAATTCTTTCCCATATGCAGACAATTTGTAGAAAACTCGCCATTTTCCAGGGTTGGACTGGTGCAAACTATTATCACTCTTTGGGCTGAAAGCAGTACTTCTTCTGGATCTACGAAGAACGTTTCCTTGTCGAACATCATAACTTAAAAAATGTCCCTGTTCATCGACTAGTGTAGGAATAACTGTTTGATAATCCGTCAGTTGGTTCAATAAATCATCTTAAAATAAAATAAATAATTGAATATAAAGATAAAATGTGTAAAGCTTTCAAAATTTGATTTTTAAAACATAAATAGTGATCCCATATGACCTTGGTCATGGTTGTATCAGGTTTATACAATTCATGGTAGAGAATTGCAAACAGTTTCTAATTAACACATATTGTCTTTTCAAATTAAATTATTATGCCTATTTGTGAAATCAGATCATGTTGGTAGGCTACATATTAAAAGAATTTTATTATTGTAAAAGGTGTCACAGAATTGTGATTATTAGGTATTATATTGCTTTTATATTTTTTTACTCACCCGTTTGTTGTTGAAGTTGATCAATTTTATTGTCTGTCGTTGGAATTGATGTTGTTCTACATATTTCACATGTTAAATAAACTAATATTATAAAAATAGAGCACATGCTATCTAATTTATATCGATCTCATTAAAGACAGAAATAATTTAAACAATCACACACTTTATAATAATCCCGCCAAGCGTTCAAGTCCGACCACCAACGTGTTGATGATATAATTTTTTTGTTCGTTCGATGTACTTCAACATCACTTCTCGTCAATCTGCCGCTTCAGCAATCTAATTGACTTAAACTTCATATTGCCAAATTTTATCCAAATTCAACAAGTAGTTGCGTCAGTAAGACCGTGCATGCAGCTGCCTTGTATAAGTTATCATTATCGTCTCATTATATTCCTGATAGCATTTCGTCAAATACTCCCTCCCGTATATTTACTACAGCAACACGTACATAAAGCGCAGACATTGAAACCACTAGACGTCTGCCCACAGGCAATTTTGCCTGTGTAAAACAACAGGTATCTGCACTTAATCACACTTCACCGCAAACCACAAAATCTCTCATAGACTCAAAGTGAGATGATGCCGTCAATATCTGCACTGGCACATATATAGAATCTAAACTGTCTCATTTCCAACTGATTACCATGACAATTCTGCTGTGTAAGGAATGGTAATATTACAAGATTATCGAGTGTTATTCTAACCTGAAGGGTTATGACCTATGTTCTGATTTCTGCACATGTTGTACTATGGGAACTACTAAAACCACTATAAGACTATTTACTCACTATACTAACATAACACTGCCATTTTCCCTGCCGGCTAGTCAACCCAAAATAATCCAGACAAACTCCATATGTTATTTATTCTATATACACTTTTATATCTACATGATCTATAGACCTACAAATATATGTATATATACCGAATTCCCTCGCCGCTCAAATACATACTAACAATTTTCAACCGTGTACATTTTTACAAACATTCAATTCTGGGCTTCATCAAGAACCATTAATTTACTGTTAATTAGCGGGAGAACACGGGATTCGATCCCGGTGTTGGTCGAGAAAGTTTCCCGAGATTTTTCAGCGTGGTTTCCCCTTGCCAGCAGTGGTGTTGCACGGTGGACCTGGTAAGAACAGTGTCTAATCTTTCGGATGGGACGAAAACCCGGGGAACTGTGTACACGCCAGTTGGAATTCAATTCCTTCATAGCCACAATCCGTATTAATATTTTTCCAAAAAAACGAACTTCCAGAACACATATTGTACAGACGTGAGGTCCAGCTCCAGATATTATAGAGCTGTATATCTTACCAAATAATTATCGTTTAGCTTTTCTCTCGATTCTTAATGTTACCATTCTGGTGATATCAGTGGGATTTGAAGAATTAATATGGCTAATAAGATCTAACCAACATTTAAAAAGAGGATGCTTTTACATAAATACAATTCATGATTGGTGGGGAGAGGGGGGCTACCATCCTAGGACTTAAGGTGATGGTCCAGGAGCCGCCTAGACCCCTGAAGCTTCTGAGGGTCTAGATCGTCGGAGATGCTCTCTGCGGGATTTCTGGCTAATGAAATCCGATTTTGATGAAACTTAAAAAATATGTTTTTTATACCAAAGCTCTAGTGGCCTTTCCATATAGGCGTGTATTGGACCTTCACTTTTCTGGATTATGGCCCCTGACTGTACCATCTAAATGTCACATTTTTTTTAAAAAAAACAAAACTGTTCAAATATATCACCGTTACATCATAATTTCCTGAAAATCGGACCGAAATTTTCCGTCGAATGGCCGATCCCCATTGTGCAAATTGTGTAAAAGCATGTAATACCAAGGTTGTAAACCGTCTTGGGGCAACAGGTTTTATCCGATTTGGTTGAAACTTAAAACGAGTGTCACTAGTTCTTGGATGAGTTCAATTTGTGTGCACATCAGTCCCTGCTTTTTACGCAAGGTGTCCAATATGAATAAAGTTTGTGGACCTTCCTGAGACGATAATTTTTGTCCGATTCATAAGATGAAACTTAAACTGTGTCAAGGATCAAAAGTTCTTGGATGAGTTCGACTTTGGTACACATCAGATCTTTCATTCTAGAGCTATAGCCAATGTTTTTCCGCAAAATATGAAATATGTATGTTTTTAGGCCCTTGGGGGGGGGGGGCTACAACCTATTCAGATGAAACTTAACAAATATGTTAAGGACCAACTTATCTTGAGAGTATGAGCCCTGTTGATTTTACCTCTTCCCCATCCATTTCTTCCAAAATGTGGGCGTATCTTGCATGACAACCGATTGTTTTAACTGACCATAAGCTGTGAATTATATGGATAAGGGACATACGGAAAGAGAGTGAGAACAACTCTATACCTTTGTTGTTGTTTTTTTAATTACCTAACCTGCTATAGATACAACTAAAGTGAGATGGGTTTGAAATAAAGATCGACTGTCCAGTTAACTGATCGCGACTCTGGCAACTGGGGGATCAGTATAGATAGCAGGGTTTATTTTCTGAAAGTCTACATTTTAGAAGTCTCACTTCTATGTTAAAATGGTGCCTCTTCCAGTTACGTCATTGTATCTAACCGAATAGTTACTTGTACAATAACCTTGAGAAGGAGTACTTGCGGCCAAATTATTGGGGGGCTAAAGCACCCCGCCCCCTCCACCACTCCACCGAGCCTGTAAATAAATGAAACGCCTATCACTTTCAATGCTATACTTAAATTTCACCATAGTTCACGCCGCGACCTATACTTCTTCATCGCATGTCATTGAATTAAAGATTAACACTAATCTGTGGTGATACTCATAGGAATTGATCAACAAATAGAACAACAATTGGTGATAGGTTCATCATGGCGACAAATGCTGCATTGGGGGAAACAAAAATATGGTAAAGAAGGAAACTGGTGTACAACTTTGATTTTGAATGACGATGGGCGACGGTGAAAATAAATGAAGCTGAATCATGAAATCAAAATGAAAGGAATTTAGAACTAAAAATTAGCATTAACCCGATAAATATTAAGAATGTAAGACCCACTATCTACTATTGTGTTATATTCTCAAGTTCTTGCTTATTGCATATACACACTTCGTGATGGATTCACGGCCAGACTATGGTTTTGCCATATCAGCCTGTTCTTATTTTGTGGCCAAAATAGCTAGCGAAATCTGGTGTTTTACCGACAGACATAATAATCGTTTGACTTAAGAGCATAAAAAAACGTTTATTTAGACTGGGAGATCTCGCTTTCTTTTAAGTTGATTTTATAACTGTCTAAAACACGCGGCTGTTAAAGGTGTTCTGTGTAGTCCGAGAAATGCAAACATAGAAAAGGCGGATGTATCTGTGGCCTTTTAATCACTTTTATAGACAATTGGTTCTATATTTTTCTGCGATCCTTTAAACGAGTAACTGGTGCATTTGTTCATGTTTACTTTTAATCTTGATAGATCAGCCAGTTCCTGCTATTTGAGAATTTCAGCCGGTTGCCACCTTTATGTTGCGTGGCTATAACATCATTAACGACCGCAAAAAGTACACTTTTATTTTCGGATATTTGTGTTGGTTCATGCAATGGCGTGGCAACGCTCGAAGTAGTTGGGTGTTTTTTTGTATAGGCGATTGTGACTCGTGATTAATAACAGTATTGGAGGAAGTTTATGGGTACCTGAAAAGATCTAAAAAAAAACATCAACCCCTATAACGAAACAAAGGTTATCCAGAAAAGCGACATACCTTATGCAACACCTTTGTAAGATGTCAATATCATTACAAAGAACATCTACCAGAAGAAAGGGTCCCCAAACAACGTTTCTATGTGGGTTCCGAAGGGCTAGAAATTGTTTAGAGCACATAGGAGTTTTATCTTTTGAAATTCTCGACGAATTTTATCATAATTGGAGGCTAAACCTACGCCCCATTTTGGTTATTAGGACGACTTACGAGAACCAACTTTTTTTTTGACAGGTGGGCTCCACCGCCATACATAAACATCTTCCCTCATATGTGTTACAAAATTTAGAAGAAAAAAAAGTTCAATATTTCCATCTTTAAATTAGCTTTCTGGTTAAAACACAGACCTTATTTCGTTTGATTTTTTAAAATTATTGCTCAAATTTCGTTTGATTTTTTATAACTTACATTTCGTTCGATTTGTCTAGAGGGCATTGAAAGTAAATGGAAATCAAAACGAAGATTTCGTAATTTTATGCGTGTAGTTTGTATGAATTCCGGTCACGTATAGATCAAAAGCAAATGAAATCAACCGTTTAGTAAGAATGTAAGACATTATTGGAATAATTGTGTTAGTTGGTCTCTTATCTCTCGTCAGTCTGTAAGTAACACTTGTTTTTCACAGATCCTCTATTTTTCACAGACTGGTGTCTCGACAAATATTCATATGTAACACAATCGGCACAAAGTAGATGGTATCTATTAGCCTATAGTTCACCCACCCTTTTGATGTTGTCGTGATATCCTTCTAACCCACCTTTAGATTGTGAAATGGGGAAGTGCATGGGTTTATATATAATATTAAATGGTTGCTGGATTTTTATTGTTTTATAACACACATCTTCATCTTACAGTAAAGGTATTCCCTTAATCTTAAGGCGAATAGTCTATAATTGAATAAAAAAAGACATCTTTTAGATATTTGCGAATGTATATTACTCTTACAAACAACTTAAAGAACAATATTTGTGTCAGTCATTATCACATATGTGATAGAACTGGTTAAATACGTTCCAAATATAATTTTAATACAGAGATCATTGCTACGATAGATGCGTTGTGAAGCTTTCAAGAAAGAGAAGTGACGAACGCAAAAGAAAAACACGAGTTCTGAAGTGACGAGTGATAACAGATACACGGATGAATTTCTGCTCACTAATAATTCCTTCGAAGACCAAAAATTGTTATGTGAGGCTGTGAGAGGATATCTGATAATTCAAAAAAGTAATTGAATGCCACTACATAAGGGAAAACGAGAAAAATAGAAATATCCCGTACATTCCCTTGTTTTTATTCATTCTATACTTTTTAAAAACATGGTAATGCATGGACTTTTTGTAGTTTTCTCGTTTTCTCTTATCTAGTAAGGGTCAAACATTTTTTGAATTGTCAGATATCCTCCCACAGTCTCATATAACAACTTTTGGTCTTCTAAAGAATTATTAGTGAGCAGAAATTCGCCCGGGAATCTGTTATCACTCGTCACTTCAGTTAGTTATATAGAAGGATAACTCGTGTTTTCCTTTTGCGTTCGTCACTTCCCTTTCTTGAACGCTTCATAACGCATCTATCGTAGCAATGATCTCTGTGGTAAATTATATTTGGAATGGGTTTAACCAGTTCTATCACATATGTGATAATGACTGACACCAATATTGTCCTTTAAAGAGAACCACGAGAATGTATATTGTTGAATATTTTTACGATCACTTGTAATTAAATTGATTTAACTGTCTTAAAGTAATTATTTTAATGATTACTCAGACGATACGATATGTGATATACTGGCAATGCATTTGTCCCATAGTAGGTCACCGACACCTTTCTGATTACTCCAATACACAAAATTGATGAATGCATATATTTCGTACTGCAAGAAGTGTTTATTTTGAAACATATCCATTAATATTTATCCATACCCTTGGCATTTTGGGATATGGTAAATGGGGTATGTGTATCTATCTTAAACTGATATATTATATCAGCAAGTATATTTCATATCTCGGTTCTTGTATCATGCTCATTTTTGAAAAAAAAAGATGCTTTGTTGAGATATGAATGAACTCGTTAAACAAATTCAATTAAACTGAATTATTTATACGAGTTACGACATATCTATCTATCACAGGTTTATTCTTATCTGTTGGTTTTACAAATAGATTAACCGGTGTAAGCTATTGTTCCCCCTTGTCAGTATTATATTGCTTTTTTCAAAATTTTAATTATCCATAATTTTGTAAATGTTTTAAGAAATCATTTAAATTATTGAAAATGATGTGTAGAATATCGTATCTATGATAACATTACTTTCTTTCCTTGTTGATCACTTTTTGAAATACTTTGAGCACTAGTCAGGAAACAACATCCGAGTTTTCGCAAATATTCCGAGATCTTTGAGTTTTAGTTGTGCACAAAATCTTTAATACGCTATTAAGTATGGGCCAAGATCTTGATTACTTGATTAGCAAATATTGTTCTTTTCCATAATATTCGACGCAGTTCTAAGCCTATCGCAAGAACCCAAAAGGGAGACGCATCACCTTAAATCCGCCTCAGGGAGAAGATACTATGTTAGAGCTCCCATGTTCCGGTGTTTTAAAGTAATTTATTATTAATGTAAAATATTAGTAAATACGAAGGTCTTAATTGCAAATTCCGACATTTTGAATTTGAATTCCGGGGTTTATATGTTTTCAATGTGAATTCTGGTGATTTTCGGTGTTTTAAAGTAATTTATTATTAAAAATATAATTAGTATATACGAAGGTCTTAAGTGTGAATTTCGATATATTGAAAGTGAATTCCGGTGATTTTGTGTGTTTTAAAGTAATTCAATATTAATATTAATACAAAATATAAGTAAATGGGAAGATTTTACGGGCGAATTCTGATATTCAAAGTAAATTCCGGCGAATTCCGGTGATTAGTCTACCCAATATTAAAAAGGTAATAATCTCGAAAATGGTCATTTTGGAATTTTAAACATAACGATTGTCGGATTGGGCTCCATTAAAACCCATCTCATATTATTTTCATCTGTATTGCGTTTCGCTTGTATGCCGCGAAATCTGGAATGTGGCGTTAACCATCATCAGTACTTCCGGTTATGTCCTGTTAACCAGACGGATGACTACGTTGACATTTATATATAATATTATACCTACTAAATGAGTCTACCAACATGGCGGCCTTAGGAAGACAAAAATCTAATATTTTAGATAAAGGACTTGGCAAGGGAAAACCAGAGGTAATTGTAGACTTACAGATATTTTATTATGTGAACTCAGTGCCATATTTTCCAAATAATAAATATATGCTGTAGTTTGATATTTTGTGGTAAATATATAAAAAGAAAAGAGGAACATGTAAATCTCTGTCTCAACATTCTCATTGCCACCATTAAAGAAGCTAATTCGCTAATATTTGGGACCTAGAAATTGACACAAATGGGTCGATCGTGTTTTCAATGTCGAAGATTTTGGATGATATTGAGTTAGAGACTTAGCTCCTTTAAGTTAAGGCACAGGCATCTGACCTTCTAATTCTAATCGTATATATATATGCATACACCATACCAAACTAGACATTAATATAATAAAAAAAAAAGAACAGGAATGAAATGCCCGTTGAAGCCCCGATTTTACCTGCACTCGCTTCAGCTCGTTTTTTTCAACAATTCATAATGTCAGGCAGTCAAACCTCTGTCGATTCACTCAGATATGTTTTTTCTTCAATCTAGCCAATTTGATTTGCATAAATACTCCCCACAAAACGAATCATAGCCACTTGTTTTCAATATTTACATTATTTACATTATTTTCATTCGTTAACATCTGTCGTCATTGACTCCATGCGCTGACGTCACAGAAAAACCTAACCAACCTCTGAAGTCTCGTATCCTTCCGCCTCAACATCAAGAATATTCACCAAAACCTGGCAGAAAATACATATTAAAACCTTCTCCTTCGATTCTACAACCAAAAGTATCAGAGTGAATCGACAGAGGTTAGATTGTCTGACATTCCGAATTGTTGAAAAAACAAACAAGGCAAAGCGAGAACAGGTAAAATCAAGGCTTCAGCAGGCATTGTATTTCTGTTCTTTTTTTATGTATTGTCTAGTTGAGTATGGTGTATGCATATATATACAGATAGAAGGTCAGATTCCTGTGGTTAAGGCAAGACCACGGAAAATGGTCAAAAGCGGTTTTGTCCAGTAGGACGATATTAATATGTAACAGACAATGCCTGAGTACAGATCTAAGGTGATTTGGTAAGTTGGCATGAGCATTGCCAGTCTTGCCCAGCCAGTGTATCCGGTTCCGGTCTGAATTTTCTTTTTAATCAATAGTCTGTGGGTGACAGTTTTAGTTATACTCCTGTGTTACCGGAAAAGAGCTTCACTCTATATTATTAGGCTACTGTTCACAAATGTATGAAAACTCATCCCAACCAAAGACAACTCATCCCAATACTCCATGATCATGTATTTTTTAAAAAAAGAAACAAAAACACAACTATTGTAGGATGAGTGGTCTTCTAAACTTGGTCCGAATGGTCTTCTATTTTGGGATGAGTTGTCTTCTATTGGGATGGGTGGTCTTGGGATGAGTTGTCATTGGCATGAGCTGTCTCGATACCCTGTGCACATTATGCGCATTACAGAAGCAAGAGTTCTCAATTCCCCCAAAAGAAATAAAAAAACCCAAAACTTGCATCACTAGCCAGTGACAGTCCCTCAGAAGAATAATTGTCAACACAGTGGTGGGATAATGTAGGCCTATACTGTAAAATTGCAAACAGGGTCTTAATTTTATATGTCTATCTACATGTATAGTATTACATTTCGTCTTTATTTCTTTGTTTACTTACACTTCACTAAGGTCATATGACAGTTCTCAATATTTTGTGTTTTGACATAAAATGGGAATATTATCTTCTAAAAGTTCATACGTAATATGTATGAAAAGAGGATACTTTTTTCTATATTTTTTTAAAATTAAAATTAGTAAGTTTAAAAACAAATAATCTGTTTCTGAACAGTTCAGAAGACTATGAATATGCCATTACATAACAATAAATTTATTAGGAGATACATGTATATTTAATGCACTCTTTTCCATTGAAATAAGTGCATACTATTTTATTTTCAGGTAAATATAGCAACATATGCTCTGTTGTTCTCTGAAATTGTTCAATATTGTCAGAACCGTGTTCAAACCGTACCAGAATTACAAAACAGGTAGATATACATGTAGCAGTTATTCAACAAGCAGCAACTTAATTGCTAGACGAATGTTTGAAGGGACATGTGCTTAGATTTTGCAGTTTAGTTTCTTAGCAAAGAAATAGTTTCTCTATTGGTAAATTACATTCTATAATTGGTGCCAGTTATTTGTTCATACTCATTGATGGAGAAAGAATGCATTAATGTATCATAAGAAGCCAAGGATAACAGTTCACTTAATACACAGAGCTATAAAAGTAAATTATAGACTAAACATGATTTTAGATGTTCCCTATTCATAGTGTTATTGACATTTTTTTCAGATTATCAGAAATGGGTCAACATGTTGGTTCTCATCTATTAGACGTGTTGTTATTAAGAGAAAAAGGTTATAAAAGAGAACTGAAACTATTGAATATGTTGCTATTTATTAAATCAAATTTATGGAAGGTAAGTTTACTACATTGTATTTTTATATACTCAACTTCTGTCAACAAACTAGAGATGATAAGATATTTTTAAACTGGCTTTAATTGGTTGTTTGCCTGTTAAGATGTTAGGAATTATTGTCTTTGTCATGCATACTGGTACTTTGTGGTACTAATAGATCATATTTATCTACTTTATACAAACCATAGTTTTCTCTCCTTGAAAGAATCACCTGATTACATTTAATGACAAACATTATGTACAGTGCAGCCTGTGCAGGTGTATGTTTGCCTCAAACAACCAAAAACATTTTGTAAGATAATTAAAGGGGAATTATGGGGATTAGATAAAGAACTGACGGTTCTCGCTATAATAGTTAACAAAAAAATAACGTAAGGAGAATATGCTGAAAATTTCAGTCAAATTGCTCCACTCTTAACCGAGATATTAGCGATTTAATAATTTAGATAACTTTTCAGGCCTAAAGAAAGACCTGCAATAGGCAGATTTAACTCTTGCATAATATATGTTTATAACTTTAAATGATAATGATGTTAAAATTTGATTAATTATGAATTGGTTATCATTGCATAAATAATACAGTATTACAGAAATACTAATATTATAGCTTATTATTAATTAAAATGGTTGGATTTCTGTATAATAATGTATTTTAATTATTAACAATTTAATATCAGACATTATTTGGAAGAGAGGCTGACAAGCTAGAATTAGCGAATGATGATGAGAGAACTTGTATCCTTAATAGAATATTTCTTAAACTATTGTATGGTGACATCACAACATTTTAATCTGACATCACAACATTTTTAAGTGACAATACATTATTTTTGATGTCACGGTTTCGGGATAAATTGTTAGTTTGTCGGCCATGGTCCTCTCAATATACAGTATGATTATGTACACTGATCCTGGTGTTGGTCAAGAAAGTTCCCATGGGTTTTGCAGCATGCTTTCTCCCAGTCGGTAGTGCAAAACCAAAGGGTCTGGCAAAGAATAGTATCTAGTTGTGTAGATTGGACAAAAACACAAGCTCCTGTGTACACATTGGCATGCACATAAAAGAACCCTTCACAGTTGGAATTTGATGAAGGAATGCTACTGTCCATAGAAAAATTTCCACCATAGCACTGTGCATAGTGAATGTTTATCTTCAATACTCGAGTTGGTGCAGAAAAGTAGGAAATTTGAATGTGTTTAAATGCTAGCACCATTGTTGCTTGATATAATACTTAACATCTATCAGATTATCTTATAGAAAAAGAACCAATAGTCAACAAATTTATTTCTATACCTAAAGATAAAGGTTAGTAACTTGTTGATGTTTATTACAATTTTAGTATACAGTATATTAATTATGCTATTATGGACAGATTGATTTAATTATAATTATCTGTATATGAAGGAGGCAATATAAAGGTAAAAACATAAAAAAGTTCTTGTATGTAAAAATGGAAAAAGGAACAAATGTATGTACCGGTATAAGCACATAGAAAAACATATGAAATAATTAGAAATGGAAGATATTAGTGTTGAAAATCGGATTGAGATTTGTGATCCGAATACTTTTGTTTGCTATCCAAATACTATTCAGATAATTCGGAGATGTGAAATTCCATCAAAAATTCATATACCGGTACTCATAATTTCTTACTTGTTTCAATGTTTATGAGTGTCTGTGTATGCCGAGTATGAAATCGTACTTTCGATTTGCAAATTGTTTGAGCCGCGAGGAAAAAAACGTGCCTACCTTTAGCCGTAATTATTAAGACTATCTATGACCTCCCAAAAAATCAATGAGGTGAAGGAATTTGTATAGTATAACTACTCCTGCTATCTGCACCCTCCCACTTATCATTTTGCTCAATCAACACGAATGAAAAAAGTAAAATAAAAACATGTGCCATTTATTCCGCCAAGGTCGTTTGCCTCATTCTGATAATCTACTACTATTGAACCAATCAGTGAGTGAGAATATACGTGACCTAGGTCGTTATGAATAAATTTCATTGTGGGAAGTAAAACACAGTCTAAACTCGTATGCCGTAAACACAGGGGATGAATGAATATTTTTTTTATTTAGACTACTGTTTTCGTTGCACTGCATTAATAATTTTATTAGTTACTATCACTAAATAATACGCATAATGTTGACATTTATGCTCAGAGCTGCGTACGTGATCAATTGCATTGGGGAAAATTTCAAAGTAATCAGATGGAAAAATGTTTAAAATGGCTAAATATATAGCATACCGAATGTCAGAATATAATGTAACGGATAGTAAAATGATTCGGATAACCCTTATTTTGTATCCGTTAACGAATATCCGAATAGTAGTTTCAACACTAGAAGATATACATTTAACATGCAGACTAGGACATATATATGGTTAAGTAACAAGGTGCTATAACCAATGTGCAAATAGTATGTACATAGGAAGCCATTGGCATTAAAATCTAAAGGCTTACTGTAATTACCTTTGAAATGTGTGAAGATTGTCTTGCTATATCTGTGGAAAATTTTCTGAAATTTGGAAGTTGTCAAGCTATACAAGTATGCAACCTATAGTTCGTCTTTGCAATCGCTTTAACAGTAATATTTGATCTGTCTGAAAACATGATTTTGGACGAGGACAGCCTTTCCAGCTACATCTACATCTTTTACGTACATTGTGACAACAAAGCTAATGGTGGTTGCATGTATTATTGCTTGGGCTAATGCATGTTTTTATATAAATTCTCTAGTCAATTTTCAGCAAATAATTCCTGTTTAATTTTTTTTCAGGAAGTTTAAATTGTGCAGCTTTTACTGCAGGAATACTTGAGTCTGTGTTGAATGGAGCTAATTTTGTAAGTTTTGTTTCTTGCCCTGTACTCCTAAATCTGATATATTGATATGCCAACTTTATGAATATGAAATTATTGGTTTATGTAGCAATTTGAATTTTATGTACTGGTAGTTTTTATTGAACTTTTTTAAAAATTTATGCCACATTAAATGAATAATATCATTTCGTTACCTTATGTAATTAATTTTTCTTTCAGCCAGCTAAAGTAACTGTACATTGGCATAAAGGAACAACTTTTATGATCAAATTTGATGAATCTGTCATAGCAAGAGATAAACTTGTAGAAGGACGATAAATGATTTACAATAAGTGAACATGGTATTATGCTAATAATTTATTTAAAACGGAAACAAACGATATCATAAACATAGAATCATAGGACCTTGCTTCTACTGTGAAATGGAATTTCACAAGCACAGATTTAATGAACTCATGAAAATAAATAGTTATATTATTTGATTTTTTGAGGAATGGTTTGACCTGAAACAAATGTATCATTGAATGCTTATTACCATGATTAAAAAGGCAGAACAACATTCACAATAAATGCTGAGAAGTATTATTTATATAGTAATATTTAAGATTAAAACCAAAAGATTTAGGTTAAATGATGATTGATCACTGATATCAGTAGAGAGAAACCAAGTGTTTCTTCTGTCTCCGGCATAATGATGGCAGTGTGAAATCAAAAGAAACTAATGTTAATTTGAAATTGCTGTAACTTATGTTAAGACTGATCGATTATTAGGCCATTAGGTTTTTGGGTAAGAAAACTTTTGCTATTTATGTTAAGACTGATCGATTATTAGGCCATTAGGTTTTTGGGTAAGAAAACTTTTGCTATTTATTGTAGCAATATTGTATAGTATTACTATACTGAGACGCCATGAATTTACACCATCTTTAAAAGGCTTGGGTCTGTACAATGCCTACAGTTCTGTGAAAGATGCAATGATATGCTATGGTTGACATCAGAACACAGAGAATGTGTCATTGCATTAATTGAAGATGGTGTACATAGTACCAAAGCCACAGGAAGCAGTATTACAACAAGAGTGGAGAAGAATCCCACAAACTGCCATGGCATGTGTGGCTGCTAGAGATGGACACACACTTTGTTGACTTGATTTTTACTACCCCTGTCTTCCTTTCACTGTAGGGGTTTGGATGGCCGAATATTTAGCTCATGCACGCTGTATCATAAGGTCTGTCATTGAGTCAACTGGCGTGGTTTTGATTCCCCGGTTGTACCTGACAAGGAGTAGGGTCGCCTCTCCATCCTTGTTGGTTTTCTCCGGGTCCTCCCACTGCTAAAGACAGCCACGCGCAAGCAAAATTATTAAAATGAAATTGAACTATATGTTAGTCCCAAAATGACCTAGTTTGTGTCAATTGGACGTTAAACCCCATTTCTCTCTCGCTGTCTCGTTTCACTATAACATATAGTTGTTATTGTCTCCATAGGTAAATGTCCAGCCTGCAATCATGCCAAAAATCTCATTTCAGCTGTATTTTGTTTCTCCAGCATTTTCAGTCAAATAATTGCACGTTTATTGCATCTCAGTATGTTCATATTGTCATTACTTTAGAAAATACATGGAAATTTTGTACTTAGAATATTTGTTAATTCCACACAGAGATTATTATACAAAGGATGTAGGATTTATTAGGCATCTTGTTTTGTAAATAATGTAGTATAATGAACTATTTATTAACACCATTAAATGTAATTATCTATCATTATTACAAGTTGCCCCCAAAATTCTCTTTTACCAATAAAAGATATATGTAACCAGGATAATTGTCGTCATATGTCACTCCTTAACATAAAGATCAAACAATATTTAAGCTTTTCAGGACAAAGCTTGACAGGGACATTTTGTAAATAAATCATTGAAGATGGGAATAACCATGATCTATCTCAAAAGACTTTTTATTACGATTTCCGTCTTTTTGAAATCAGCAATTTGCCAAGATGAGAACCATACTTTCCTATTTAATTTCTTGGGTCTACTACTGAGAATTGAACTGACCTTTAGTCATATGATTCTTCTAGATGACTCAAACTACTGTACAATAATAATGAATCAGAATGGATATTTTTTTTGTTTTATTTTGTTTGTGTCTGAGAGCAAGTGTAAACTATATAAAAAGAGGAAGGAGATTGTTTTGAAACATATGGTGATAATAGATTGTAGACTGATCTGATAGTAATGTAGGATAGTTGTGTGGCATCTTAAAAGTAGCGTGCTTGCATGATGCAATCGAAAAATTTCTCAGCTCAGTGAAATGTCTCATATAATCGCATCTTCATGTTCTTAAACTACTAATTATATAAGATTACCTCTGCTAAGTAACTGATGTATTCTTGATGTGCTCTGTTTTAGATTTAGGTTAAATGAAATACAGGTGTTCTAAATGACCCGCATCACTAACTGATTAATCTCAGGTGTTGTACCAGGCACTGGTCCAATTTTAGCTTTAATGACAGATGACCTCCTATAAAAACAAACTTTATCCTGTCCTAGAAGGTTAATATGTTCAGTATTTGACTGATAAGTCAACACGTGCCTTTGAGAATATATAGAAAACATATAAATTCACTTGTGAATAACCATTTAGAAATTTTTGAAGGACAAATCTACGGGTAAATGGAAAAAAGTCCCACCGTAGTCTCTTGAGATATAAAATCAAATTCTTATCTGGAAATATATATATCGCAACAGTAAAGCCCAGTGCCCATTTGCTTTGGGCATGGCGGAATTTCCATATTTTGGGGCATTTTTGGTCAGATTGGTGTTATTTTGAATAACAATTGTTTCTTTATTCATTAACAAAGTGATAAAGAAAACAACCAGACCTGCGTCTTGATTAATTTCTCAGTTATTTGATTGCACATTAACATGTGAGAATTCAAGGAACTTTAATTATTCCTGCTACACTAATTTTGTATATGGTAAACTGTCTTTTAAAGATAAATTGAATCTATATTTATGCTAAGAAAATAGATCTGTGTTTTGGATTGCCCAAAAAATCAAATTTAAAATAAGTAGATCTTGCAATCAAACTTGCTGGCGCTTTTATAATAAACATTAAAAAGTTTCAATAAAAGCATTAGCTGTCTGACTTAACCTATTTTTTGGAACTTTATACATGCTTTGGGACTATTTGATTGTTAACACAGCTTCATACTTGGCTTAATCACAAATATTTAAAGGAAAATTGGCAGTTTAATTAATGCAATTTTATACAATGGCAACCGACATATTTTATGTGAAAGTTTAATATAGCCTGAATACATGGTACCACAGATGCAGCAATTTTAGGAGCTCAAAATTTTCTTGGACTAAACACTGAGCGTAGGGGTTCAGTGTTTGACCACTGATATTGACACATTTTAATTAGTGGTGTATCTTTGATTGGACCATGACAAAACAGTTCATTTATTTGTGACCCATGCTTTCATAATTAACCTGCATATACCACTTGATTCAGGAAAATCCATGATTGGACAGGCTAAAGACGGGTAGGCTGGCCTCAAATAGCTATGGAGTATGATATTTAAATTACAATTAAAGATATTAGTTTTAAAAAACATTCATATTTTTCTTTGTGTGCTTTCTCTTCCTTACATTCCAACTCTTTTAGGGTTATTTTACATGCATACCAATGTGTATATACTATGACCTTATTTTTTTTTGTCTCATCCATAATAAAAGGTTTGGAATTTTTGTGCCTTTAATTGCTACATCATGCCTATTTTTTCTATTAATAAATTTCCAACCTTAAGCATGAATGAAAGGATTTTTCATCAGTATTTTAATTAACATGAAACGGAAACTAATCTATTGGCCTATATAGCCAGCTGAATGATAATTAATCTGACAGTCTTCCAACTACTGTCTGTTGAATGTAGGTCTGTTTCATTCCAGGCTGAGATCTTGAATAAAAATTCGCTCATGGCAGCCAATTTTTAAAAAATAATGATTCTTGTTTCTTTTAGATTACACATGTTACGATGACAAAAATATCCTTGAATTAAAGACTATTTCAATTGCCCAATTAATTTATAAATGTTGAGAGGTAGTCCCAGATAACAGATTCCATTCGCAAACCATGCTATTTTCCTTGTGTCCGTTAAACTGTATTACCAAAAGGCTATTGACTTAAAGGGACAATAACACTCTTGCTGGCTTGACAGCTCCAGTAAATAAATATTAGCCTTATTCTAAGTACTAGATGTGTTAGTGTCCTACCTGTTGTGTAAATTATCCATTACATCCTTTTTTACTTGTCCAGAGGGTTTGAAAATATTTTTAAAACCAAGTCACATTTGAAAAGGTTTACATTAGGCTTTTCAAATCATTTAGTTGAATTTTTCCAATTTTTTAAATTAGGTGTGTTAAGATAAAATTTGTGTCATCAATTAATTGGAATATTGTAAAATAGTACAATTTGTTGACCAGAATAAAGATTGGGACATATTATTCAGTTACAACAAGAGTGGTATTGAGCCATGGAGAGAGAGAGAGAGAGAAATGCGGTTTAACGGCCACTCAACACAAACTAGGTCATATTGGGACTAAGATATGGTTCAATTTATTTCAATAATTCGGGTGGCCGAGTGGGCAAGACACTGGCTCGCTAACCTTGAGGTCGAACGATTGATCCCGGCATTGGCCAAGAAAGTACATGAGGATTTTCCGGCATGGTTTCCCCTTGTCAGTGGTGCAGGATGTAGGGCCTGACAAGGACAGTTGTCTATTCATTTGGATGAGATGAAAAACCAAGGTCCTGTCTGTGTATACATTGGCGTGCACGTAAAACATCCCTTGGCAATTGGAATTCGATATAAGAGTAGGCCATGGTGCTGCTGCCCAGGCAAAATTTCCCTCATAGCACACTATATGGCGTATGCCCGTCTTCATTAGCCCAGTATAGGAGCAGAACCGTTGGACGTTAAACCTCATTTCATTTATATAGTTGTCTCTAGATATAGTTTGGTTTGGAAAAATAATCGACCCCAACCGCCGCTGACAAGTTTAAGGGTCATATTGCCTGGATTTTACTATCATCTACTCACCCCACAACTTAATCAATGATTTCAGTGTATTCCTTGACCCCCAAAACATATGGTTTGACACCAAAATTATTACCCTTGACTAAATTCTATGGGAGTTACTGGGTATTATTTGAAATGGTGGCATATTCTGCAAGAGGCCACCCTAGACTACTAAAATCAATCATAAAAAAAAACTTTGTATACAATTTCCAGGTTCACTCGAAATTTGGGGTTTTGCGACTAGACTATTTAGAACAAAATACATTAGTTAAATAAATCAATATTTTTCATTTATTTGATGTAACAGAAACTGTTTAAATCATTAATTGATAACAGACATATCAATAGCACTTATAATACAAACATGATTTCCATAAATAAATAGTTCATCCTCAACTCACCCAGTCTAGGGGTTTGGAAAATAAAGGCAATATTTTTAATCTATATTACTTGAAATTTTAAACCCAATCATCATCGGAATATTTTACTCTGTTGCACAGAAGGAATTGAAAAGTTGTTTTTTGCCTGATCTTTTATTAATTACACTTGTAAACAGGTAGGCCTATATGTACATAAATGTAGGATTACAAAACATTAAATAATTATACATTTACAATACACTTTCTAGTTTTCATAATTTATTAGTTGTTAAAATATGTGTTTAAATAGATGAAAAAAGTTATTCATATAAATGAGAAATTACCAATAACCTAATGGTACATTGTTACACAAAGACATCAAATTGCTATTACTATTCATAACATAACAACCTAAATATACGATAAAATTGACAAATAATAATACATAACATAAATCGGCTAAGTATTAGTAACTAATATCTCATACACACATAACAACAAACCAATGATTTAATTTCCACTAATCTTAGATCCAATTCTAATCTTATTAGAAACTTTGTATACATCTGTAACCCTGTCAGTCATACAGTCTTTATTCAATGAGTCTAAACAAAAGTTATATTCTATTGCACTTTACATGATAAACTTCCATATTTCATCTAATCATTGCTCGTCTGAATGATGTGGAACTGTCTTTGTTCACAGATTTTTGAACTTTTTTCTTTTGGTCATCTACTTCAAAGCACTTCCAGAGTCGTAATGTTTCGTCTGCACCAGCAGAAACAACTGTTGTGCCATCTGGCGACATAGCCATGTGTAAAACACGAGCTGTGTGACCTGTAAAATAGATATTAACAAAGTGATTTTTTTTTTTCATGTTAACGAATACCTGGATTATCTCCCTTTAATCTATAAATATTTTCCTAAATCCACTTTTTTCATTGAACTGAATATTTGCCTCAATCCACTTTTTTTTTTCACTGAACTGAATATTTATACACATTCTCAAAATCATTCTACTTCAGTCACTAATTGGCAGATTTTCATGGATAAATTATTCTTTCTTATGCATGGAAACAGCAATCATATCCACCTATTGTCATTTGAGAGAGAGAAATGGAGTTTACCATCTACTAGACACAACTGGGTCATTTTGGGACTAATATGATTTTGGGACTAACATGGTTCCATTTTATTTCAATAATTCGCTTGTGCGTAGGGGTCTTTAGCAGTTGGAGGAAACCAGAGGACCAGGAGAAAACCCACAAGGTTGGACAGGCGACCCAACCCCCTGTCACATCCCCCCCTATTGGCATTTGAGGGATTCAGAATCTTTTGCAAACTAAAATACTGTGAAAGTTGAATCCCTAAAAGGAATATCTGTCCAAAATTTGATCAATTTCATTTAATATTTACAGTGATGTGATGAATTGAACATTTCCCAACATTCAGCATCCTCTGCAGACCATATAAACCTGCTAAAAATCAAAATCCATTGATGGACCACTTTTTTATCTGATTAATCCAAGCCAAGAGACTATCTACCTTGATAATTTTTCTTCCATTTTTTTTAAAAAAAAGTAAATGTTAAATAATCAATTTGAGTACATTTTAGCTTGGTTAAATCCATGGAATATTGAATATGCAAATGACAATTACCCATGCTTGTCAAAGATTATTACCTGTGAGATCCGCAACTTTTGTCATGGATGGATATTTCCATATTGTTAATTGATTTTGAGCAAAGCCATGACTGGAGATTAATTCTTTATGTTCTTTAGACCATAATAAGGAACACACCTAAAACACAGACAAAAAATATATTAAAAGTATAAGGGTGCACCAGATAGTCAATATTTTAATTGGGTATGTCAACTATCCATCTATATCTTTAATGATTAATGTCAGAGATAAAAAAAAATTTCAACGTCAGGTCTTTAAACCAATTTTATATAAATAAGCTTATATTTTTTAAAAATTTAATCAGTAATTGTTTTCCATATACGGCTGGGGAGTTGAAAAAAATACAATTTTATATTTCAAACCAAATGCATTGGATCCCCTAAATAATCTCCACAACCAAACAGTTATCAAAGGAATCTTATACATTGATTTAGAAATGTATTGCTAGAAATGAATGTTTTACTGATCTATATCCCCTCCAAACACCTGATAACATTTCAGAATCTGCATGAAAAACTACTCTGGAAAAAATGTGTCTCATAAATTCTTCACTTGGATAGCAATACTCCCCTTTCATCAGCCTTGTGACTTGCATAGAATAACAAGATGACAATATAATATTCTAGGTACATTTCATTGATTCTGTAAGGTACTTAAATTCTAATATAAAAGTACACCTACCTGTGATTTGGCATCTACACTACTAAGATGTGTTCCTGTATTACAATTCCAGAAACATATCTGTCTATCTGCAGTACCTCCTCCACTTGCTAAGATACCAGGTTGCCATGGACACCATGATAATGCCTATAAAACAGTTTTAGTCATGAGTTACTCATATATTCAGTGTCAGAAATTTGCATCATGAAATAATCTGATAAATTGTGAATGACCTAAGCTAATAATTTCTTTATGAAAAATCCTGTTAACTTTATTAAATACAGAATTTATTTAACATTTTCTGATTAAATCTTATTCATAAAAGAATGTGTAAGCTTATATAATTTCCGTAAAAATAAAAACCAGCGCCTGCCAGGCAGGATACGCCAACATTTTGCAAGAGATGAATAGAGAACAAGCTAAACAAAAAGTGACTTTTCGTAAAATCAAGGGTCATAATTCATGAAATTACGATCCAATATGCACGAATACCGACAGGAACCAAGATCTTTGGGTTATAAAGATATATTTCAAGTTTCATCAAAACCTTGATATACCATATATTTACACTATTTGCGTATGAGGGGTGGCCATTTTGTCCGGCAGTTTTGGTCTGATTTTTACGAAATTCTACCTCAGCCGTCATTAGGGTGTAATGGTGAAATATTCAAACGTTTTTTCAATAATTGTGACATCTAGAGGGACGACAAGCTAAAAACACGATATTTCGTACAATCAGGGGCCATAATTCAGGAAGTTACGATCCGATATGCACAAATATCGAAAGGAACTAAGATCTTTGGGTAAAACATGCATTTCATGTTTCATCAAAGTTATGACCTCTAGAGGATCCACAACCTTGATATACCATATTTTTACACTATTTGCGTTCGAGGGGCGGCCATTATGTCCGGCAGTTTTAGTCTTATTTTCACAATTTTTTGTACAATCAGGGGCCATAATTCAGGAAGTTACGATCCGATATGCGCAAATATAGAAAGGAACCAAGATCTTTGGGTTATAAACATGCATTTCAAGTTTCATCAAACTCAGATGAAAATTGTGATTTCTTGAGTGTCCACAAGCTAAAAATGTGATTTTTCGTACAATCAGGGGCCATAACCCATGAAGTTATCGTCCGATATATGCCAATATCGAAAGGAACCAAGATCTTTGGGAGATAGACCTATATTTTAAGTTTCGTCGAAATCGGATAAAAATTGTGACCTGTAGAATACACACAACAAATTGTGGACTTCCGGACGAACAAACAGCGTCAATGGCATAATATGTCCACATGAAAATGTGGGCGGATAAAAAGTTCATCTTACCTTAACAGCAGCTTGATGTTGGGAAAATACATGTAATGGTTGATTATCTTCTGGTAAATTATTAAACTGTGCCGACCAGATATTTAATATATTATCATTACCACCACTAGCTAGAAACTTGCCATCTGGTGACCAGCGTAACCCACACACTTCTTGACTATGACCAGCTAAAGTTGCTACATGATGTTGAGGAACTCGCACATCATGATGATGAATGTTACCACTTCTTGAGCCACTGCGTTAACCAAAAAAAACAACCAAAAATGATCATTGCTATAAATAAGGACGTTGAAGTCATACATGTCAAGTATAAGCTTATATATATATTGTATATTGTATACACTGGTTAAAACTGAGCCAATTCTACAATGAATATGGTCAACGCTCACAATTGCCATTTCCGCCAATTGCGTTAAAAATATAATTTTGTTAATAAAATACTCAATCTAGTGAAATTTTTGACGATAACTTTTTTCTGTATGTCGATAATTTCTATTTTGCCTCAAAGCTTTGATTATCAGTCCATTACAGTTTATTTTGGCTTGGCTGAGTCAGTTATTAATCAATGAGGTATCGATAATATGGCTATCTTTTGTCTATTATTAATTAATCTCTGATTAGTGTTAATAGGTATTTACAGTAAGAGTAGTAATAAACTAATTAAAAGACAAAAGATTTAAATTATTTGTCCTCAAATACGAATCGGTGGCTTTTTTGATGGTTTCTATAATTAAAATGGCCTTTGATTTGTTTGTGTTTATGCTTTCTGTATGATCTTTTCTTATTGTACGGTACTATTAATAAATAAAGCCAGGTTTGCTGTTACAATTTATAAATGCATAAATATTCTTGGTGTTTTCGAAATTCAGTTATCAAATAAAAATATCAAATCGTATCATGACTTGGGTCGTTAGTGAAAATTTTAACAGCCTTCGTCCAATAATAATAATGGAAGAATGTCAGATTATTTTAGTATGCCACCACCAAAATGATCCAAGGCTACAGATGATACTCTCATGTATAAATCTAAAGTCAATCGGATATTAACTTTAGCCTTTAGAGCGTCCACAAGATATTTCAAATTGATCAAGGGCCATAACTCTGGCAGTTATTATCGGGTATTGTTGAAAATCAATAGGCTTCTTTATCTCATGATCTTAAACATTGTGTATAAATTTACAGTCAATCAGATATTAACTTTAGCCTCTAAGAGCATCCACGAGATTTTTCAAAGTGATCAAGGGCCATAACACTGGCAGTAATTATCAGTAATCGCTGAAAGTCATTAGGCTTCTTCGTCTCATGGCCTTAAACACTATGTATAAATTTAAAATCAATCGGATATTAACTTTAGCCTCTAGAGCATCCACAAAATGTAATAAAAGTTTTGGCAGAAAGAATATATGGTTAATAAATTGAAATGAAGAATTGGCGGGAAAAAAATGGAACCCAGAGTGAGCAATGAATATGGTTAAGTTTTCCATAAATGACAAGCATTTTCAAAAATTTTAATATCTGATCATTATAGATTAGATGTCCCCTACTTTTACAAACGTTTTGCATTGTAATTTAAATATTAGCTTACATTTATTTAGAAAATTTGAACAATCATACCTGCTAAGAATAAATGAATTCCAGGAAAGTGAACTAACACGTGCTGAGTGACCAGCCATATTTCTTAATCTTTTCTGTTCCACCACATCCCACAACTGAAGCAAACATATTCTGTAGTTATTACATTTTTATGTTGTAAACAATGGTCCGATTTCTTGAAATCAATCATTTTTCATTTTAGTTTTCTTTGGAAATATAAACCAGAATATATCTTGTCACTTTGCATTTCATCTATCTGGTAACATATCTTATGCAATTTTACTTTTCCACATTGTCAAAACTTGATTGCATGGCTAAGGCTAAGAGTATAGGTTTTGACAGAAATTGCATGAGACCCATCACCATTGCTCAAATTATATACCGTAAAACTAGACTCTTTTCCATAACCCCATTTTTATACATGGGTGACATGGCTACATACTGGACTTCCACCATGTATATAATAATAATAGAATCCAACAACATGTACAGATTAGTGCACATAATAATAATAATTAAAACTAGATCTGCCAGGCATATACATGTATAAAAGCTTTCATATTCACAGTCACTTCCTGTCACGGTTATCTAAAGAAAAAAATAATTATTAAAAAATCGGTCAAAAACTCGCGAAGTTATAAATCTAAATATAGCGAGCAACATTTTGCCCGGGTAAAAAAATTATCTGAAAAATAAAGGGAATTTGCTCTAATTTGCAGAAAAAATGGACCAAGCCGTTTAAAACGGGATGGATCAGAAAATGAACTCAAAAATGGCGGGGAAAGTATCGAAAAATTAAAGTAGAATGGAACTTTTATTTTTCGAAACAGACTGACCTCAGCTATTCGAATACCGTTATATGGGTAAAATTTGTAAATTTTAAAAAATTATGGGATTAAATTGTCCTGTAAACAGCTTTGTCGGCATGAAAAAGATCAAAGGCGAAATTCAAAATATTGAAATACCAAAAATTTGACCCTGATACAGGCTGCCCAGGAATGTTTTCATTTTGGAAATAGGAGACGAATACTCCAAAATACAGACTTTTCTGTTTATTTTCACTCCTGTTAACGTGGAATTTAACTTTTTTTTAGATTCAATTCAAAATGGCCACCATCAGTTGATCGAAATCATAATTCTTCTCTAAACGTTTTTTAGGTATTCCTTCAAGGATTCAGAAAATGTAACTCCCATGTCTGTAAGTAAAATATCACAAAAGCCTTAGGGATTTTGCACGTTTCAAGATGGTGGCACTTCTAGTTTGATCGACAGACTTCATATTTTGTGATTTCAAGGCAATCTGACCTGCTTTTTGTCGATTTTTTTGAAAAATCTCATCATTAATTTCTCCAAGGGGAGATAATTTTTTTTAATTGTGTTAGTCTGTGTTTTTCTGTGTATGATGTCTTATCCGTGTATTTGTTTTTGTGTAAATTTTGTGTGGTGCAGTCCCCATGCACTTATATAATTTCTAATGACATTGTTCAAATCCTGTCAGTAAGATCTCCTTACATTCCAAAATTCATGAAATCGTGCAAATATTAAAGAAGTTGTCAAGTTGGTCTCAACTTCCTGGACGAAATCACAGCGACCCATTTTGGGGAGGGTAGGTCAAAGTTTAAAAAAGATCCTATGGTTAGATTCTGAGAAATCCGATTTGTAGAAAACACACACACAAAAAAAAAATATAATAATAATAATAATCTTACATGTAACAGAAACAATAAGCTTTCATATGAAATATATGAAAGCTTAAAGATACATTATGGGAGATTCGATAACGAGTTGACAGTTCTCACTATAATAGTTAAAAACTAGATAACGTAAAGGCAATTTGCTGAAAATTTCATTCAACTTGATCCACTATGAACCGAAAACTAAGCGAATAAAATTTCTGCCTAGCCTCGGTAATCATTGCTAAAGTCAGTACAATAAACAGCATAGTCTCGATTATCTATATAATCGTTTAATCGAGAAGGAAAGTTATGCAGTAAATCGGCTCACAATCCACTTAAGATCACAGGCTAGCGATGCCATCTAGAGTTGATTATGGTCTGGATAAGTTAATTAATGTCTAATTAATAATTTAGATAACATTTCAGGCCTAAAGAAAGACCTGCAATAGACAGATTTAGCTCTTGCATAATGTATGTTTAAATAATCCAAATTTGAAGTAAAAGACATGGCTAGCAATACTGAGCTGAGTATTCACTATTCAGACAATGGAAACTATGCATGTATCATTTTGTACATTCAACTGTTAAACTTTACATGATCTGATAATCAATTTATACCTGAACTTCTCCAGTACTCGTTCCAACAGCCAAATAATTTCCTTCTTTAACCCAAGACACAGCACCAATATATTCATCATCATTATCCATACCCATTAGTTGTGTTATAGTACCGGTTGTACCATTCCATAAATATACGGCACCACCCAGGCATACAGCTAAATTATTGGTTACAGACCAGTCTAAAAGGTTTAAATCTGTAATAAAAGACAGAAAATATATAACAATTAAAAGCTAAATGTCATTTGACTTTGAGGAATAATGTGAATTTACAATTATTGTAAATTGTTATGAATCTGAAGAGTTGCCTACGGAAAAACTACAGGTAGACAAGTTTTCTATTGTTTAATAAAACCAAATAAACTATTTATAATGTTTTAACAGAACAGACTTAATTTCTACAATGTTAATTTCAAGGGTAATTATCTGAATAACAACAAGATGACTAGTTATCAGTCACCATACCGCAATCTTGCACTTGTTTGGAAGGCATAAGGAAAAAAAACTAGTCAGAAGATTCATACACTATCACAGTAGCTGGGCAAGGCAGGGATGCTACTCCCTGTAATATTTACACAACAACCTTTGCCTACCTCAATCAGCTGCTGTATGTTAAACAATAAGCTTATATAGTACATCAGAAAATAAAATACTATAATACTAAATAGATTAATGTTTGTACAAAGTTTCAAAATAATTTCTTGAACAGATAATGAAACGAAATCAGGATGGAAGGACAGTCATCAGAAAAGAAAATAATAGGTAGATGAATGTGAAACTGAAAGTGTTATAAAGGTATCTTGAACAGTTTCTGAGATATGCTCTAGAATAATAATAATTATATAGCAAAAACTAAGTCAAATGTGTAGTAAAAATTCAAAAATCATTCAACAGAGAAATTTGTTTCCATGGAAACACAAAAATTATTGAATCCGAGAAATTTCTAATTAGCTAATAGCACAACTTCTATCACAGGTTGATGTTTGTACAAAGTTTCATGAAGACATCTTTAATGGTTTGTGAGACATGCGCCAGAAACAAAATTGTACCCCAAAAATTTGTTTCCATGAAATCACAAAAAAAATATAAATCCAATTCCTAAATAGCAAAAGGCACAACTACTGTAATAGGTTGATGTGTGTGCAAAGTTTCAAAAACATATCTTGAATTGTTTCCGAGAACTTTCAAATTAGCAAAAGGCACAAGTACTATAATAGGTTGATGTTTATACAAAGTTTCATAAAGATATCTTGAATTGTTTATGAGATATGCTCTGGAAACACAAAAATATAAATCCCAGTTCCTAAATAGCAAAAGGCACAACTAATGTAATAGGTTGATGTGTCAAATTTGTTTCCATGGAAACACAAAAAATATAAATCTCAGAAATTCCTAAATAGCAAAAGGCACAACTACTGTAATAGGTTGTTGATGATGTGTGTATAAAAAGTTTCAAAAAGATATCTTGAAGGGTTTATGATGAGATACATGTATGCTCTTGAAACAAAATTTTACACCAAAAACTAAGCCAAATTTGTTTCCATGGAAGCACAAAAAATATAAATCACAGAAATTCCTAAATAACAAAAGGCACAACTGCTGTAAAAGGTTAATGTGTGTACAAAGTTTCAAAAAGATATCTTGAGCAGTTTATGAGATATGCTCCGAAAACTAAATTGGGACGGACAGACAGACAGACTCCATTTCAATATCCCTCCCTAACTTCGTGCGGCAGGATAATAAGCAGGAAATCCTTCATAAGAAATGGTGCTTAACATCCTACTTTTCTACTCAATCCGGGCTAATGAAGACTTGGGCATACGCCATGCAGTGTGGTATGAGGGAAATTTTTGCCTGACAGCAGCGTTACAGTCTGTTATTTTGAATACAAACTGTCAAGTGCTCATTTACTGGTCACTGACAAGAAGAAATAACAGCAGAAACTCCAAAGGAACTCTCTCAGCCAACACTGGGATCTAACCTGGGACCCCCATTAGCGAACCAGCACTTTACTAAGTCACAGCAGCTTCCCGACCAAAAGCAAAATGCTTCACACATACATTTTGATAATAGTTTATATTACATGTACTTACAGTAATCATCCATTATGTCTGGTGCATCCAATATTCTTTCTGGTACCTGGGGTACTTGACGCATTGCTTTCTTACTAGTGGAAGCGGTTTTGGATGAACTATACAAAACACGAAGGTTACTGTTAAAACCTGTAAATAAATCAAACAAAAATATTAATTTACGCTAATTGATAAACAAATGACACAATGATAATCTATATCAAAAATCAAATCAATTTGTTTACTTCACACTGAAATATAAAACGAAATGAAGACAGGATGCCATAAGGTTTGCTATGAGTATGAGGAAAATCTTTTATGTGCACGCCAATGCATACACAGGACCTCAATTTTTCGTCCCATCGAACAAGTATGGTATGTTGTCTCTTGCAGGCCCTCTCTCCTGCACCACTCACAACGGGGAAACACACCGAAAAATCCAGATGATCTTTCTCTGCCTACACCAAGGTTGAAAACGGGACATCCAGGTTAGCGAGCAGACGTCTTATTCACTGAGCCAATGCTGCCCAAGAAGTGCTATTCTTTTTGTCATTTCATAAACCATTCTACCAGACCAGTACCCATTTACAGCTGGGAAAACAAGAATACAGGTCAATATAAAGTCCAAGTGTCTTATTTAATGACATAAGAACTTGATAGTCTTTCTAAGCACAATTCGGAGTCTAAAACCTGCCATCACTTGGTTGGCAATCCTACCCTTTAACTGTAACCATTGTTCAAAATCCCTCCTTCCACAATCTGCAATTCTAAATCACAGTTCTTTATTAGAAAGACAATTTACATGTACATGTATGCAAATTTTATGTGCTTTTATCTTGCTTGATTGCGGGTTCTAGAAATATAATAAATCTGTATTCATATGGCATTCCGTGGAACACACTGTGGTCCACTACTGAAACAGGTCTTCTGTCATTGCATAGGTTCCAACAGCATAAAATTTAAGTTGAGATGTTTCAGCAGTGAAGCCCTATTATTTCAAATGTATCCTCCTACCCAACTTTCATACAAATACAGTAGTACCAGACCAGTATGTTGTGAACTTACTTTCTGGTGCTGAAGGTGCTTTGGCTTTGAAGGAAAGTATTTTACTGCTCATTAAATCACCATTTAAATTCTCATTCATGACTCGTTTGTATTCCTTCTCTGATGGACTCAATAATGCTTCACTTTCATCTGGTCCTTTTTGCTCCATCATATGTTTATAATGTCCAAGATTAAACTGTGAAGTACTACGATTAGGAATAAACCTATCTCCTCCTGGAGTTCTGGTTCGGTTGCCAGGTGTGCCAAGTTTCCCTATTTAAAAACAAAACATAATTTTTTTTACATTGACATTGTTTGGAACTGAAAATGTGCTACCGTACATATCTAATAAACTATGGTACACTGGTCTAAAGCGGTGGACACACTAGCCGAATGATTCGGCCAAATCGTTCGGCGTCGAAATTCGCCTAGTGTGTCCACTGTCATTCGGCCGAATGATTCGCCCGAATCAAACAGGTTTGATATATTCGTCCGAATACTTAATTCGCCTGGTGTGTCCGCTTAGCATTCGGCCGAATATAGAATTCATTAGCCAATCGCCACTCATATCGAGAAGTCACGTGATAGAGTGAAGACATAGACGCTGCCATGTTTAATCATGTGACGTGAAAGGTGATGCACTCGGCAGGTTGAATCGGGCGAAGCATTCGGCTAGTGTGTCCACCCATTCGGCCGAATAAAATTTGGCGCCGATTGATTCGGCTAATGTGTCCACTGCTTAAGCACTACTGACAATGACAATAGAAAACAGCATAAACCAGTCTCCAACACCATAAGCTTAAATTGTTTCAATGGCATTTAGTAATTGAACTAGAATGCACAGTTCACAATTCTATGGAATACAATTACTTTACAACATTCCAACTAGGTTTCTCTGGTTATTATCAAGCAATTGATGATAAAATATGTAATATAACAAACAAGGCAATATGGGTTAGTGATGACCAACCAGAGACACCCTTGGCCTTCTAGTTCTAATTGCCTTGAAGGAAACCTAACAAACTTAATTAAAGTAATGTAATTATTAAACAGTAAGTTTACCTCCTGATTTTGGAGTCTTTTTTGACGATCCTGATGCAGAACTGGAAGGAGTTTTGGATCCGCTAAATGATTTATTAGCATTCTTCTTTGGCGTTTTCAAACTTATATTTAAAGAAGCATTACATTCTGAATCATTTAATGCTTTCCTTTGATAACCCATTGGAGCCGCTCGTGTCAAAGGAGCATCCATTCTTAATACACTATTCAACTCATTTTCTAGAGTAAACTGAGCCATAACTACTATAGACCTGGAATAATTAAAAATAGTTGTAGTACTAGTAGTAGTAGGTATTAGGTTCTGGTAGTGGCGGTAGTTATTTATAATTCGTTACTAAAGTAACTAAGCCATAGCCATAGGCTACAATGTTGCGACCATTTCTAGTTGCCAAAGACTAGAGATTTATCTCCTTTAAAGAATCTAAGTCTCTAACTCAGTATCATCCAAAGTCTTACACGTTGAAAATATGAATTATTTGTCAATTCAAATCAACATTGTTGTTGTGATCTTACCAGGAAAAAGTAGGCTTCTGATATCCAATATTTAAGACAAAATAAACATTTTACCATTGGTACACGAATCGTGTAGGCCTACCATAAATAGTGCGTTTCAGCGTCATTTGTAACAAGTGACCAGAAAGAACGAGGCTAGACATATTCCACAACTGATGTCAAACGGTGACGCCATATCTTATCGGGAGAGCATGCATTGACGACGCTAGAAATTGCTATTCGGTTGAGAGTTGAGACTCCTGACGTATTTCGCTGAACATTAACTGATTTGAAATTAGGCCTAGAGTCAAAACGGAAACAATTGAATGTAAATCAGATACAATCAGATTACATTATGCGTTGCTACCCATTTTGGGTAAATTTCTAGGTCTCAAATATTAGCGATTTAGCTCCTTTAAAGGCTCAATACCACTCTTGTTGTAACTGAATAATATGTCCCAATCTTTATTCTGGTCAACAAATTGTACTATTTAGAATATTGATGATACAAATTTCATCTTAACACACCTTATTTAAAGTTTTTGAAAAATTCAACATAATGGTTTGAAACGTCTAACGTAAACCTTTTCAAATGAAACTTCGATTTAAAAATATTTTCGAACCCTCTGGACAACTAAAATAGGATGTAATGGGTAATTTACACAACAGGTAGGACACTTAAACATCTAGTACTTAGATAGAGATATTATTTATTTTCTGGAGTTTTCAAGCCAGCAAGAGTGTTATTATCCCTTTAACTATGCTTCATCTGCAACAAATTGAAGTTCTGAGATTAGGTTGTCTGTTCAGAATCGGACTGTGACTGTGTAAGACTAAACACTAGGCTAAGTGACGTGTTGTATGACTTATATGTAGATCTATGTTGATAAAAAAAATAGTAAAATCTGGATCAATCTACCCAAAAATATTGAGTCTCAGAAATATAACCGCCTCCGATAACGCCTCTATATTACCGGCGATACTCACTTTACTTTTTACACTTATTTTACAATAATTACTAGCTCGTTGTATCTTTTTATAAACCTTTTCAACAAGTTTGTGCAAGTCTTCTGTTTCTGGACTTGTAATATACGATTTGTGTGTCCCGCTAGTTGATTGGCCAATCAACGGCCAGCTTCACCGTTGATTGGTTGAATTTTACCTCTCGTCAAAACAAATGATACGGTAATGTGCGTGATTTAGCGAGAAGTAAACTGAACAGCATGTGCCCTGTGTTGTTGTAAAAGTTAACACGACTTATAGTGATAATTAAGACTTTTGTTATTATAGCCATAATGAGCTTTAACCTATTAATTAGTTGGCAGGTGCTTTGTGTTTATCTGATATGTCTGAAATCTGTTTTATCCCTTGACAGTGATCCAGTATTCTTAGAAGATGAATTACCAGTGGAAACGATCGAAGAAGTCCACGTAGCAGACAGTTTTCACAAAGCTGATGACTTTCATAACGATTATAACGATTTTTATGATTTTGATGTTATTGATATCGAAGGCGATAATGTATCTTTAGATACATACCGAGGAATGGTACATTAAATGATATTTATTAGTTTACTCATCGAATGTATTGATATTATTAAATAAAAAAAGAGGAGGGTCAATTGCATGAGTTTTAAAATCCTAATATTTAAACATTTCATTTACTTTAGTTTAGATAATAAACTTACCGGTACTTTGAAGTTATAGCTTACAATACATAAAAAAAAAGAGAAATTCGATCTATATAGTTCACAGTTTAGTCGTACAAGCCAATTAAATTATTAAATTAATCTGAATCTAGGCCTACTTAATTCTTAAATCACAAAAAAATTGAATGAGATGAAAACTTTTATATGTTTCAAAACTATACCTTCAACATGTATCTTTTGGAAATTCAACAATTTTTCACAATTCAGTGCTGGAGTGGTAGCGATTTTAAAAAAATAAATACTAAAATTAGGAGCTAAAATCGGGTAGGAATGTGAAGTGGATGAAAAATAAATATGGTACACTAATGGTGTTGACAGTCATTTGTACATACTTTTATAACAACATTATCTAATGCATCATGTTGTTTTCAGTTGAAAATAGTTAATCTTCATTACAGGGATTAATCAGTTGTATTAATCCATTGTATTCTCTTCAGTATATTAATCACTTAAGGGGTTGGTATTACAAGCTTTTGTCACATCATTAATCAGTGAATGAGAGGCGCTAAAAACTACTACTGTCAGGCCATCTGGACCTGATGTCTATAAAAACAATGTTAATCATCCATTGTCTGCGATATCACCTCGGTGGAAGCGGACGTAAAACACAACTAACTCATCATCATCCATTTAAATACATCAACAGAATCATTCATTACAAACCAATTAATTTAAACTAGATGTATTTGTGTCAATTGTTGATTTAATTCAAATCCATAATATGGTAAATGTAATAAGTACGATGATCGAACTGATCAAGTTGTTGGATGAAATTCAAAAATCTAATTCATCAAATCGATGCAGAATTGTTCAAAGAAGAAGCATGCCAATTTTCATATTGATCGGACTTGAATTCACAGAGCCATAGGCTTTTTCGAAGAGTATCACCGCAAGAAGAAAAGAGAGCGAGAAATGGGGTTTAACGTCCACTCGACACAAACTAGGTCATTTTGGGACTAACATGGTTCAATTTTATTTCAATAATGCGCTTGCACGTAGGGGTCTTTAGCAGTGGGAGGAAATCGGAGGACATGAAGAAAACCCAAGAGATTGGACAGGCGACCATACCCCTTGTCATGTACAACCGGGGAATCAAAACCATGCCAGTTGACTCATGAAACCACGCCAGTTGACTCAATGACAGGCCTTATGATACAGCGCGCACGTGCTAACCATTCGACCATCTACCCCCCTCCCCCCAGAAGAAGAACAAGATGAGTAGGGTTTAGCGACCAGTTCCTGGCCCCCTAAAAATTACTGTGTATGAAACAAAGGGGCAATCATAATCAAAATTACATCATTTTCAATGCCATTGACAATTTGCCAAAGCAACTGCAAGGTTCTATGTGTGTACACTTCAAGTTTGTGTAAGAACTCCTATCCTGTCCCAATAAATATTATTGCTTATTCTTCCAGGTGACCTTAGTTGTAAATGTGGCTAGTGAATGTGGTTATACAGATGGACATTATCGTAGTTTAGTTCGCCTTCAGAATAAACTTGGTCAACATAATAAATTTTCAGTATTAGCATTTCCTTGTAATCAGTTTGGTGAACAAGAACCAGGAGTAAGTATATGACTACAAAGAAGATTTATCTAGGGCATGTATGTTTTTTATTCAATCAGCCCATAGATGGTGATAATAGTTATATGAAATTGAAACAAAGATATTGTTAAAGTCCCTAATTGTCATTTGCATTTTCTGGAAAATATCAAATTTTCTACAGCTTAATCGTGCTCATATATTATGTATTTCAGTTGATTATTTAACATTTAATGAAGAAAAACAGAATTAATAATCAATATCATTTTTGCTTGCAGACAAGAAAAGAGATTCAAGCTTTTACTAAAAAATACTATCATATTAATTTTCCATTATTTGATAAAATAAATGTTCTTCCACCCAATGTAGCAGAGCCATGGGAATTTCTAATAAGTAAGTAATTTAAACTAAGTTGCCAATTGAAGCTACAAGTTCAAGAGCAATACCCAGATGTTCATTCATATCATTTAGGATCGGATTGCCCTGTCTTAGGTTTGACATTTATATTAAAGGAGCTAAGTCTCTAACTCAATATCATCCAAAATCTTCAACATTTAAAACACGAATTATTTGTCAATTTAAAACAACATTGATGCTGTGATCTTACCGGAAAAGGGTGGGCTTCTGATATCCAATATTTAAGACAAAATAAATATTTTACCATTGGTACACGAATCGTGTACCATAATGCGTTTCAGCCCCAGTTCTAGCAAGAGACTAGAGGAACGAGGCTAGACATATTGCACCAAACCAAACGGCTTATGTAGACTGGATTAACAAGACGCTAGGAATTTGCACTCGATTGAGACTGCTGGCTTTTTTCACGGAACATAACTGATTTGAAATTAGAGTAAAAATGGAAACGATTGAATGTAAATCAGTTTATATACATTCATATTACGGTATTATATGAGTTGCGACCCACTTGTGTCAATTTCTAGGTCCCAAATATTAGCGATTTAGCTCCTTTAAACATGAAGGAATAGAAAAATTTTCCAATGTTTTCATCATATATAGTCGCAGATCTTGAAGTTCCATTTTCCATAACATTTGTAAATATCGAAACTTGAAGTTTCATCTTCCATAAAATTGGTAAATCACAAACTTGAAGTTTTGTCTTCTGTGACATTTGTAAATCATTATTACAGCCATGGATGAACAGGTCTAGTTTGATCCGAAGAGGCACTGTCTGATACACTTTATCATATATTTGGTCTATGAATCTACTTTTAATTTTGCATACAATATTCAGCAAATACTTTTTGATAAATTGTAATCATAGTTGTTCTGTTGTTTTTCAGAAAGTGCTAGAGTTGCTCCTAACTGGAATTTCTGGAAGTATTTAGTGGATGAAAATGGACATGTTTTAAATGCATGGGGACCAGCAGAATCAGTGGAAGATATATTCTATGAAGTGAGAGATGCTGTTAATAAAATTAGTACACATGCTTATGATGAATTATAGAACAAATAAAATTGTTTTTCATACATGTATGCCCACATTGAAATATGGTTGTATATCGGTCCATGGTCTACAATTGCTTGTTAATGCTCTTGAGGCTAAAGTTATCAACTGATTATACATAAGGTTTAAAATTAGTCAGAGTTTTTGACGTTGAGCACTTTGAAAAATCTTCTTGGGCATATGTTTTGTTGCATGGTAATTGGTAACATATCTTTATTTTTCGTTATTAAACAAATTCAAATTTTTACTAGACAAGGTACTGTACTTAATTGATAAATACAAGATTTGTCAAATGATATACATTTGTTTAAGTTTCAGTAGGCTAATAACTGTTTATATTTCCACATATAGCTTTGTTTCTGAATATTATGTTAGTATAATTGTGGAATTTGATTGTATTCTATGCAGATTTTCATTGTATAATTGTCAGGTCTCTTCTCCACATATAGATGACTATTATATGAATATCTTCTATAATGAATTGACTTTTCATATTCTTGTTTATACTAAATTAGAAGATTGTTTTGTATATATTTTTTATTCCATTTTAATGGAAGTTTCCATAGTATATTGGTGTTCTAGTCTCAGTGACCTGTTACACTTTTCTATAAAGTAATAATACAAATTTTAAAATGGCAAGATTGTAAAAATAAAATATCAAATTAATTAAATTTGATGTGTTAATTTGTTTAGGGTAGTAGGTATTTGTCTACCTGTAAAGTTTTAGGTGCACAAATTGGATTGATGTTGAGATATAAATTGCAGTCAACAGTTTAAGCCACAAAATGAAACAGAAATTAGTAAATAAACCAACTTCTTTGTTAAATTTTGAAGTGAAAGTTTAACAGTATATAGATCTTGCCTCATTACTAATCGAAATATCACGTCAATTCAACACTTTATTTTGGCTTCAATCAAAGAGGTTTAGCTCCTTAATGTGTTCTCTCGTACCTGGTACATATACTTACTATGATAGACTGGTGCATACTGCAAATATTTTTTGTTCTACCATTAAATGATTATTGTCCTAATTGTATTTTGATATTATCTTATGGTGTATGTTAATCACTTTAGCGCCTTAGCTTCAGTACCATGAAAATGTCTTTCTTGTTGTGGTATAATCAATCTACAGTATTCGGTGTTTAATCAATTAGTGTTGTTTTTTATATTGTTTGGTGGAAGCCTTGTTATTGTTCCACAGGATAAATAAAAGCATAATAATATCTACGTACATAGCATTGTATAAATATTTGTTTTATCATCTTAACATGAGTTGGCGTAATACTCTAATATTCATGTTTTAATTCTAGTCCAAATTATTCTATACATCTTGGTTTGGTTTTTGAACCTTATTGAATAAATATTTTATTACAAGTAATTTTGTTGTGTTCTTTGACTGATTACATGTAATTAGACCTGCATTCATTAACTATATATTTCGGATAAATTTGCATAATATGGAATAGGGTATGCCATCTCTAAAATACACCATTATTTATCAGTGAGCCTGAAGAACAGTAACAACATGAGAAATTCCGTCAGTTACTCATGTTGGATTATAAAGGTATTCTTACACCCCGGCCCCTCCCATAGTAATGTAGCAACATATTGCCATTGGTGGTCAAGAATTTCTTGTGAACATTGTAAGAGACTAGAAGATAATTGTATTGGAACCATTTCTGATATTTACTTTCAGACTTATAATTTTACCATTTTGTAGAATAATTTACCATCAATTTTCTATTAGGAGAATAATATGCAAGTTTTATGGCCAGTAACTGGTATTTTAAAAGGTCTGTGTTGTATTAAGTAGGCTAGGCCAGATTGTTAATAGCCCCCCGCATTTCATAGAAAGCAGGGGACTATTTAAAATGGGTTCGTTCGTCTGTCTGTCCGAAACACTTTTTTGGACACAATAACTCTCCTTCTAATTGAGCTAAAATGTTCAAACTTGGTGTAGGTGTTTGTTAGGTCGATGCCTTGATGGAGTTCGAAGATGCGCATTTTTTGTTTAGGGTAAGCAGATATAAGCAATTTGATTGTTTGATGCTTTTGGACACGATAACTTTAGTTCTAATTAAGTGAGAGTGATGAAACTTGGTGTATAGTTTTAGCAAATCAATACCCCGACTAAGTTCGATAATGATCATTTTCTGCTGAGAATAAGCAGAACGATAAGCAATTTGACTGGTCGAGTCTTTGAAACACATTAACTCTCCTTCTAATTGGGGCAGAATGTTCACACTTGGTATAGGTGTTTATTACTATTAGGCGAATGCCTTGATGGAGTTCGAAGATGAGAATTTTCTGCTCAGGGCAAACAGATATAAGCAATTTGATTGGCTGGTGCTTTGGAACACGATAACTTTAATTCTAATTAAGTGAGAGTTATGAAAGTTGGTGTGTCGTTTCATCACATCAATACCTTGACTGTGTTTGATAATGATCATTTTCTGCTTAGGGTAAGCGGAGCGATAAGCAATCTGATTGGTCGAGACTTTGAAACACAATAACTCTCCTTCTAATTGAGTTAGAATGTTCAAATGAATGTGGCGTAGGCGAATGCTTTGATGTAACACTTTGGTCCTTGAGACAATGTTGGTTCTTTGCAAAATTGTTACTTCATTCTGTCCATAGAGTTAAATCACACGTACTTAATGAACGTGAATATCTAGTTATACATAAAAAAAACCAGTGAATTTTTGGTTAAATCATAATCATTGTCAAAATATCCATCAAATTCTGCCTGTTTATTGACCTATGGTTGGTATACCAAAATAAGATAACTTCTCCTATCTTAGTTGTGGGAATTGGGAAATAAAGAGGTTTATTCCATATATGGGGTGGAAATTAACGTCAAGGTTATCGAAGCCCTGCAGAAATTAGGGGGTATAAATTAGGGTGTAGAAGCGATTTGGATCAGAACTCATTAAGAAAATCCTAGCAGCCATTATTATTGAGAACGAGGAACCTGCAAAGCCATTACAGTTTAGCAATAACGTTGTGAAACTATTTTATGCTGTAGTCTTGTTACGATCACGAAGAAACAAACACAACAAGAAAGAAATATATAGTACTACATTGATGGAGTTCGATGATGAACATAATTGTCTGCTTCCGGTAAGCAGATATAAGTAATTTGATTGGTTGGTCCTTTTGGGCACAATAACTTTGGTTATAATTAAGTGAGAGCTATGAAACTCTGAGTATAGATTCATTATATCATTACCTTGACTACGTTTGATGAGAATTTTCTGCTGAGGCCAAGGAGCGATAAGCAATTTGATTGGCCAAGACTTTGGAACATAACAACACCGTTTTTAATTGAGGTAGAATGTTTAAACTTGATGTTGCTGTTCATTAAGTGAATGTCTTGACTGAGTTCAATGATTAACATTTCCCGCTAAAGATCAGCAGTGTATAGTTGATCCTTTTGAAAAAGATAAACGTGCAATCAATTAAGTGTCATCTATTTATTTCGGGATTCGGCGGGGGACATCAGCCTCATTGTTGGCTTGTTGGCTTATCTGACGGCTCCATTTCACTCGCAAAGAGATACACTGTCAAAAGTGAAAATGGACGTTTTTAATTTTTGTCTTAATAATGAGTATTGCTCCACCAATTTTCATACATTCAGCAATTCGTCGTGGCATGCTCCTAATCAACCGTCCAATCACGATTTAAGGCAATCTGACCCACTCCTCTTGCAGTGCCACGGCCAATTCTTTCAGTGTTGTCCGTTGACGTTGACGAACACGTCTCCCGATCAAATTAAACGTAACACACTAAAGCAAAGATACGTTAAACAGTAATTATGCAAAAACCGATAGGAAAGCAAACATGGATAGATAAACCAGCACGCGGCAGTTTTCATCAACACTTCCTTGAAGTGTCAAATTTGACAATGAACTCCTCACACGTGTATGGCGCTATTGCGTGTCGCATGTGCAGCTCAGTGGTTCTGTTGGGGCGATAAGTTCTTCATCTGTGAACATACTCTCAAAGCATGTCAAATGTTCATAACTATTTATCATATCGCATTTTGCATTTAAATATCCCCTACTTTTTTTGTTTGAAGAGTATATATTCATTTTCTTTAGCCAGTCTATTGACTCAAAGGCACGGACTGAGGAATGGGTAACAGAGATACATACATCTGCTGAACTAAGGGTTTATTAATGTCCATTGACCGTTAGTGGACAACTAGTTGGATATCAACATCAGGGCCAAATGTTTGTGAACAAAGTCCCATTTTTGCTTTTCTCAGAAGGTAAACCATAAAAATAATCAAAGAAATGCTTGTTTTCATTTAAACAAATATATTTATACGACAGATCTACAAAACAATTACTTGGTATTAAAACATACGACTACTATCTATATGGTAAGATAACATTCTATTGAAACATAACATAATACTAGGACAATAACAAAATATTAATTGTTTTCAAATAACATGTAATTCAATAATATACAAACAAAAAACATTTCCTCAAACATTTATTTATTAGCATCTGGTTCTCAGAATATTGCTCATCTTTATCTGTTAACCTTCATTATAACATATAAACCAAGAGGACTTCAAATCTCTGGGGGCAATACTTGACAACGCCTTGTGCAAAAAAAATGGAACTAATAAAACAGTGAAATCTTGGACCCGAATTCTAGAAAAATCTTAAGACAATAGACTGAATTAAAATTTACTTTTTAAAGTAGTTTTGCACAAACTCATATTTAAATGTTTTGTGACATCCTATATAAACAAAACTAATTTATTTCACGATTTTTCAACACCATACTTAAATCAAGACACCATACTTAAATTTAACCTGGTTATCATAAACATTAAAATTGTCATTTCGAAGATGTGTCCTAAGATTTTTCCAGAATCTGGGCCACATATACAAGCAAAAGTCAAACTATATCACAAAATAATAGCACTAATTGATGCTGACCAAAATGTAATTACATGTATAACTATAATTAATATAATATGTTATTTTATAAGAATGAGAATTATTAATGCCAATATATATTTATAAAGTAGAGCCACCAGAGATTTGGTTTTTAAAAGATGTCTTAAGTTCTACAGGAAGGTAATTCAGATGCTCTTTGTCACTGTCAAGTTTCCGACTGACACAGTCACATACCGTTTTCAGGTCACTGTCAAGGGGTTTGCATACCGTCCTGATGTCATTGTCAAACTCGGCCCGTTTCCGAGTTGTGTCACTGTCAGCAAGCGTTCTGACCCTGTCATTGTCACCGCCGAGAAGTCTCTACAGGCGAATCTTGGTCAGGTCAGGAGCACATGTCTGAGTGGAACCGACATTGGCAATCCCCAGAGGAATCGCACTGGCAAAATCGCCGACGAAGGGCAACGGGACATTGTCAGGTTTTCTCGCTGACAAACCTGGACTGACACTGTCAAGGTGATGTTTGTCGTCAGGGTTTTATGTTATTGGTCGGTCGTCGGGAATTATTTGATCATGACTTACATTGACAAGTGTTTTTAACAAATCGTGGTGGACGTTTACAAGTACATTGCCATACAGTTTCCATGGTATTTTCATTTACTACTGGGTTCTGGCATACACATTGTCGGTACATATCGTCTAATTTAATGGGACATTTACAGTTATGGGTCGGATTTTCTATAAGTCCTTCAAATAAATTTCTTCAGGAACATATTTGGCGACGACGATGACGGTGTCGACGGCGTTGGTTTCGATTGCGACGGTGGCGTGTTCTTCTATTTTGATGATGCTCCATTAACAGGTTACATAAATCCTCATCATCAGGTGGACATGGTAAATGTGGCCTTGTTAGAAATGTGTCAATTACAGCTGGTGCGTCACCCATCATTAAATCTGATATATCCGTGCTTTGTGGACAGCTTCCACAAATTTGCGTTCTTAAATAAACTGTATTAATAGCATTCCTGGTATGCCTAAGTCGCAGATCGGTGTATGGAAGGGGAATATGATACACTCGTCGTCCACACCTGAAGTGTAATTTATGGTTTGTATAGTTAAAAACAATGTCTGTATTTACATAAAAAAAAGTAACGAATTGTTTCCAGGGGTTATTCATAGGTTCGATATCGGGTTTGTATATAACAAGGAGTAGTAGGACGGACTACCTATCCTTATGGGTTTCCCGCGACTTTCCCAATCATTCGTCCCATTTCTAAAACATAGTTACGGGCCCATATGTGTTGATTTATCAAGTCCGTTTTCCTGTGTGGGTGTAGTTGTTCGGATGGGAGCAAAAGCCAATGTGTACTTCTGTACACATTGGTGTGCCGGTAATAGGACTAAGGACAGTTAGAATTCGGGAAATGAAAATTACCATAATGGGACAGTAATCTTAAAATGGTGGAATTACTGGGTTGCTCAGACGTTAAACACCGTTCTATTCTAATCCATGTTACACTACTCACCTGTCAAAGATTATGAAGTCATCCTTTCTTCCACCATACACATTCTTCCATATATTTTTTTCCTCAGTATCCTGGTATATTGGTATGCTCACACGAGGGAAAAGGTGGGCTATGTCTTTTGATTCCTTTCCATTTATTATTAAGAAATTTATATCTGATTTACCTTCTGCAGCTAAAACATCTTTTAAGACTTGCAAGCTGAAAGAAATCCAAAGTAATTAGTTGGAATTAGTCGCCGTAGTCGTTCCTAGTCATTTGATTACGCACAGTCTCATGGCCGCCTGAATCTGCCAGTTGCCTTTCAAGTTATTAGTTCTTTATTCGCGTTCAAGGTTATTTCATGTCATCCAAATGACTAGAGGTTTCTTGTCATGCCCTTGGCCCTGCACCCAAAAGAGAAAACGACGCTGGACAATCCCCTCTCGGCCATCACTCTTCCATTCATGGTCTGGATATGAAAGAACCGTTTACCAAGAATAATGAGGTAATGAATAAATTTGTTTTACCTTGCAGCTTGCACACGACAAAAGGGTCAACTGGCCTGTAACAGTGCAACTAAAGTCACCCTACCAAATGCTCTATTCATGGGGTTGATTCCATTGATAGTCCAAGGAGTTGGTCTGTGACAGAGCTGAATTGGTCCTCCCCCAGTGCATTTGGTGAGACTAAAGAGCACTATACAGGCCAGAAAAGCCCGTAGGCACCTTGTCTCCTTCAGGATCTCTGTAAAAAAAATGAATTCGGATACACAACGGTGTTTATGATGCGCCGAAAAGTGTGAAAGGATAATGCCAAAACATAGGAACAAGCGGTTGCCATGCAATATAACCCACCCATGGACGGAATGCGGGCAAAATTCATAGAACCCATCCTCTCACTGTTCTAATACCTTTTACATCGAATTTTAAGTAAAATCGGGAACCACTGATAAGGAGAAACTACCGGAGGAACGTTTTCGGACAACACAAGGATCGAACCCTGAACCAACTGGTTACTGGGCCAGCGTCTAACTTAATCAGTCAACATGGCCCAGCCATTACATTGCGTAGGGGTCTTTAGCAGTGGGAGGAAATCGGAGGACCCGGAGAAAACCCACGACGTTGGAAAGGCGACCCTACTCCTTGTCACGTACAACCGGGGAATAGAAACCACGCCAGTTGACTCAATGACAGATCTAATGATGCAACGCGCACGCGCTAACTATTCCCCCCCACACACACACACACACACACCCTCCAAAGGCAGGAAATTAATCACCTACCTAGTGGCATTTTCCCTATTTTCGTCAAAAGAGATCACAACAATCACGGACGGACGGACGGGGGCGACGACAATATACGACCACATTTCAATGTGGGCGTATAAAAAATGCTACTTAAGGGAAAAAATGCCCTCTCTGACCCCCTGGCAGGTGGGCCCTCAACCACTCAGTCCATCCCATGTTCATTGTTCAGAGTTCTCTTTTCTGGGCTGGAAAACGCGTTTGCAGCCGTCCAAATTTAAAATTTATATGCCCTTCGACTCCCCAGGATCGACCCCGATAATTCTATTTTATACACATACATTTATTCTTATGTTTTTTTTCTGTCTTATTCGTCGTGTGTTATAATTAATAAATTTATAATATAGTCTTGTGCCTATTTCGTTATCACTATCTACCTAATACAATTGCTGTGCGCATGTTGTTGAATAATTGTGTGACTAGACAAGACATTATGTTGACCTGATGACTAAACACTCACAAACGTACATATCATATTTCATTTTCATAAAATATATTCACTGTTGCCTAACCGTCGTTGGTGACATGATACAATAGTTTCAAACCTATAAATTTTCAACTAATTAAATTCCTTTGATAATTTTTGCTCAGATCCTTGTGAGGGAGGGGCGGGGCTGAAACCCCAGACGAGTGGGGTGGGGGTGGGCGGGTGGAGAGACTCAGGAGAGGGTCTATACATTTAAAAGAGTAAATTTCCTTCAGAAATGACCTCAGATGCATGAAAATCGATTTCAAACCTTCAAAATTTTCGGGGGGGGGGGCGCTTCGAGACTCTGCAGTCAGTCATCCATGGTCCTTGCATTTGGGAGATGCATTTTGTTTTTGGAGGATTAACATCGATTGAGATCAATTTATAATTAAACTTACATTCTACTGAACCATACTATTAACTGCCATATATATTTACAAAGACTGGTTGCCAGTCAACGAAACATACGCCCACAGCAGCTAAATCGTCCTTTAGGGTCGACAAGGGTTGTCGCATATTTATTCTTTTGTAGGTAATTTGGGGCATTTACAAGACAATAATTATAATTTTCGTCGTTTGAGGGTTCACAAGGTTCTACAAACCGAAACAAGGGTCTTAACTCTAGAAGTAATTTAGAGAAATTGTTGAAATTTGACAGGCTTTTTCGATTTACTAATTTAAATAATGCATATAAATTTCATAAAGATCGGATGATAACTTTTGTCATTCGAACGTTCAGAAGGTTCACAAAGTAAAACAAGAGCCATAATTAACGGAAATTGCTGTAAATAGACTTCTTCGTTTCACTAATCTAAATGATGCATATAAATTTCCTACAGATCGAATGATACCATTTGTCGGTCGAGCATTGACAAGGTTCAGCAAAGTGAAACAAGGGCCATAACTTCAGACGTAATAAACGGAAATTGCTGAAATTCAGTAGGATACTTCTTTTTACTAATTTAAATGACGCATATAAATTTCATACTGATCGGCAGATAACTTTTGATGTTAGAGCGTTCAAAAGGTGCAACAAAGTGAAACAAGGGCCATAATTCTAAAAGTAATTAACGGAAATTGCTAAAATTCAAAAAGATTCTTCTTTTCACTAATTTAAATAATGCACAAATTTCACAAAGATCGGCTGATAACTTTTGGCGTTAGACGGTTCACAAGATTCATCAAAGAGAAACAGGGGCCATAACTCTAGACGTAATAAACGGAAATTGCTGAAATTCAATGAGATTCTTCTTTTTACTAATTCAAATGACGCAAATAAAATTTCATACAGATCGGCTGATAACTGTTTATGTTAGAGCGTCCACCAGGTGCAACAAAGTGAAGCAAAGGCCATAACTATAAAAGTAATTAACGGAAGTTATTGAAATTAAAATATGATTCTTCATCTCACAACATATATCAAACTATATCAATTTTAAAACAATCAGATGATAACTTTTGGCGTTAGAGCGTTCACAAGAAACTGACTGGGCGACGGCAATATATATACGTCCACATTTCCATGTGTATATAAAAAGTCTATAGGCATCATGTGAAAAAGAAAAGAAGATAGGTCACCGAACTCTTATCTTTATATACATGTATGTGTACATACATTTTATGATCTCTATAGAAACGCAATGTACAGGCAGTATAGCTTTCGGCCCTTAATGTTAGTCAATAGTAGAAAAACTTACATGCACTTTTACTTATATTTTCATGAATACTGAAAAATTAAAAAATAATCCTTAAATATATAATTAAAAGAGATAAAATAAGGGTTTGCTCACCTCTATATAAAGAAACGAACGTTCTTTGTACTGGTGAAAACTAAACTGATATCAGTTCCCAGATAAACCTCTTATATAGCACAACCCCTTACACTATTGACCCTTGACCGACCCACAAACTCAATGGCGTGCGATAATATAAGTATTCATTGGTTACATTTATATATAGTTCAAGTATTAATTACACATATGATAAAGATATTAGCAAGGTCGCATCAGATTACCATAATGTTATCCTTCTCTTATGCAATCACTTTGTCAACACGTGCATAATTTCTGACCTTTGTCAACTAATATATTTCTTTCCAAGTTTACTAACAGTCCCAAATGTCGACATGTACCGTTGAATTCCTACAATACAAGTCTATTTATAAAAATGGTTACCAATATAACGTGGCATACGTACGTACGTGTTCATATTTATTCAAATATTAAACTTTCATTTCAATGTATAATCTTTTTCAATTCAAATGGATCACGGTCTAATCAATGTTTTGTCTTCTGACAGCGGTTTTCCACAGGGTTCAATATTAATTATTGTGCAAATTTAACATATAACTTTTACAATGGCGGGTGTATGGATCAGCACACGTTGGGGTTGCGAGATAATGATCGAATTAAAGGACAATATTGGTGTCAGTCATTATCACATACGAGATAGCGAACTGGTTAAATACGTTCCAAATGTAATTTTAATACAGAGCTAGGCAATTGCTACAATAGATGCGTTGTGAAGCTTTCAAGAATGGGAAGTGACGGACGCAAAAGGAAAACACGAGTTATCCTTCTATATAACTGACTGAAGTGACGAGTGATAACAGATACACGTGCGAATTTCTGCTCACTTATAATTCCTTCGAAGACCGAAAATTGTTATGCGAGGCTGTGTGATAATTAAAAAAAGTAATGCACTTCGAAGGTACATTATTGACATGACAAATTTAGTTTTATGTCAGAGACCTCATAATATTATCGAAATCAAAAGTTGACTCCTCCCCCTTTTTGATAGTTATTATAGGTTGATAATATCATCAACAATACACATGAATGTCAAATAGGGAGTTAGCGTCTGCTAAAGAAAACTAAGTTATCATGACTAATATTATGGAGAAAACACAAGAAAATTGGTCATCGACTCCACCCGATGCCTTAAAAGATGTGCAAGTCAGGAATGGTTAATTCAATTTGAAAATGGGGCGGGGGAGACGTCTGGTCGAGTGGACTAACTTGTGCGTTTTAGATCACAAGGTCTGTATGATCGCCTGTCCAACCTCGTGGGTTTCTCCGAGTCCCTCCCCAACTGCACAAGCCAATTATTGAAATGAAAATTGTACCATATTTTAGTCTCGAAATGACAAAGCGTGTGTCGTATAGATGTTAAATCCCGCCTCTCTCGCTGATTTAGTTTTAAAAAGGTTGCCTCCGTCTAGATATTGATGATACTGTCGTGTTTTTACGGTTTAATTTTGCTCTTGGAATTCTAAACAATATAGATATTTAATAAGCATATATTTATGGTGCATGAGGCAACATGCCATAACCTGTTAACGCGCAATTTGACCGATATTTCTGTTTTTCTTCTCTTAAATCAAAATTACTTTCCTTACATCGCCTGTTAACGATATTCTCGAGTATTTACTGTTTTGTATGGCATCTTTTACCATTTGGAAGTGGCTCAATGCCAGATTATTTAGAGCATCTTATTGCGTATTAGGTATTATTCATTTCCTTAAACACGTATACAGTAATATATGGAATTTATGTTGCTAGATTACTATGACTTTAATTATTTCATATTATTATATTTCTTTATTAATGACATAAATTCTTGGTTTTATATAGATGTTGCTTTCCCTTTGTTTTTTTTTTGGGGGGGGGGTGTAAATAAATAAGTAAATAAGTGTTCTGTAAGATTACATAAGCAATCTAAAGCAAGACATGGGAAAGGTGCGTTATATCAGCATTAAATTGGCTTCGGGTTTTTTTGTTGTTTTTTGGGGGTTTTGGGGTTTTTTTTAGTGTAAGTATTTGCACGAAAAAGAACTTGACAGAGTACTCAGCTGATCGATGTAAACAAAGGACACGTGACATTAACATGTGCGCCAATAACTTATATATAACTAACCAATCAAAATATTGTGGTTCGGAATTTCTACCAATGAACGACTGAGATATACTTCGTCCCGTTCCAATCCAATGTATTTACATATGTTTATAAACAGTGCGTAGTTTTGTAGACAAAGACTAAGATTTTACAATATTTTCTCTGAATAATGCCATTTCTCGGACGGGATTGGCGATCTCCAGGTGACCAGTGGGTACGAACGACAGAAGGATGGGAAAAACTCAAGATTTGGCGAGTCAAAGTATTCGAAAACCTGAATCAAAATGTCGTAGCAAGGTATGTGTACACACTTCAATGACAGCGTCGATCAATCAGATTGTAGGCTAATTTATGAGGTAATTCAAGGAAACCTTTATACATTACAAAGTATTAGTTTCATATATGGAAATATAAGTAGGAACATAGCCTAGACTATTATGAAACTATGCGATACACCGCCTGAGGAATTAATGTATTTAATTAATTCATGCAACGTTCAGTCTTTAATTTAAAAAAAGAATATGAATGAAGGATAATGATAATGTTGAATTTATAGATGTTAAAATGAAAATCATGACCTATGCAATGACTTTCATTTTTTCAAGATTTGCATGATTTAGAATAATGCATACCATCTGAGAAAAAAACCCTGAAAAACAAACCTGTTGATTTTAAATAGGAGGATGATATTTGAATCTAGAATTACAAAATTTAGGCACACAGTCTACCTACATGTACCCCTCAACTGTCAGGGGCTGAGTGAGAGGGACGCAAATAACAAGCTTTGCATCATGGTTTTGAGTTTCTGTGCCCCCTCGCAAATGGCAAAAAAAATCATGCAGTTTCAATGTGATTTTCAACATTATAATCATAATGTATAACCAGATACTGTGGGGTCAGATATGCTACAAATCAACTCTAGCATATTCCCACACAGCCCAATATTACCCAGTGGCCCTGGGAGGGACTGCCCCCCTCCCCCCTCCCACATTTAAATGTTGTTTTTTGGGGGGATCTTGTTTCTCATGCAAAGTCATGGGTCACCATGCCCCTGGCAACCTTCCCCCAAACAAAATTATTCTCATTAAATGGAAATGTAAGATTTAGATAAATAGATTATGCAAAAAGAATAAATTGAAAATTTCATTCAAATTACTTTAATTAATTTGACAAAAGTTATCAGTGGTTGTAGTTTTGACAAGATGTGTGCATTGATCGTAACCACAGTACTGGTCATTCACGTCTTAGCCTTGCTTCTCCATTTTTAAGTTAAATCATTAAATGGACGAATTGTTTTAATCTATTTAAAATCAGAGTCATACGATGGCATCGATAGTTGATTATGATCTTGTCATGTTAATAAATGCCTAATTAATAATTTATGTAACACTTATAAGGCCCAAAGAAAAACCTACAATAGGCAGATTTACATAATGCCTGTTTAATCATCATGTCATGCAATGTCAAGTCACAAAATTTTTGATGTCTACTCCATCCCTCCACCAAATACATCACTGGTCCAGTGGTTCTTTAAATATAACTTTCTGTTTGATTTTGGATAGGTATCAGAATGTCCACCACTCACATTGTCTATTATCAGATGTGCAGCGAAAATGAGGTATAGGGTTTGACCTGAAGGGTGAAAAAAGTAAGACAGATTATAGATCTAATAATAATATATGAAGTTTGTTCCTTTCAATTGTAGATTAATCCGTTTAGCTTTACTAGATATGAAATGTAGTCGAGATGATACCTATGAAAGAAGACAGCCATTCATACTTTTTAACAAAGGCATGACGAGAGAGGTAATTTATTAATATCATTGGAAGCTTTGCAGAAGAATGATTGCAGTTAGTCATTAAAATAGTTATATTTTTAAGTATAATTAGTTTATGATGTAAACAATATTAAAATTTTATGGAGAAAAAATAATTATTCAGTCTTTAAAGCTGTGACTGCTAAGATTTACAGTCTGGGAGGCTGAACAGCTAAGAGGCTGAACAGCAAAGGCTTAATACACATACATTTTAGAATGCATAGAATACATACAAATACATACATCATACTATTTTCAACCATATGAGAAATTGGCACAGTTCCATAACTTTTGGCATTCTTCCCCATGACATAAAGAAACTGAGAGGAAAGAAAATCTTAACTGATGCTTGCATATTAGGCTATGGGTTTTTTTTCTGACCAATTTCTGATCAAGTTGGTATCCTATATTTTAATCTTTCATAAATTAAATTTACTTCTTCATATTTGCTTTGATTGCATTTAAATGCAGCAGGTACAACTGAAAGAGGAAAACTTTTATTTGTTAAAAGCTACCATTTCATTTTAGATGAAATACTAAATTCAACAAACAGCTAAAAAAAATCATAATTATTTCTCAGAATATTTTATAATTTGATTTTTTTACATAAATTATTGTAAAAAATGTTTGGGATTTTTAAAACAGATTTTATATTGCTAAAAACAACAAAAATATATTTACCCCTTGAAACTTTTAAGATTTCATTTTATTGGCTTTTTAAAAGTTTGATTTTGCAACCAGCTTTAGTAATGAATCATAATTTGTTATTTTAAGAGAAAAGAGTTGACATCTGTGAGTGAAGCCTTAGTGAGACTTGATATGACTGGAGCCGTCAAAGACATTCGTAGAATAAATTATGTTGGAAAGGTAAGTTAGAATACAGTACTAAAACATTTCATTAAATCTCCAGAGAATACCACCTTTAAATACCCATGTGTTGGGATGTAATGTCTGCTCACAATCCTTATAAACACTCTACAGACGAATTTTTAAAAATATATATATTTTTTAAATTTAACTGAATTTTGTCTAGTGATAAGAAATGAAATTAAATGGAGGTTAACATCCTACTTTTCTACACCAACTGGGCTAATGATGAAGAAGGCTAATGATAAGAAGCAACTTTTAAAGCCCTTTTTATACGCCCATATTGAAATGTGGTCATATATTGTTGTCGCCCCCGTCCGTCGGTCTGTTGTCCACAATTGCTTGTGGACGCTCTAGAGGCTAAAGTTAATATGCGATTGACTTTAAATTTATACACAGTGTTTAAGGTCATCACTCATCAGACGAAGAAGTCTATTGATTTTCAACGATTTTCGATAATTACTGCTAGAGTTTAGGCCGTGATCAATTTGAAAAATCTTGTGGACACTTTAGAGACCTTAGTTATCATCTGATTGATTTTAAATTTATACACCGTGATTACACCTACATATAATTCTTGCAATTGACTTTAGATTGATACAATGAGTTTAAGGTCTTGAGACGAACAAATATATTGATTTTCAATTAATTTTTGATAACTTAAAGTTGCAATTTCATATTTTTAAGTTATATTTTTAAAATTTATTAAAATAAAGCCTTAAAATAGATGTTATCTATAAATAGTCCTACCTTGTTAAAGAATAATCCTATTAATCCTATAATTCACTATTGCCAGTTGAGAAATTGGCAAAAATATCATGTTCAACTTCAAATTCAAACATTTGAAGATAGCTATTCCATGGGGGGGGAATAGAAAAACAAGGGAGGTAATTGTGTTATTATTTCCGGGGTCAAAGGATTTGTAAGTGGGAGAATAATACCTATGATCTTATAATAGTGAGTTGACAACCTATTGAGCAAAAGACATAGAAATAATTATGTTTTGACTTTCTTAGAAAATATGAAATTATCGCTTTAAACAGCAAAATCCGTGATATTAAATGTTTTGTATACTGAACATTAGCATGGGCCAAACAAATTCTAATGATTTTCTGATAATTACTTAAAGGCAACCTATCTTTTTGAGATAATGTAGTTTCTACTTAAATTAAAATCACAATATACCACAAAGCTCTTGCTTTCATCACTAATATCCAGCAATGGTTGAAAATGATAAAGCTGCAGGCAATAATAACTACTGGTAAGAAGTTAAAGGCATTAAATAGTATCCAACATACTATTAAAAGTATACAAAATTGATAGTCTGTTAGCATTTTCTAGTTATCATTTTTTTTATATATTCAAGTTGTTAGAATTAATTTTGGAGAAGAAATTTCCAGGATTAAGTGGTACTGCCCAAAAACATGTGATAAAAATACTAGAAGCAATTGTTCAACAAGGTAGGTTAACAGATTATTTAATTAATTAAATAGTAAAACACAGGGGGGTGGGGGGGGTGGCAGAGGCTGGTCAGACAAGAAGTTGGCTGGAATATTCTGATTTTGATGTACAGTTACGTGCAGTGCAAATCTAAAAATTATAAAAATTCAAGATTTCCCTCTTCCCGAAAATGGGTGCTCTCTGTGGGTTATCCTCTATTGATTTACTGGTCAGTATACTGTCTAAATCAAACACCGAACCTCATCTCTCTTGAACTGTATACCGGAATGCCATCTTCATTAGCCCAGTCGGAGCAGAACAGTAGGATGCTAAATCGCATTTCAGTTCATTTACCATAATGATGTTTTTTTCTAGCTCTAGAGACAGAGTATAATACTGGTTTTGCAAGAGAACTATTAACCACTGCTGATCAAGTTCTCAAAACAAGCCAACTTTCTCATATTGGCAGTGAATGTTTGTGGACAAAACATCAAGATACAGTGACTCGAATGAAAAACAAGCTTGAAGAATTTCAAGTGAAACAGGTAATTAATGTTTCCTTCAACATTTTGGAAACCAGTTTTAAGTTAATTAACTTTAATGCTAATTACAAAATGAAATGTGAAATGAAATAAAATGGGGTTTAATGTCCTATTTTTCTGCAGCAATTGGGCTAATGAAAACAGAAATTGAAATATGGTATAATTGTGATTTTATTATTCTTTTAGAGAAAAAATGATGGAAAGATGAAACTGGTTGATTTACCAGATGATTGTGTACGCTGTATTTTATCACGTATTGTAGACCATAAAGATATTATGAGAGCTGGCATGGCCCAGTCATCTATACATATTTTTTCTCAGGAACGATTATTATGGCAGCAAATGTGTTTTTTTCATTTCACCAATCAACAAATTATTACATTTCTGCCACAAGTATTGGATGACAAAGACATAGACTGGAAATTAATCTATAAAAGATGTTACAAGTAAGTAGGATAAGCTGAGTAAGCTGATACAATAAAAATATTTAAATTTAAAATAACTTTATATAAGAAACGATTTGGGTTGGGTTTTTTTTTACATCATTTAAATAATAATCATTGACAACAAATTTCAGACGTTTTGGAAAAAAAGATCTGTATGCTGATTGTCTAGCACTGTGTTCCAGTTGTTGTGGTATATACTGGCAGGTAAATGGAATTCATTTTTTTTCTGAAGACCCATAATCTCACCCAAAAGATTTGAATTATCTCCCTTTACATATTTTTTGACTTCAAATTCGAGGTTTAGAACACATTTTTTGAAATCCTGTTAATAACTTGCATTTGTATTCAAGTGCTATGCAATTTATATGAACCATTATGGTTTTTCTGTATACCAGTACTTTATGAAGTGTGTTATCTTTTCATTTCAGTCTTTGGGCCATCCCTGTGTACATAAAGAAAATGTCACTTCTACTCCCTTGTCGCCACAGGACTTCCTTAAATTATTCAGTTTATAGACAGAGAAATTTTAGAATGATAAGAGGGATACAACAGAGATATCCCAGTGCAATTATCAATGCAATATTCTTTGATATCAGTAATTGTGATAAATGTAAAACAACAGTTGTGATAGACTCAAAGAGAAATTGGACAAAGTAAAATTTCATTTCACAAATTTTCAATTATTTATAGTTCAGCATATGTCAATATTATATTCTTTAAACAAAATATTTCAGCATATGTAGATATTATATTCTCCAAACAAAATAGTTCTGCATATGTAGATATTATATTCTTCAAACAAAATAGTTCAGCATATGTAGATATTATTCCTCAAGCAAAATAGTATATATATAAAATCTATATATGTTTTTGATTCGCAAATTTTGTACTTTGTAAAAGCACAAATTTATTATTGTTTTTGAAGCTTCATTCAGCCAATTTACTGGTGTCAAATTATTTTTTTAAATGTTACAATTAATGTCCACTGAAATGAATGTGATCTTCGTATGCTACATTTTTCTCTAACAGCCAATGTAGGATAACTGCACAACAAGTAGGGACAAAACAAGTCAAGCAGAGTAAATAAAACATTACATGAGTGTGGGGGTAGGCTGATTTAAACCCATCAATTTTCTTGTTTTTCTGTATCTCAATATTACATCTGATATTAAAGATGCATTATGTAAGAGCTAAATCTTCCTATTGCAGGTTTTTATTTTGACTTCAAATGTTATATATATTATTATTTAGACATTTATTCACATGACAAGCCTATAATCAGCCCTCTAGATCATCAGCCGGCACAGATTTAAATGGATTGAAATACAATCGCCATTTAATGATTAAATTAAAAAATGGAGAAGCGAGGCTAGGTCTCAATTAACAAGTAACATTGCTACAATAACAAACAATCTATGCCACATCTTGTCAAAACTTCAAATAGTGATAACTTAGCTCAAAATAAAGTAATTTGAATGGAATTTTCAATATATTAATTTTAAATTATCTATTTTGGAACTATTATTAGAAGTACAGTCAGCTCTTTATCAAAATCTGACCTAATGCATCTTTAACTACCATGAAACTGATATTGTTTTGGTTGTATTAAGAGAAACCAGTGTTTATGTGAGATAGATGATGGGTATGTAATATAGTATCCTGCTAATGTAAATATTTTCCCTTAAACATACTACATTCTAATATCTGACTGTGAAAGATAAGGTAAAGATTACATTCCTCCAAATACTAAAAATGATGTAACGGTTGAGTGATATTATGAAACATCTCATAGACTAGTACATATTGTAGTTTGTTATTATATTTCATTATTCAGGATCAGTGAAGATTGAAAAGGGTTCATGTACATTACATTATAAAATTGTATTTCATCAATCAGAATTAGTGTAGATAAAAAAAATCCCATATTCATTTTAGTCAAAATTCGTGAAGATGAAAGTAGTTTCTTATGTAATAAAGTATATTTCATTAGTCCAAATTATTATAGGACAACGGATTATAGATAGATGTACATCATAATTAATGAGATTTTATTGTAGTAACATTTGAGATCTCCAAGTCACTGACAAAGCATTTTTTTAATTTATTTATAGATGCATGTCATAATTGTGTACAAAACTGCCTTGGACTGTTATATTTAAGTCTTAAAAAGATCTGTCTTATAATCCAAGTCTTGACTTCATTTGTTAATTAAGAGAAGAGAATAATTTTCTGCATCATCAATGTAATAGATTTGAGTGAATTTTAAACCTGACAAATAAAACTAATTTCGCACTTGGGCATCATATTTTAATGTTATAATCCCCAGTTTTAATTGACTTTAATCATTTGTTGTTTTTTTTTTCTTTTTTTCAAATGACTGCCAGCTACTTACATTTTATGAAAGTTTAAATAAAACAGGAAATTGAATTTTACGAGCTCCTATTATGAAATATGCTTTCAAATTGTTTGAAATGCAAAAATTATTTTTGTATAAAATTGTCATTAGTTAATTTTTAAAAAAGAACAACTCACAAACATAGGAACAAACTTAAATGTGATTACTTATAAATGCTTGAGTTATTTCAGTAATGCTTAATTCGATAAAAAAAAAAATTTGTTTTTCAGTGGAAAACCATGGAGCAAGTTCAGTTATCATGGTTTATTTATATGTATATTTGCATTTGTAGTAACTTTAATCAGCAAGTCTTTCAAAGTGTTATTAATGTAAATATGTTATTATTATATATTAATATTTATTACCTATTTATTGTATATGGTTACTGTGCAAACTTTAAAACTGTGGAGTGTTTGCTCAATGTTATTGTGATAAATCCTAATCAAAGTATATTGTATTAGTTGAGTTGTGTATGTAAGTGCCATTGTTTATCTTATATATGTTTCAAGTTTTTTGTTAATTTACTTGTATATAGAAAATGTTTGATGAATTGAAAAAAAAAAATTGAACTTGCTAAGTCTTTATCTGGCTCAACTTTTTTTAAGACTAATCTCTCAAAGATTATTCTTCGACGCAATTATATTACATCACTTAAAAAAACGTCTTATGTCAATAAGACTCATTATATATCTGATGACAGTCGACTTAAAAGTGAAACTAAATGAGTAATGATACCATCATTTGTATACTGCCAATAAATTGAATATTGAACAATCTTTCCCAGAGACTAAAGTATACAACACATTTAATCAACTAATTTCAATTATTTTATTGATCTAAATTGCTGAAGTCATATCTGAAAAGATGGACCCTAATTCGTTTGGGTCTCGACAAAAAACTGTCTCTTTCATTGTTGGCTTGCTTAGTGAGATGACAATCTGTTGTCATTTTAAAAGTTATGTCTATAGATAAAGTCAGTAATGAAATATAACCGATTATGTGTACCACTTCTGTCTGATCTTTCAAAACAAAAATTTAGTTGTATAGAGCTTGTCTCATTACAATCTGATTAAAATACAGATCTATATTTCGTTTCGTTTTTTATACTTTCGATGGCCTACACTACATGAAGATCTGACAATTTGTACTCGTAGGTCATGTCAGGGGTAGTACTAGCGGCTTTTAAACCTATGACGTCTGACATTGATTAATCAATCAGCATCGGCGTTTCTAGTGGTTTACCTACAGTTCTGTGCATGGCACGCCAAGAAGTCGTCGTAACAGACTGTGTCATTGGCTTATCCCTCACTTCAACCAAAACGCCGGTAATATAACATCTCTTCCAGATCCTAGTGTAATAAAGACAATTAAAACGGAATTTTGAACTATAAAAAACGAAATGAAATAGGATCAGATTGGTCTCATTATTGACTGAAATAACACAGCAGATCAATCTAATTCAAGACTTTATTTTGACAAATTCAAATAGGCTTAGCTCCTTTAAGTATTATTTCATTTGTGATCTAAACTGTGTAACTTGAAATTTTCTATAAGGTAACATATTATATTAGATATAAATTATTGTACATGTAGAGTAGACACACCATATTTTTAATATTAGTAGTCATTTCAAGGCCATTGTCTTTTATAAAGGATTGTTAAATAAATATTTTATTTTATTATAGTATTTGTAAATATAGTGCTAGTAAGACTGTAAATAAGTTTAATTATTATGCTGTTATTATCAATATTAAAATACTTTTTAAATCATTTATTAAATTAAATGTCGACTTTCAATAAATTATGAAATACAGGTGTTTTGTTATGTTGACTATTGACAAACAGTAAATAGTTAACATCTTCCATTGCTGTAGAAATTAAAGAATTGTCTGGAATGTTGGGGCCATAACCCACTAGATCTATATACACGTTTCTCTTTAGCCTTTGAATGGATTAGAATTTAACATATAATCAACACATTACAAATAAGACTTGCATGAATGACTATATATAATACATTACTGTATTCAATGCCAAGGAAAAAAATTGTGTCCCAACTTTCATGGGTCATTTGTAGCTCATCCAAATGTCTTGACCCCTTTAAAGCTACAATACCACTTTGCAGCAATAACCCAAGATTTTCCTTTTAAGATTCTTCTATAGAAAAGTAGGACATTAAAACTCATTTCATTTCATTTCCTATGGAGACAAGGATCTGACGCTGGCAACGTATCTACCAAATTTCATTGAAATCCTAAAGTGCCAGCCAGATGACAGACAGTATGACCAGGGGCCTGAGGTTTAGGGGGTCTCGCGGTTCATGGCAAAAGTAGAAAAAATTCAATTTCCAGATGAAAGTTTCACAGTAATCGATCTATCCCTCAACCTTCTCTGTGAAGTTCCACTCAGTGATAGGTCTAGGCTTCTAGCGGCACGATGGGCGGAGACTGGGTTAGTCTGCAATCCCTAAAACTTCTCTGTGATTGGTCAAAACCCGGGACGTTGGCGATTTCTTAGCAGCTTTCCCATAGGCCCACACTGTAGTCATGGTTACGCACACGACAAACAACACAGGTTACTTACATAAATACAACAGTATGAGTGATCACAGGAAACGAGATTTAGGACGCAAGTAAGAGTCCCCACACGTCATTTCTGCACATTGTATGCCATTCGGAACTGAATAGATTTTGTATGTGATCAGATATTATGTAATTATTCTTGTAATACAGACCGTTTAATTGAATTTTACGCATGCGTGCCAGTTAAGCTGGGCTTTGGGTATGACATAACACCTTTAGACAACCAATAGGCTAACGAGTTCTGTCCTTTACATAAAAGTACCCGGTGCAGAAAAAACATCAAACAAAAAATACTGTTCTTGAACATATTCAGATTTTTCTTGTTAATTACATATTGACCTTGTTTAATAAAATCTATTAAAACTGTCCTTCATCAACTCTGAACTTCCTCTGTTTTCTTATATCTGTAATGATAAATTGTAGCACAAATTAGAAATTGTAGAAGAAATTTCCTCAATTGTAATGGCTGAAATTCATCATCTATTTGACCACTGAAAGAATTTAAAACTGACAAAGGGATAGACCCCAGATCATTCCAGAAAGAGTTTCGAATGGCCCCAGACTTAATAATAAGTGCAATGGTTTTTTGATGGATCAAATGAGATAGACAGTGGATCAGACCTTTAAATAGTTGAGTCCACAACCAACATGAATTGTGATGGCTTCAGGCCGTCAAACAGTTGTTATATTCTTTAATTGTATTGGACAATACTATCACTCATGTTTTGCTTTCAGTAATTTACATAATTTATTTGGGAATAGTTGGGTGAAGCATCGGCTAGTTGCCACATATTTTATTCCATGTAAGTTTACCGATTTTTATATGTCCTCTCATGACCACAATACTACACACACACTAAATTTGAAAAGAATCCGTTAAAAACGGTAGCCTCTATCACGTTCACAGGCCAATTGTTGACAGACTGACATATGACGACCACACTGAAATGTTGGCATACAAAAAAAAAAGAAATAAAGGTCTCCATCCATATACATGTACTAACCTTTTATCTAGAGGATGTGATGCCATAGTTTCTCTCTTTCTTTTAGCTACCATTGCCTTATGTTTACGACTATTTAAATGAGCTGTAACAGAAATCAACAGAAATTATCAACACTTATGTTTTTTCGGTACTAACCATGGTATATCTTTATTTCTGTAGCTGCTCAAAGGGACTATCCCGATTTGAACGGAGTTTCAAAACTAAAAGTCTGAGTATGTACGAAATTTAAGCGCCAAAATATAGAGGAATGATGTATTTACCTTGTCTCAAAATTTCAGTTCAAAATATTGAGTCGATTTGGACGTGAATGTCAAAACTACTTATCCGGACACGAAACTCTTTTAAGATTTCGGGTCAATTTTTTCGTTGGGTGGCCTGATAATCGGTTCCCGTTCCATTAGAGATCTATACAATGAATGACCCATGTGCTGTACTTGATAACGAAAGGTAAATTTCACCTACACATTATTTTTATAAAATAAAAGTCTGTTTTTATCCCGACACCGCAAAATACAGCTTGGGACACCGGACTCCATTTCCTGATGAAGGCTGATGGGTTTAATTTGTTTGAAAGCATATCACATATATTGAGTTAGTTGCTCGGCCCTAAGGTAGAAGATTTTAAGGGATTTTAACACAAAATTAAGCAGTTTTAATCTCCGAAATATTATCGGGATTGGCCCTTTAATAAACCAAGAGAACAACCACAACCCTATCACATATTATAAATACAGGATCAAAATCACAATGACTAACAATTTCAAATCTTGACTGAGATTTATTCTTGAGATAGGCTAATTGGTGTATTTATTACAGAGATACATTAAACAATTCAAATTATGAACATCTCATATAGGGCTTACAAATCAGGGAACAGAAAATTGACATACCTTCCCATTCAAATTTAACAACAAAAACTTTACCATCACAAATATGACATGTATTATACTGATATTGTGTTGTATCTTTATCTTGATATGGCTCTGGTTCTATATCTGGTTTTACACCCTGAAAAATTAAATTAAAATCCCACATCTTTAATATTGCAATAATTTTCATGAATTACTTTTTGTTTGGTCATTAGCAGTTTAACTGGTTATAAAACGTCTAATAGTACAATCTAAGCGACATCTCAAGACAGGGGTTAAAGTTGACACACCAACACTTGTTATCACATTTATTTATTTCTATTAAATCCATTTGATGTGTCAACATATACCCTTATATTGAGAAGTTACATTTTATTAGGTTTACCATACTTTAATATATTTAATGAACAATGGCCACTGTATGGCTTTAGGTTTTCAATGACACTAAGGCATCAGCCAATCAGCAATCAAAACAAGAATATTGGTTTATGTGAAACACAATGAAAGAAAATTAAAAGATGGATGATAAACAAACATATGTATATGTATTTTTTCCTTGACAAGAATCTACTAAAATAAAGTATGTCTCTTTTTTCCCCTCTAGTTAAAAATATAGTGAACAAGGAGAAAGGACATTTATTATCTCCAAGCCTAAATGAGAAAAAAACGTGATTCTTTTTTTGGGGGGGGCAAAATGGTTAATAAATGTGTTCATTTTTCATCTTCTAAGTCGACATTTATTTTGTAAAAAAATATCAAAAGAATCTCCTTTCAAATGCACATGATTTATAACATCATTATCAGCTGGTGACCTAGAGGTCGTGTTTTACTTATATGGTAATCAATCAAGCAAGTCTGCATTTTGTATACAGATACATGTAGATACTAGGTTTCAATTTACTGAGCAATATGTTAGGTTGAGGCTGTCATCATCATACAACATTCTATTTCATATTTTAATAGGATTATTAAATTATCAAAACCTACACTATGCAACCCAGTGTCTTGCCTGCCTTTATATGACCAACATTCAGTGGACTACAGCTGGACCACTTTATCAGCAGATCCATGGATCATCTATAGAGGATCAAATCTAGAAATGTCTTCCTTCAGACATCCAGAAGATTTATCTGTACATCTGACTGACGATACTTTAGATAGACTATTAACAAGTTGCAGGAATGGGGTACCGGTAGATAAATTGTTCTACCTATTTTATTTGAGATGTGGCATAAATATATCGTAGCTGTTTTCCAAACTACATTAGCTTGATATCATTGCTAGAATACTCTTTAAAACATCACCTACATATATTAGTGCCGGTTTTCTATAAGTATGAGTTACAGTTTATTAAAATAATACATTTATAATTTACCTGTATAGCTGATTTGACTATATGTATGGCTGGTTTATAAACTAATTCATCCCACTGACTAACATCTGTAGAATCTACCCTATATACATGAGGAACATTTTTACCAGCTTCTAGAATGATAAAAAACACATAATATCTATATTCCTGAAGCAATCCCTCTCTGGCCATTGCTGGATTGACTTCTGATACTTGAGCTTTTGAGGGAGTGTGTCTATTCTTCCCAATCAATCAAATCTCTCCTAAGTACAGTAAAATGACAGCCCTTAATTTAAGCCGGGGTCTTCCCTAAAACTTTCAACAGTGATTTAAGGTATTAAAAACAGTGAAAGTATTGTTCGTCTCCAAACAGTATTGTTTACATGGTAGCCGTTTTTGATATCCTTGTTCGTCACGCAATTAGTTTTTCTGCAATATTCTGCTGTGCACTGGTTAATAATTTTCGTATGTCATGAAATAACGTTATGTAAACAGATTTGGAGCCGTTTAAACCTGAATGGTATTGTTACGCAGTTAGGTATTGGTTGTTAATCGGACTATTGACCAGTCATATTTTGGAAGAGAAATTTGCTTTCATTACGGCAGTGTTGAGTGGGATTAGGTCTAATCGAGAGAGAGAGAGAGATGGGGTTTAACGTCCACTCGACACAAACCAGGTCATTTAGGGACTAACACATGGTTCAATGTTATTTCAATAATTCGCTTGCGCGTAGGGATCTTTAGCAGTAAGAGGAAACCGGAGGACCTGGAGAAAACCCATGAGGTTAGACAGGCAACCCTACTCCTTGTCACGAAACCACGCCAGTTGACTCAATGACAGACCTTATGATACAGCGCTCACATACTGACCATTCGGCCATCCAACCCCTCTCTAATCAAACGAGAGAGAGAGAGAGAGAGAGAGAGAGAGAGAGAGAGATGGGGTTTAACGTCCACTCGACACAAACCAGGTCTTTAAGGGACTAACACATGGTTCAATGTTATTTCAATAATTCCCTTGCGCGTAGGGATCTTTAGCAGTAAGAAGAAACCGGAGGACCTGGAGAAAACCCATGAGGTTAGACAGGCAACCCTACTCCTTGTCACGAAACCACGCCAGTTGACTCAATGACAGACCTTATGATACAGCGCTCACATACTGACCATTCGGCCATCCAACCCCTCTCTAATCAAACGAGAGAGAGAGAGAGAGAGAGAGAGAGAGAGAGAGATGGGGTTTAACGTCCACTCGACACAAACCAGGTCATTAAGGGACTAACACATGGTTCAATGTTATTTCAATAATTCGCTTGCGCGTAGGGATCTTTAGCAGTAAGAGGAAACCGGAGGACCTGGAGAAAACCCATGAGGTTAGACAGGCAACCCTACTCCTTGTCACGAAACCACGCCAGTTGACTCAATGACAGACCTTATGATACAGCGCTCACATACTGACCATTCGGCCATCCAACCCCTCTCTAATCAAACGAAACACTGAGAGGAGTATGCATAATATCTGACTTTTTGATATATTACAACTAATGTTTGCAAACTTGCAATCTTTATTAAAATCATGTCAATAACATTTATTTTTATAACATTTAACACAAAGTTGTGTAAAAATTACAGAACCTCCTAGTCTTCAATGTACGAAGGGTCTGGGTCAGTTGTCATTGACGAAATATTACTGGATAAATAACCACATAAAAACCAAATTCCGGGTTACACATGGGTAATGGGACTTTTTAGCTAAAGTTAAGAAAGAGTTGTTCCCCTTCCAGAAATAAATCCATAACTTATGCATTATTATTAACAAACATGAATCGTGATGACAAATTATGATTACTAAAAACCATAGATATGGTCCTTGAAGAGAGAAATTTTACAAAAAAAAAAATAGGAGTTTTGGATATTCAATAGGCAATGCAATAAATTTTTCTGAAAAAGGCAATTCTTAAAATTATTTCATGAGCATCGACATCTTGTTTTAGGACGAGTTATCTTGCTTAGATTTTGTACAAGATAATGTAAAAAGACCCGATAATCTAGCCAATGACCTAGTTATTCTCAAATGTTGACAACCCTTTCAGACTAATATTATCAAAATATTTGTCTGAATGATAAAGACTGTAAAAATCAGGAAAAGAACCCATGAAGACTCAGTTATCAACACCCAGCACCAATGGACCTGCTTTGAAAAGTACACTAGGTTAATCAACAAACAAACAGTGTAATTACAAATTACAACTAATGTTTCATAAAGATATCTTGAATGGGGTGGAATAATAATTGCATACCTACAACTAAATCATATGTGTTGCCATCACCAAAATTATTCAACTTAGAATAGATTAATGTGCGTACAAAGTTTTATAAATATCCTCCAGAATAATAAAGTAAAATCTGTTTTCATGGAAACACAAACTAGTATAAATATGAGAAATTACTAGTTAGCATAAGACACAACTACTACAATGGTTATGACTATGAGATATGATCCAGAATAAAAACTGTATACCAAAGTCAAATCTCTAATCAGCAAAAGGTACAACTACTATAATAGTTTTGTAAAGATATTTTGAATAGTTTATGGGATATGCTCTAGAAACCAAACTCAGACAGAAGGATTGACAGATCGAGTCCATTTTAATAACATAGTTGGCAAACAGATAGCGCCAAGCGAACTGTACATAAGAACAATCAACATTGATGTTGATAAGAGACATCAGACAGAGTTATATTTTTATAATAATTAGTCAGTTGGTTTTAGTCATTTTAATCTGCACTTAATATAAACTAATAATTGTTGTAATTTGGCCATATTCAAAGACAATAAACAACTTTCAAAAAGAACCCTTGTGTAGTCATTTCAGCCCCCGCATTTGACCCCCTTCAACATATTCTCTAATCTCTTTCAGTAAAGTTTTGAAATTCCATCTAATGTAATAATAATTTTACATACTTCTCAAGAAACGATTGTTGATCCATCGTATCTGTCTACGTGAATACTGTCTCGTTACTCTCTTTAAATCATCAATACCTGAAAGATTAACAGATTAATACAATCCTACTATACTTATCTTATGCAAAACTGAAAAATGGCAGAGCCCACCAATTAAGTTGAGCAGGCAACTTTATTCCTCATCAGTTCTGACAATTCTGCAAGGTAACTTTTCTACCAGCATTACTTGTAATAAGAGATGGAATATCTGCAGGTCAACACCTGACACTACTTGGTCATAAAAAAGACTTCAACAAAAAGAAACAGATTTGAGATCCCCAGTTCAAAGCTTCATTGAGCTAAAATAAACAGCTGCCTGTGAATTACAAACCTTCTTTTAAGAGTTGTTTCCCTTTCTTTGTCTGTTTGTCTTCATCATCTAATATTAAATAATTGTGGAATTCTTTAAAACCAATAGTTTGGAAAATTCCCAATTCAAAATCTAATTTTCTGTAAAATAAAATAAATATTCTCATGCATGTAAATTAAATTTTTTATAATCAAATGACATTAAGGATGCATCATGTAAGACCTAAATCTGCCTACAGAAGGTCTTTGTTTCTGGCTTCCAATGTTATATATATTATTATTTAGATATTAATTCACATGACAAGCCCACACTAAGATCTCTATTGAGTCTATACCATTGGATCGCTGAGATATTAAGTGGATTAGACCATCCACACCATTTAATTGGTTAACATTCAATTAGAAAATGAAGACTTTGTTGATCATCGTGGCAAAGACAATTGATATCCCAGTATTCTTGTGTCAAAACCAAAAAAAATTCATATCTTTGCTCTGAATAAAGTAATTCGACTGAAATCTCAATATATTCATTTTACATGATCTATTTTTAAATTATTAATGACCAGCTCTCTATGCATCTTTAATAATGAATTCCCACTTTTCAAAACAAAATCTAAAACCTTCAATGATGAACCTAGAGTCAACATATAATCTGGTTAAAACATTATTCAATTCATATAATTCTTAATAGAACATTTGTTTAACATCCTTAGAATAATGATTCTTTCGTTAGACTGTAGTGATTCTTATTTGAGTTACCTTTTATTTTCTAATGTTAATTTTTTATACTGCTTATGGAAATCTTCAAGCTCTTTTAATAAACCTTGTTCAATCATTGCATCAACCCGTGTATCTAATCTTTCATATAATACTATAATTAAACAATCATAATATTGTATATGGTAATACCTTACAACTCAAATTGTTCTACTTCCAAACTATCCCTTTGCAGTTTCTTTTAAAATGAAATGGGGTTTAATGTCCTACTGTTCTGCTCCGATTGGGCTAATGAAGATGGACGTATGCCAATTGCCATACAGTGTGCAACAAGGGAAATTTCATCTAAACAGCAGCACTACAGCCTACTCTTATATCAAATTCCAACTGAGAAGGGTTCTTTTACATGCATGCCAATATGTAAACAGGACCTCATTTTTGTCCCATCCGAACAATTTGTCCCTTGCCAGACCCTCTGTCCTGCACCACAGATATGGAGGAACCACGCCGGAAAATCCAGATGAAATGAAATGGGGTTTAACGTCCTACTGTTCTACTCCGAACTGGGCTAATGAAGACGGGCATATGCCATATAGTGTGCTATGAGGGAAATTTTGCCCGGGCAGCGGCGCTACAGACTGCTCTTATATCAAATTCCAACTGCCAAGATATCTTTTATGTGCACGCCAATGTGTACACGGGACCTCTGTTTTTCGTCCCCTCCAAACGACTAGACTTCTGTTCTTGTTAGGCCCTCCGTCCTGCATCACTGACAAGGGAAAACCACGCCGAATAATCTGGATGAACTTTCTCGGCCAATGCAGGGATCGAACATTAAACCTCCAGGCTAGCGAGCCAGCGTCTTACCCACTTAGCCACCTATAAAACATTATTTGGGAAATTTGTAAAATTAGGAAATTTTGAACCTACCATTGATATCAGATTTGATCCATATAACGCATGGATCTAGATAACGTAAGGCACCACGTTTATCTTCACCAGTACCTTCATGTTGAGCATCATGAATTACACTCATTTTAACTCCATAATCTCTATGTACCTCTAAGGCTCTGATATATAAAACAAATACTTTATAAAACAAATTGATTCTTCATTCAAATATTTTGTACTTCTTCAGTTTTCAGATCATAGCACTGAATAATTAAAGAACCAATATTGCTATTTATTCGTAAACTCTTTGTAAAGATGAATTCTTAAATTAGTCGGCAACCAAAATTTCTTCTCTGTTATAGTAAATGACTTTATCAAGACATAAACAATAGGTATTATTCGATAATATTGCAAATACCTAAGCTTAAATTGTTAAACTTTTTCTAAATTTATATGCAAATTCAAGATACAGTATGAAAAAAGGCTGATCAGTGTCAAAATTTAGTCAGACTTGAATAGACTTGTTGCCACTTTAAGTAATCTATGTTGAATCTTTCTCATGTTAATGCACCCAAGACATTCATTTTTGTTTATTAACCATTTTATAAGCCTATTAGTAATAAATAACCTTATAATTTTTCTTCTGTTATGTGGATGTAGTTTTCTAGCGGATTCTGGATCTTGTTCTTCTAACAGTTTATATAATTGACTGGTCTCTATGTTTGTATATATTTCTTCTTCCCCTTTATTGCGACTAATTGGTTCTTTATCATCACTTGCCATCAAGTTGCTGGACTCTCTTGATTTTTCATCACTGTCACTATCTGAATCGCTACTGGCCCTTGTCTTGGCTTTGTCAACATCCTACAATATAAAACACAGTTTGGGTTTACAAAACAAAATTAGTTGAATTGGAGTTACCTCCCCTTAAACAGTCCCTCATCTCCCAAAAAATTTCATTTGGAGATAAAATGTAAGTCAACCAGTATTCATCGATAAATTCTGGTAATTTTCAACGTATTTAAATTCATACAACCAGAAATGTTTAAACAGGAGAGGTTAGTTCATATTAAGACTTAGGACTCTATAATAATATAGTATGATAAGGCCTGTTCTTGGGGGAAATGGGTAGTTTAGGGCTTTCTTGAAATAAGTTACATATCGACTCTGTATTGAAGGAAATCGAAGATCATGTCTGTTTATTTGTCTCAGCTCTTTTCACACAAAATTTAGAACTAGATAAACATATAGTATGATAAGGTCCGTTCTTGGGTGAAGTGGGTAGACCTACCGGTAGTTAAGGCCTTTCTTGAAATAAGTTACGTATATCGACTCTCTATTGGTCTCAGCTCTAGCTTTAGGTAATTATGATTATTACACACTATTTATTTTTATATGTTGATTTATATATGAAGATAGAGACATAGTAAGCTGTGTTTCTTATTAAATATTTTATTTCTGAAGTGCTGGGGGATTGCACCACACATACAAATGTAACAATTAACCAGATAACAAGAAGACAAACACACAGACAAGACAAAAATGCAGACACTGTAAGCCATATTAGAAGTAATTAGAACTATCAAAATCAAGGCAATGGCATACTCCTCGCAGTATTTCATTTAAATAGACCTAATTCCGATCAAACACTGCTATACTCAGCACAAATTTCTGTCCCAAATTATGACTGATTAACCTGTACAGGATTAACCAGAGCTCTAAATATGTTACCGTAAAATGTCTGGTGACAAACACGGCTACATTATGTTCAATTAACTAGTACATAACAGATATTGCAGAGAAACTAATTGTGGGATAAACGAGGCTATCCAAAATTGCTACAATTTAAACATTTGGTGTTCGCACCGCATATGGAATTCTTTTATCATCTCTTGGACCACACAGCAAATCAAAAAGAAGGGCTGCCATGTTACGTATTGTGTTTCAATAAACTGGAAAGAAATACGACATGTGCTTTTTGATAAAATAAATAATTCATGGATTTTCTTCACAAAAATGGATAAATATTATCGGAAATTTACAGGTAGGCAGTAATTAATTGGTACACGTTTATATAGAATTCATATCAGAGATTCGAGTCAAATAATTTTCATTCCAATAGCGAGTTTCAGCGACGGCCAAATTTACCCATGCGAGTATCGATGTTTGTTCCCGATGCATCCAAGGGTAAAATTTTTCTTGTTTCTTGAAATCAGCACTAACAAACCCCGGTCAAGTCATGAAAATTCCCTATATTTTACTCAGGAGAGATTTGATTGGACGATGAGAATGGACACACTCTGTCAAAGACTGAAGTTTTCAATCTCAATACAGCAATGGCTAGAGAGAGATTTTTCGGGCAATTGCTTCAGGAATATGAGGGAATGGATGATTTTCTATTATGTAATAGAATATCAAGAAAGGAGCAAGATGAATGTTTTTAGTATTAATATAAGACAATAACTTTCAACACCAACAGAAGATGTACCACCAGAATAAAAAAAGTTCAAGGCATTCTTCACAATCTTACTATACCTATCAACACGTGAATATTGGTTGTACGCACAGTGTGTAACCTAAATATAGATTTATTAGATTAAGGTATCAAGGTTCATAGACCAACCTATTGTTTCTTATGAAGTAGACAACAGATAAACAAATGTTGAGAAGAATCGTAGCCATATGTTGAAGCTTGATCTGACTAGACTTTATATATACGGTGTATATACTGTGCGTTGTTTGATGAACATATTGATACCACCTAGCCAACACATACTAACAAGATAACATACATAACTCAATAAACACCGACAAATATTGACATAAGCAGGTGAATTTAAGGACAGGCTCATAATCCAATAAATCCACTGTCAGTCTCTTTAGTAGAGTTGGAAGAAAGTTTGTAAGTGACTACTATATGGCAACATGGCCATTGTTATCTTTACTAGTAGATCTATAATAAGTAAACATCCATTTTAAACAGATACAATTAATCACCCTTTTTTATCACTCTTCTCCTATCCTCGACTATTTCAACATGCATATGACTGACAGGCCAGTTTACTTTTATCACTGGCCTCTGAACATGTAAATCACCTATGACCTTCTGTCTTCAGGTACAATGTATACTTGGCTCACATTTTTATGACACTACAGGAAAATTTGTAGACTAAGTACTAATTTATAACTTCAACATGTTCGATATTTATTCAGACTGTTCTCTTTTTAGTACTTATCTATTTACGAAAGTCTGTTTATACTTATAATTGCTCTCTCATCATTTAACATTTCTTTCCTGTAGATCGTTAACTACTTATAAAATATAAATTCATTTATAGTTTGTTTGTATGCCATAGGTGATGTGAAGATTTCTTGAAAATTCACGCAAATGTTAATAATAAAAGTTTATACAAAGAATAAGAGTAAACATTTTCCTTTTGTGGACATTTACCAAAAATTAACCACATTATTAACATGTGTTGCCAGGCAAAGTAACATAATAATAAAGTGGTTTATTTATGTCTGTCTATTGTTTAAAAGATCTCAGACTTACTAACAATTATCTATTTTTTATGGTCACATGTCCAATGAGAGGCATTTCCATCTGCTCTTCAGCTAATTCCAACTGAGGAATCTAAGTTTTTGTCCCATTGGTGGGACTAGACAACTCTTTCTTTGTCCTACAGACACTACTCTAGCCAAATGGGATCTGGGCCTAATAAATTTTGAAGATCTTGTCAGCCCATGCTGGGTTGCAATCCCAGTACATTCCAGTACAGTTCTCTGAACACTTGACTTTCGCAGGGTCCCCTAGATAATAAAAGTTCATATTGTTGTCCTAAATAAAGAGCCCCCCTTTCGACCCTTACCCCTACTACGACTGATTAAGGAATCCCTCAGGTGAAGATGGCAAGACAAGACAAAACAACTTTATCTTATTTTATTTCCATCTCGAGAGAAAATAGCTTGATGAATTAGACTTTGTTGTTGGTGAATGAAACCTGATACAGACTGTATTGAACTATGAACTGGTAGGAACAATACAAGACAAATAATAGGACACCTTATCAATTAGCTATTAAACAGTCACAGGATCAACGGTTAGTGAACAAGAGATAGGACACCTTCAGGTACTTGACATTATTCCGTGAATTAAGGCCAGTGAAGACAATGGCACCTGTAATCAAGTCACACCTCTTTATAACTGATATTGATAATAGAATATTTCATGCTGAGAGAACTTAAAAAGAAGCATTATCTATTTTTATCTGATGAACAAAGCACACAACAACTTTATCTACAGAGATTTACGTGCTTGTATTTAGATGTTCAAAAGATACAAGCAGACGAGAATGTGATAAATTTTGATATGGGAGGGACATAAAGTGTGAGATGTCCCCCAAGTCATGTCCACCCCTCTCATTAAACAATCAATACCGGCATAACTGTCTGGGGATATCCCATTCATCCATATAGCTTAACTCTTCAAAGTCTAACCTATAAAAAGGTCAAGGAACTTATTATAATTTATATTCATGGAGCTTCTCTAGACTGTTCCATATGAATCAGTAGAATTCATTAACTGCAGTCCAATCATATTTTCTTTGTAAAATATCAGTGACTATAACCTTAAGCCGGAAGCTGAAAAACATTCACAGAAAACTCTAAAGTTTAAAGATACATTATGGGAGATTAGATAAAGAGCTGACAGTTCTCACTGAATATCAGTCCAAAAATGGTTCAATTCTCTTTATGATGTGATATGATGAAGCCTTTTTGTAATCCTACTGAATCCAAGCAAGGAGAATGTCTACAGTTAAATTTGAGTGCATTTAACTAAATCAAGCCGTTAAAAATTAGATATTGTCCGAACAAGGTAAATGTTGATCATCAACTTTAAGCAACAGATAAAAATTAAGATGTAAGAAATCCCTAGAACACTGTAAGACTTTTATTAACAAATAATAGATCATCAATCAACACACTATTTAATTTTTGAAAAAAATGTAAAGAAAGCTAAGTATATTTCAAATTCATAAAATTGCTCTTTATTTGATTTTTAAACTTTGATCTAAACCAACCAATCAAATGTTCAAATGCATTAATACAATGCTTTGTTCAAGTACTAGATACACAAAGACAGTATATAAAATACAGCTTTATAGATATCACAAGTCAAGTCGATCAAGAGTTGTAAATAGACGGTATTTGAGACAGCTTGGTATATAGACCGATGACCTCAATGATAGTAATCAGGTGCAGTTAGAACATTCTTATACCAGGTGAAAAAACATGACTGAACCTTTAGCCATTGATACACTGTTAAAACATTGCTATTTACCTTCAAGTAAAGATACCTCACTTGCATCCTTCCATTTGTCTCAAGACAATAAGGAAATACATCTCTGTCTAGGCAAAGGACTTCAGACAACCAAGATTTTAGTGATTATAATTATATACATGAAACGTGAATAGTTCAATAAGTTGACAAATATCAAGAATGAATATTTCAAAAGAAAAAATAAAATGGAAAAGATAATGTCTATGACTCAACAAAAGAAGATGTGAAAGGAAAAACACATTAGTCAGAAACAATCATTCTGGAACGTTTTTTTTTCAAAAATCACGGCAATCAATACAGCTAGCATTCTTGAAAATTTTGTGAATATCAATCACTTTAGTATGAACTAACACGACAACAATAACAGTATACAAACACATTGACAAGTAATCATATAAAATGAAACTAAAATTCCAAAAGAAAAATTCACCTTTCACTTATTTTTACAAAATTGTACAGAACCCTTTAATAATCCATGGGATGCATAATTGAGGCTATATTAGATTTAATTATATTAGATTTT